GGGGGGGGGTAAATAGTGGACAGCAGGCATGCCACCGACTGATGAGAAATGAGCAAGTATATTCGTATTACGACTGGACGATAGACAAGCCACGCTTGTAGCCAAACGACCAAATAGAATCCTCCGCAGCGTACGCACATCTCCGAGACATATGGCGAGGTTGCCCAAGAACCTTTGGACAATGAACAATAGGCCCTGCGACCCTTTCAGGCAACAAGCACCTGAAATGTAAAACAAACTCAAGCTGAATGGCAACAAGAAAGCAGTCGTGCCCAGAAGAGAGAGCGAGTGTCTCAGCCGGATACATGGAACAAGACAAAGACGGATCTGTACACGTATCGTGGTTCAATGGCGTTTGATGGGGTGTGGCGCATCTCTTTCTCTCTCTCTCTCTCTCTCGCAAGCCCAGCATCAGCCCACCACCCTCTGGGCAATTAGACGCGAGGAGGAATGTCTTGGCCCGCTGGCAAGTGGGCTTGGAGTTGCTCGGATTCTGACATGCTCGTTTAACGATTACTCCAGATAACCTGAGCATTTCCTCTCGCATAAGCAGCAGGAGAGGGATCCTTAAGCAGGTGCGAGTCGCATCTTCACTTTTCATACAATCTTTGCTGGCAAACATTGCTTGATCCATGTTTAGTCAGCTTGGCATCATACTCCCCAACCTGGCTGTCCTTCTCATCCAAATAGAGGAACACTACGGATACGATTACGGTACCCATTGCTGATCCCACCTGCAGCTGAGGCGCCCCCCAGATCTAACCATGACGGATATGGGAGGTGTGCCACATTACACATGAGTGTGGATTGGTAGGAGACCGGAAATTTGGGACTACGTATTGGGCCGCGCGCCGCTCGCCGCCGGATGTCACTACCACCGCCGGTGCCCGGAATGGTACAAGTGGACGACGGTCTAGAATCCCGACGGAAAGCAACAGAAGCGAACACTGAAATGATCACCAGCGAATGAGAACACAGAAACTTGACGACATGGTGTAGCATTGCTGTCGACAAGCAACGCAAAGTTGCGCGCGTACGGACAGGCTGAGCGGTACCACCTCGTCGTCGACTACCGTCACGCCCGCCCACCTGGCTTCACAATTTGGAGGATTCGAGAGGTCTCCCTAGGATATCGATTTCACTTTTTTTTGTATTAAACTATCAGTGATTTTTGTATTTCAGAGACAGACGCTGTGCAACAAGAGCCGTGGTGATGCTTACTTGCGCATGTCGACCACGGCTCTGATGCAGTCGCCCTGCTTCATGGTCTCGAAGGCGTTGTTCATCTCACCCAGGGTCTTCCTGTGGGTGATGAACTCGTCCACCTTGAGATCGCCCTTGATGTAATCCTGCACAAGACCGGGCAGCTGAGAGCGACCCTTGACACCGCCGAATGCGCAACCCTTCCAGACACGACCGGTGACGAGCTGGAATGCTGTTTTTGAAAATGATTAGTTTCTGATGCGGTGCTGTGACGAACACGTAAAAGTGGTACTCACGACGAGTGGCGATCTCCTGACCAGCAGCAGCGACACCGATGATGATGCTCTGTCCCCATCCCTTGTGGCAGGCCTCAAGAGCAGCGCGCATGACGCTGACATTACCAGTGCAGTCAAAAGTGAAGTCGCAGCCGCCGTCGGTGAGCTCAATGAGCTTGTCGACCACGGATTGGTCTCCGAGCTGAGTGGGGTTGACGAAGTCCGTCGCGCCAAACTTTCTCGACCACTCCTCCTTGTTGGGGTTGACGTCGACGACAATGATCTTGCCAGCCTTGTTCACGACAGCGCCCTGAACGACGGAAAGACCGACGCAGCCGGCACCGAAGACGGCAACGTTATCGCCCTCCTGGACATTGGCGGTGATCCTGGCGGCACCGTATCCGGTGGTGATACCGCAGCCGAGCAAGCAGGTGCGGTCCATGGGGGCGTCCTGCTGGACGGCGACGACGGAGATGTCGGCGACGACGGTGTACTGGGAGAAGGTGGAGGTGCCCATGAAGTGAAGCAGGTCCTTGCCCTTGCACTTGAAGCGGGTGGTGCCGTCGGGCATGAGACCCTTGCCCTGGGTGGCGCGGATCTTGCCGCACAGGTTGGTCTTGCCGGACTTGCAGAACTTGCACTCCTGGCATTCGGGGGTGTAGAGGGCGACAACGTGGTCGCCGACCTTTACGTTGGTGACGCCCTCGCCGACAGATTCGACGATACCGGCGCCCTCGTGACCCAGGACGATGGGGAAGGCACCCTCGGGATCCTTGCCGGAGAGAGTGTAGGCATCTATTCGAGATGGGATTATTAGTTCTGGGTCTTTTTCTCTCTCTCTTTTGGATGTAACCTTCGGATCCTCATCCGAGCCTTCAGGAGGGGGGGTTTATATGGGTTTTCTCACCTGTGTGGCAGACTCCGGTGTAGTAGATTTCGATACGGACCTCGTGGGCCTTGGGCGGGGCGACTTCGATGTCCTCGATGCTCAAGGGCTTACCGGCCTCCCAGGCGACGGCGGCCTTGCAAGTGATGGTCTACAGATGATCAATTGAGTCAGCGGAGGGTTCGGGGGTGACGTTGAATCAAGATCGCTCCCGTCTCAGTCTCCTCGATTCAAGAGCTACCCCGCAATGGTGGGAGAAAAAAACGAGGCGGGCAGGGTGTACAGGTGTAATATAATGCTTGGGTGGGAACGGCATACCTTTCCTGCAGTGGCAGACATGTTGTGATTGATGATGATCGATGAGAACCTTGATGGAAAAAGAAACCGCACACTAGGCTTAGCTTAACTGGGCAGGGCAGGGTATTTATTCCAAGGAGGGGGGAGCTGATGTCGAGATGCAGATTGGCACATTGGAGGTGGATAGAACTGCCGCCGGGTATCTTTTGGCACCATCTCCAAACCCCACCTTCCCCTCGGGAGGAGAAAGTATCCGTGAGTCTCGGGGGTTCGGGGACTGAGGTACCTCTCCCACTCTACCTCTCTGTGTGTGTCTCTCTCTCTGCACTTGTATCTTGACTCTTCACTCAACCTCAAAATGAAAAGCGGGGACCTTCAGCTTGTCATCGAGTAAGGAAAGGGTAAAACACTACTGACGCCGGCCGTGACTTGTTCGAGTCTTGGGCGAGGCGGGCATGGCGGGGGATGCAGACACACAGAGCCAGATGGAAGGGCACTCCCAAGCAGCCAAAGAGGAGTACGTCATTGGACCGATTGAGCTCTGGGGATGACTGGGGATGAATCCTGTTACCTGGTTGGCTGAAACTGACTGCAAGTCTCGATTGGCCGTGATTACTGGGTGGGTAGCAGTCAGAGAGAAATCGAGACCAACGGATGCGTTCCCGACAGCACCAACATGAAGGGACTGCTCTCTTGCCGAGAACGAAGGCCGAATCACGGCTTGTACAGCCACGCAGCCGGGGGTGGCGGACCGGGCGTATCTGGGACTCTCAAGCGCTTCCGCCTCACAAACCGCCTTTTGAGTCATCCCCTCTCTCTCTCTTCCGGCGCACCTTCGGGTATCAAGGTATGAAGACGCAATACCCAAAGCTTCAGGCCGTCGGGGTTAGGCTTTTGAGATGCTCTTAATGCACCCCTTTACAGGCATGGTTCATCGGCGATTGACCTGGTCAAGCCCGCGCTTGGGGTACGACTTTCCGTGGCTGCCAAGGGGGTCGAGGAGCACTCTGGGTGGAGGGCCCGCCGTCGAGAGCCCGATTTATGTCCGAAGTAATGTTGGTGTTCATACTACCCTTGGTGGCTCTACCCTTTCTAATCGGCCTGCCGGGCTACAACACGGAGTAAGAGGAGGGGAGCTCCGAAGCGGTCAGACGGTATAAAGAGCAACCAGTTGCCCGCGGGTACATTGTGAGGAGAGGCAGTCCAAAGAATGGATGAACAGACTCCTCAAGTACAGATAAAGAGGATCAAACGGAGACCCGTTGAGAAAAGGTTGGGAGAAGAGGGAGGAATACTAGGTACCTAATGGGACACAACCGACAAAGGAGGGGGAAATGCTCCTGGCAGCTGGTATGCACTTTACCCCGGATAAAAAAGACATCAACATAGTATTCCAGTTGTAGAGCTGTGGGGAAGATAAGGAAGATTACCCAATACGGTGACGAAAGGATGATGTTGGGATACTGCCTCTGTGCCTCTGAAGAAGCTTTGGAATCTTGTGCCTAAGTACCATGGCTACCTTCACCTCATTGGGTATGGCTTGGTTGGTGTGTCAGCGGGCAATCTGGGAGCTCGGGCCACCACTAAAAACGAGGTCACTCGCGGTGGTGGGGCCAGGACGTCGGCTTCTTCCGCGTTGACTGGCCAAGCATCGCGAACCTCCAAAAATTGTCGAGCAAAGGCGCGTCCGACCAAACACTGCTATACAGTTCTTCAGCCTTGTCGCCTGCGACCTACCATTCTGCCCAATTGCCCTCGACGACTTTCTCGTAACTAACGAAAGCGATACCAAGAGAAAAAAAAAACCCCCGTACTACTGATTTCCTGAAATCTTGCTTCCGCCGATCAACACGACTTTGCGACGACGAGGCTCATCCGGGTGACCTGAGGTCGCCCACTCCATTCCCGCCATCATGCCCAACAAGTTCTCGTTCGACGACTCAGCATTCGATAGTTCACCGCCTTCGACACCCGGTCAAACTCCGCAGAAGAAGTCGTACTACCCCTTCGGCGAGAATCCATCAACGACCCCGGCTGGCCCTCCCCCCTCGTCCGCCGCTTCCTTCACACCAACAGGCGCTCCGTCCGAGTCTTACCTCGGGAGCTCGTTGCTGCAAGGTGTCACTGCGCAGAAGCCCTTTGGCTTCGGTGGTGCGAGTTCAAATGGGCCCACCAAGAACCTCTTTGGAAGAAGCGACTCTGCCTCAGCGCAACCACTCGGTCGGTCGATTGTGCAGAGCGCCAAGCCCGCCATGAGGCAGCCGTCGGCACTGAGCCGAGAGCTTGGCGCGGGAAAGAGCGAGGTCACCTACGACAACCGGACGGGCAGATATATGATACCCGACAGCTCAGAGGAAGAGGATGAGAACGAGGATGACGAAGAGTACGACGAGCGCGATGCCGCCGATGCGGAGATGGAGCGATACCTCGAAGCCGATATTGGGGAGGAAGATGTGGATGCTGAGGCAGAAAAAGAAGAGATCCAGGATGACGATGACATATTTTTGAACATGCGGCACACCACTCGTAACGACGATGAACTGGCCTACTCAGACGAGGGCGAGGGCGGCGTGGGCGGCGAGGACTCAGATCTTTTGCTGCTGAATACGCCAGCGGCAACGGAGCGCATGAGGAGAGAGGCCCAGGATATTTTCCGCGCATCGTCCATGCGTCGCTCGTTGGGCAACAGACGGACAGAGTTCAAGTTCTCCGCAGTAGCGAAGGATATGTACAAGGAGTTGGGCATGGCCGAGATCAACGAGTCGGCAGGCGTCGTCTTGAAGACGGAAGACCTGATCAACCAGCTTTACAACGAAGGAATTGGTGCGCAGGAGGACCCCGATCAGCTCGATGTCTCGCTCGCCAACATTGTCTATCCTCTGGTGGATCTCTGGAATGACTTCGCCGACAGCTTACCCATGCCGGAGGGAGAGCACATTGCCGAGATTGGCCCCGGCCCCGAAAGTGAGCCATTCACGAAAGCTGCCTATGTTGCCCAGCTAGTGCTCCAGATGCACCATACTCGATTCGCCAACCAAGGCACCGTCGATACCGAGGTGCCACCATTGCCTTATGTTCTGTTCAGATGGATTGAGGAAAACCACAATATCTACCCCGAGCAATTCGAAATTGTCATGAACCATAGGCCGAGCCCGGCGTGCCACAGTCTCTTCTGGCCGACACTCCGGAGTGCTCTCATCCGTGGCAATGTCGAACTCGCGTCAAAGCTGTTGAGGAACGCCGGGTGGGAGTCCGTCAAAAAGGGTCCTCGAGCTGACTTTGCATACTCTGGCAAAGCTCTCGATAACTTACAACGTGCCGTCGGTATTGCGTGCGAGGCACTCGACATGTGCCCAATCACCAAGGGCAATTGGGATATCTTCAGCAGCGACTGGACGTTGTATCGTATTCAGACGAAGGGCTCGTTGGACAAGCTTCAGAGATTTGCGGAGGGCAAGGACAAGAACCTTTTTGCTGGCGATAGTGACGACAGCTCGTACGGAAGGGGCTCTTTGGCCGGCCTTGTGCGGAAAGCTGAGGGGCAGGTCCCATGGGACATCTATGAACACCTCCAGACCATTTACCAGATCATCATGGGAACGCCAGAGGCTATCCTGGATACGGCGCAGGACTGGTGCGAAGCCACGATTGGCCTGTTTGGATGGTGGGAGGAAGGCAGAGGACAGCAGAAGAGCTTACGCATGTCGCGTTCCCACGGACTCCGTATGACAGCTACTTCTCCCACCCCGGAGAGCTATTTTGAACGTCTGTCACTTGCTTTCCACACTGCAGTTGAGTCGGACTTCCACTTCAACTCCATGAACCCAGTCGAAGTCGCCCTCGCCTCTGCTTTCGAGTCAAACTTTGCGGCTGTCATCGGAATCCTGCGCGCATGGTCGCTCCCCATAGCTTCCTCGGTGGCGGAACTTGCCTCTCTTGGCCAATGGCTACCTAAGCCCGAGCAGCCCAACTTGATCACGATGGAGAGCCTGAACATGGAGGATCTTGAGATGTTGGGAGTGGCCCCTCAGACTGCAGACGAGGTGGAGGGCATCAAAGACACCACACTCACACATTACGCACGCGAATTGGCCGGAATCGACAAACTCTCCGAAGATCGCAGCGGCTGGGAGATGGCGATACAAGTCCTTGGTCGCATGGATTCGGCTGCGAAATCAGAGGATATGGTCGGAGAACTGCTTCGGGACATTCTAACCCAGCTCGATTCTGATCAAGGAACCACCGTGGACAAGGTCTGGAGGATTCTGAACGATCTCGGCATGATTACGTATGCCGAAGAGACCGCAGAGGTATTTACAGAATGCATTGAATTCTGTTGATTACTGAGCTGACCTTTGCTAGACTTATGCAGACATTCTTGGAAAAGATTCTCACAGATACGGAGAGGCTCTTTGGTACTACGCTCTGGCTCACAGACCAGGAAAGGTCCGCGAGGTGCTCAACCTCCTCATGTCCTACTCCCTGCTTCATTCCACGGTTTATCCTCCGGCCAACGATCTAGATGATCACCTCTACCGACTCCTCAACGAGCGCAGTCAAACCCTCGAGAAGTATGCCAAGCAAGACCTCGAGGCAGCGAATCTTCTCGGGCGGATGCTGAGTGGCTACGCCACTCTCAGAAAATTCTACGAACTTCGTGACACTGATGGACTTGCGGACATGTCCCCTTACAAGTCTGCCTCTCTCCGGAAGCAAGCTGCATCTGCCCTTGTTGCTGTCATCGCTAGCTCAGATGACAATATCCGGGGAGGCCTCTTTGACGAAACTCGCGACGCCGTTGTCAGCGAAGACTTTATTCTCGCACTGTTGGGCGAAGCTTTACCCTTTGTCAACCAAAACCCTTCAGTCATTACCCTCGACCAAATGGACACGCTTCTCAAGGCCGTTGAGGACATTCAGACAGTCAACTCGACTATTTTCAACGCAGCGGACGAATTCTTCAAGCTCGTTCTGGCCTCAACGCCGGGAATGAAAGGCTCTACACCCGCAGACCTGATGCGCAAGAGCACCAGCTCACTCAGTGGAAGCAGCTACATGCTGAGCGGAAGCTCCATGCTAGCCAGCCAACTTCACCGGTCAATCAGCGGAGGCAGCGGTGGCGGATCTTCTCTCGCCAAGACGAAGCGCGGCTGGGATTGGCGATCTGGACTCACGGCAGGCGCGTCGGCTGATGATGTGCTTCGCATACTCCGCTTGGGTCTGTCGAGGGACTTGGCGACCTTGTGGTTGGCCGACGCGGACAACACGCCCGTGTACTAGGATCGCACTGGACATGTAGCGGGTGTCAAGCGCAAGCGCGAATGGACGTTGCCCTACAGGTAGTTACCTAGTCCCAGGTAAGGACGGCATTTGGGAATGGGGTTAGGATGGAGTTTGATGATGACGTTGTAAATGGAAAGGCACTCGAAAAAGTTAAGACGTATAATACCATTGGTTCCACTTGAGGAATGATAATTTCTCTTTGATGACTTGGTTGTTTCCGTGTTGTTGGTTTGTTTAATTCGAGACTACACTTTGGAAGCGGTTAGCTTGTCTCCGTTGATTTGCTGCCCGATTCACCATAAGACCGATATCCCTCTTCAATGGATAAGCACTGGGTTACAAAGCCACCAGGCCGGCTACAGGATGGACTTTATCAGTTTGGCTTCGGCCAAGTCGTCGCTCAAGACCTCGCCGACCTTGAAGGGGCCATGCAATGTTGTGAACACAAAGGCGAGATTTAATGCCTGAGGGCATAATGCACACAGTACGAATACCGTGTTAAGAGAATATGTTACTGTGATATCGGTTTACCGAGCTATCTCATAGACACGCGAATAAAAATTGCCAATCGAACACTGTTCAGCAAACAGTCCCTAGGAGTACCTCACGGCGGCTATGATACTTTGTTGGAACCCTCCCCCCAGTTGCTCTTTTTCTCGATGCAGCCGGTAATTTGCATTCGTAAACCGCTGTCAACCCGGTCAAAATGTCCATCTTGTCAGCGGTGGCCAGAACGATCACGTCACGAGGCCGACTACGCGTCGAGCAGGTATGCGATTCAACATCGAGCCATTGAGAAACTTGGAGCACACAATGACGAACAGATACTGACTTTTGGATAGATCCAACTGAATTCTGCCTCGTCTACCCGGCTCTTGACATGCTCCTGCCCCCTATGCGGTGCAGAGGCGCCGAGGCCCTCAGAAGAGGAGTCGCACTCCGGCTTGATGGTGCGTGCCCCTGTCTTCGTTGAGCATAGCAACGAGGTCTCCTCGACTACTGTCTCTGAATCACCAGAGGCATCTCATCGAGCATCGAAAGGGCCAGAAACCTCGGCCTGGGGTTCCCTGGCTGGATTGGTCCCCAAACGCCGGCCTGTCCCGCTGGTCGTCAAGAGGGACCCTGCGCCAACGAGCGGGAACGCTAGCTCGACATCGACGACAGCACCAGCACCAAAACCAAAGGAAGCCCCTGAAGGCGCAAACCGATTATCGCCGACATCGGCGAAATGGGGGACTTTTCACGCTCAACAGGTCCACGGCCCTGCTCCTGACCCGACCGCCAAGGCGCGGGCAAAGAACAGGCCGAGGCCCGGGACGGCGGCGCCGCGGTGGACGCCCAACTCGCTTCCGTCAGAGGCGAGGTCCGGGGAATGGGGCGGCTTTCATCGTCTGCAGGATTTAGCGGCTTCCAAGCAAGATGAGAGCGAGAAGTCTCTGGTTGTCCGCGCCGAAAGGGGTGACGATTTGGCTGTGGACGACGGACATGGACAGAGTCCTCCCGCCGATGCCACCCCTCTTATTGGGGAAAAGGCGAACTCGAGTTTGAAGTCTTCATCGCCGAAGGGTGTCAGTGGAGCAGCAAAGGAGGCGGAAAGCGACATTGAGAAGGCCGATTGCCACCAAGCGCATATCCTGCATTCGGAACCATATAAAGAAGATGGTCATCTGAAACACCTTTCAAAAGATCAATGTGTCTCATCAACTCCACAAGATCAACCGACCGCGGTACCTTCTCCAACCACCGAACGAGAAGAAGGAAAGCCTGGCTTGGCAACCAATACTGAACCTCAGGAGATTATCCCTGACAGCGTACGACGGACGGTAAGTGGGAGCTGGGGAGCCTTTCTTGCAGATTTCAAGAATAAGCATCAAAGGCCCGCTAGGGCAGCAAGCGAAGAAGTCGAAGCAGATGCACCGGCCCCATACCTCAGCGTCGCCGACGTTGCCGCCATATCGCCCACTATATCTACTTCTGGGCCCGACGTTACTTCCGATACCAATGTCCGCCCTGAAGCGGCACCGGAAAATAGGGAGAAAGTTACGCCTCTGATTGCAGACCCTTACGAACCCTATTCCTCGCCAGCCAAACTCACTCCGGCTACCGATGCCCGCCCTCGCCTCGGATTCATAACCCAGGTAGAAGCCATCGCCCTCATCGATAGACTCTCATGTGAGAGGGGGGTCCCGGCAATGAAAGCAGCCGAACACAGCTCGAGTGAAGGAGAGCCAGAGGTTTCATCAACCCAACTACATCCAGACCGACACCAGCCAGTGGGTCGATCGGACACGGTGACGGCAATCAGAGCCGAAGCGTTATCCCTAATAATGGATCAAGAGCTTCCGGAGTCGTTGCACGCTGACAACGATGAGCATGGGCAAACTGGAATCAACAAACCCAAAAACGATTGTTCAAAGAAAGTTGGCGCAGAAGAACGTCGCACAAAAGATTCGCCTCAAGATGATCTCGCAACCCTCGCGTCGCCAGCACCGTCACATGCAACTACTACAGATTGTAGCAGGCGGCATACGGGCTTGGAAACATTCCCTATAACTAGCAATGGCAGTCAGTCCACCGTTACGGAACAAGAGGCAGTAGCTGCGCCATCCGAAGATGCCGCTTTGGCAGATAACTTAGCTTGGGAGAAGGAATGGCTGCGTGAGCATCGAATTATGGCTGCCCGGAAGAAACTCAGGACCTCCTTGCAGCACTTTGATCTCATCCTGGAACAAGAGTCTAGGACACTGTCAGTTGAGTGCCGTTATGAGTTGGATATTATCCGGGATTGGCTTCTCTGGATTAGACTGCTTGTCGGAATTCTGGGTACTAGGAGGGGACCCGAACCCAATTGGGGGATTTGTGCCCTTTGTGAGCGGACGACTGATAAAATCACCAGACACCACCTCATCCCGAAAGGTGAACGTGATCATGACCGTTTCACCGTTAAAGAGATGAACAAGCTTATACGCCTCTGCGAACCTTGCCACGGAATTATACACAGAGTCTTTTCGAATGAAGAACTCGCTATAGAGTTCAATTCTCTGGAGCTGCTTACCGCACATCCCCGGATTCAATCCTGGCTGATGTTTGCGAAACAACATTCCATGGAGGAGCTCCACCGTTTTCTGGTACCCTTACATCTGCGGCGCCAGCTGTAAGTGCTCAAAACATTTCGTTTCCTCCCGTTCATACTGCCCACCTATCGCAGTTGTCTTGTCTCTCTCATTTCGCATGTACCCATAAGATACACGCACCCCTTGCCAAGACTTAGAAAGCACAGCCGACTAACTCTGACGCTATAGAACAGGACCTGAGCTTCAAAGACATCTAACCCGTGTCGAAAACGCCCTCGTCACCATCTCAGACAACAAAACCATGGTTCTATCAGTTTTGCGCAGGTCTGTATCGAAACGACTTGGACCTGGTTCACGTGTCACATGCAAACACATAGTAAAAGCGCTTGACTTTCGGAGTGAGTGGAAAGGCTGGAGACAACGTTTAATCGAGCATGATGCAAAGTTCAGGGAAACCTTTGTCTCTGAGAACCGTTGCTTTAGGAGAAAGACACAAGTAAACTCATGATCTCCAATCGGCATTTGAAGCCCCATTCATTCCACTGGCTTGGCTTGGCTTGGCTTGGATACAGACTCTATCCTCTGGCTGTTTACACTAACCTATCAAAGATCCACCGCATATATACAACTAAGAAGCTCACTGGTCTATGAAACTTGAGTCTGGAACTTACATTGCTCTCAGATGATATCATTCTAATGAAGCGGAACTCTATTTCTAGTGTTGTGAATCTGAATGTGTGTTCTCCCGTGAAGACAGGATCTGGAGAGCAAAAGAGGGCCTCGCCAGACTGCTTTAATCTTCAAAAGAGCAGGAAGGACTCATAACACCAGGTATTCGCTGGTCTTCACCGACTCAACTACTAATCCGGTACACATAGAATCATCTCGATGGAGCCGATATGGCGTTTTGAATAATGGCTTTGAGCCTTTGACTGCCAGAAGTGGATGGCATCGCTCCTCTTGCCGGTCGGAATAGAGCATCATTACCCGATCAGGATCAATCTCTGAGCATTAAAACCACCATAATTTTGGCCTTGAGCGTCTCAGAGTCTATCTCAACCCCGGGGTGTTTCTATGATGGCTTCATTTTTACGGCTTTTCTCAGCGGATTAGGCCAGGCATGCACCCAATATTACGGAGCAGAGGGATAACCGCCTACGAGGAGGGGCATTCCACTAAAGCGAGGCAGCGCTAGATGCCTTACGTTAGGAAAGTATGTTAACCACAGGTAAATATTAAAGTTTTCTATTTATAGCGGGCCTGTCACCGGTAACCTTTGTAGTTATTAAGCTGGATTATAATGGAATGGCTGTGGGGCCATTATAGAAGACAGTATGATATAAATATGAGATTACGATACGTAGAACTAGATCTTAAGGTCAATCTCTTACATCCTTCAGATCCATTTCAGTCTAAGTTTTCTCATCTATAGATGATGCCATTGAGGTTAACTGTGAACCTGGATGAGGAGTAGGTTTAACCATAGATCCTGATATCTCGACGTTTATCTGAGAAAGTGTCAACCAGCAATTATTGGATACTGTAAGCTTGTTATACATGGATATGAAATATTGAGTATTTGGCCCTCATGAGGGATAGGAGTAGGCGCAAAGCTATATCCAGAACTGGCCCTACTATAGGCCACACTATATCACCTTTCAGCTGCTCGGTTGGGATATAGAGACTTTAGGCACTAAGACCAGCGGTCTAATTATAATAATATTTTTCTAATATGCCCCTGTAGGAAGGCAAAAGACGTGGGTTATCTGGTTTATTATCAGGCCGATTCTCTACCTTTCTGGTTCCCTGAAGCCTATTAGTACATGATCACTTAAGTGGTACTTTAGAGGACGAAACACCGGCATAAAAGGCTTCGAGGCCTTTCTGTATATAACGGACATCTCTTAGAAGATCAATTTACGATATTAGCATATGTACGCAGGGTGGCGTGCCAACAATAGAATACTTCCTAATTACTAAGGGACGGAACCGAGGACAGATTAAACGCGTGGTGGCCACAAGTCAGGTTGAGAGGACGACGGGACGGGACAATATACCGCAGAGTAACGGGCCTCGACCTACGGCCCTCAACTATACATACCCTCGGGGAGGTCTGCGGCAAGGGCGAAGCTCTTGCCGCCATGGCGTTAAATATCATGACAAAAACTTATGTTATGTAGCAGACCGCGCAATTCCCTTCCACATCCGCCACACAGCTCTCCAGGTCCTTGCATAAATAATGCTTTCCCGCCACCCGCTTGGCTAGCTGTCAAAGGCAGTTCCGCCCTGGTCGCCCTTGCTGTCGCTTCCGATGGGCCTTCCATAGCTGCGGCTTGCCGTCAGTGTTATGTCTCGTGGCCTGCCAGTGCTGTGCTGCGGCCTTCTCCGCCGTCGACGCATAAGACGCCGTCGACACATAGAACGCCGGCAGCATACGAAAGACAAGCTCTTGCCCCTCCCATACCCATGACCAGGACGATCAGGCCATGGCGATCCGTAAGCTTCTGGTCGCCACTGTTGAAAAGGGACTTTCGTCCCTTGAAGTGGGCGTCTAACAATGGATATCGCCCAATATGGAAGGTTAGATATCCTTTAGAGCCATGCAATGTGCCGCTTGATCCGAAAGCTTGTGTTGATGTTTGTTTATTGGCGGTTATCTGTTGGTTTTTAGCTGTTGGTCGTTGGTGGATATTCGATATTCCCAGCTATATCGTTTCCGGTTATCATTCCGAACTCTTCACAAAAAACGAAGGACCAAAATTATGGCACGCCTTCCCTCTTAGGCACTGAAGCCGATGGTCAGCAATTAAATCACATTTTGTGCTTTGGGTCTCTTTGAAGACATCAAGGAGCCCGAATCTTTTACTTATAAGAGAGGAGAAGCAACATACTCTCCGACTCGTGTTCCTTTGTGTTACCATCTTATTACTCTTTTCACATCGAACATTCTCTACTTCATCAATTAGCAGAAACCTGGTTTTTACGCTTCTCTCGTTTTTGAGAATTGATCAGTAACCTGTCACTACACGATGCTCTTTACACTGTTGATCACTATGCTCCTCAACCCATTCCGACCATGTGAGGGTTCGCCAACCTTCCAAGAGGAGTATCGCGGCAACTATACGCCAACCTTTGTCGACGCGTGGAGCGGCCCCCAGATCGTAGCGCCAAATACTCCATACGTGGCAGCGGTGGGCCGAAACCAGTTGTACTTTCTCGATACCCGATTTGATCCCGAGATTGCAAAGCACATTAAGGAACAAATCGAGAGGGCGACTATAGTAGGCCCGGAAGACGTCATCGACATCGACGAGATTTCGGCTACAGCAAAAGTCAGAAATGCTGTGACCAACGAAACACTCTTCGTCTTTGACCCCCCCTACGCTAGGGTGCTATTTGCAAGAGGAATCAACAAGCGCAACCCCGACCTCAAACTGCCCGAGCATGAGCCCGCCGGCGATTGGCTGGTGACCTACGACATTGGCAATAGTTTGACGAAGAGGGCCGATTCCTGCTATGATTACGGCTGCAGCACCCCCGCAGACTGCAGACGGCAGACAAATGGCAACTGCGACGTCTGTCACAACTATAGGGTTGACAACGAGTGTGACCGAGCATTGACCAATGCCATCGGTGTGTGCCGCCCACTCTGCAGTAAAGCGGTCGACGTACCAAAGGAAGACGGAGAGGAGGACACCAGCTACTATCAACGGATGGACAACTTGCACTGGAAGTAGAGGAATGTCATGACCGTTAGGCATGACAGGACCGGGGGACGCCCTGCAACCCACCTGGTGGCTACGTGACATTTGTATGCAGGAATCACAGGAACAGATGGGACCCTCAGGAACGGAAGAATTACCTTATAGACCAGGCTACGGTTACGTGACGACAAGATAAGATAATGGTCGGTGCACCGCAGGGGGACCAACAGATCACGACGATCAGCTGCAGCATTATGATCACCCAAACTAGGCAACACAAGACAACGGAACTGTTCATAGGACTTGTACATAGGGCGACCTGAGCCTGCCTCAAGGTCAGACTTCCGTAGTTCTTCAGAAATCAACTCTATAACCATCCTCATGGATACTTTTAGCTCATATTTTACTGCGAATCCCTTCGCTAGGCCCATGACTGATCACAATAGCCCTTGAAGACCGATCTGTCCAGTATCCCTCCAAGCCCATACGAATTACCTACCGTTCTACAGCGCCAATCCCCAGCTTCTGTTAGCAGACCCTGCTGTCGGATAGCTGACCATGACACTTCTCGCTTGATGATCCTCGCGCAACGCTCCATCCGGATTCTCTCCTGACTGCGGAAGACCTTGCTGATGAAGTCTTCTGGCCACCTGAGATTCAACTGCAGCTCTTGTGGGGCCCTTACTAGCTCCTTCTGAGGTGTTAAGACGGGGGTTTAACTTTAACTGCCTTTACCATGAACGCACTAGGGTGTTTTTTTTTTTTTTCAAACTAATAGAAGGGCATGGATATTCAAGGGCGGCCGCCCAGGCTGTGTGCCTCCGCCATCTTTCAAGGCCCCCTTGTCAATCTCTCATCACTACTTGTATAGACCGCCTGTAAATGGCACTAGGTGTCTCGCTGCTCCACGCATCATGGTGGGGCGTGAGCCGACGCATAGCGAAAGGTAGGTAATCAGAGAAATGAGCTGGCGGAGCGAGGGTGCACACACGTGCAGGCGAGTCCAGAAAATGGAACGGGTGCGAATCGGTATCGGATCTGTGCAGGCTGCCTGCTGCAATGTGACCTGTCATATTCGTGCCATTCAGATACTGTGAGAACTCAAGTCGTCGCGTCGTTGATTTATTCAGATCACTCTAGGCAGGCCGCGCCACGCTCCAGCAGGCGGCATGACTCACACCCGCCAGATTCCAGCTGGTGGCCGAAGCAGGTGCCAAAGATGCGGACGCCCGGGTGGCGCTCGTAGACCTGCCAGACGAAGGCGGCCGACTCGAGTACCCAGGGGTCTGTGTCGTAGGCCGTGGCGATGGAGCTCGTGAGAAGGACGGCGTCGACGGCGGCGGGGTCCGGGTAGTGCCCGGTGACGACGTCTCATGTCGTGAATCTGGCGAGGTGGGATGCGTTGATGCGTTCGACGGCGGCGGCGAGGCGCTTCATGTATTGTGCGTTGTGGTACTTGCCGTAGACTGTTTGTACGGCTGTGACCGTGACGTCGGCGTCGAAGATGGCGATGAGCCGGACCTGTCCTTGGACTCGTCGCCTCTTCTAACGCACCGGCTGCCATTGCGCCTCCGGCTCCTGTTTGGTTTAAGTCTCCGGACTATGTATTGGTGAGGGCCTTGGTGCCGAACTGTGGTCTACCAGCGGTCGATCTGAAATCTCTCGCGATGCAAAACGCAAACAACGAATAAGGCATTCTTCTTGTTAACTACGATTTGATTTTGGCTCACTTATCTTATATCTTCGAGTCGGAAAGACGATGGGACTCTAGGGTCATGCTTGATGCGTCTATCGCCAACTATCTTCCCGTTTCTACACATTGGGCTAAAGTTTGGCAGGTTTTCCTTCGGCCTTCATGCCTCCTCCTTGATTCAACCTGCCCGAAACCTCTGATTTTGGTTCAACCATTGTATCCAGACTTCTTCAAAATCTCTTCCAGCAACACATGGTTCTTCAGAGCCGTCTGAAAGTCCGCATACCGCGAAGTATCGCCTCTGGCGAAGGCATCAAATATGAGGGCTGTGTTCAGTCCAAGGGCCGATACCTCGACGCCTTCAGGAAGCTTACCACTCTCGAGAGTGACCTCTTGTACTTCTCCTCCGACAGTTTTGTACGTGAGTTTCTTGCTGGGGCTGTGACCTTTCCGCTGTCCCCCATCCAAAACGGCCTCGATCTCGCCCTTTGTGCCGCTGATGATCCAGCGAGTACCATCCTCACTGACCGTGACTGGGGTGGTTCGGAAGGCAATCGAGGCAGTTGCCCCGTTTTGCAACATCCCTTGGACCAAGATCTGGTCTGGGGAGGACTTGGAATACGCAGGATTGATGACGGTGACTCTGTCAGCTTTGTAAAGGGGCACGGTGTCGACGTCACGCTTCAGGACTGAAGACAGGGTGCTGAGATCGAAGTCGCCAACAACGTTTGTGAACGAATCCAAGACTGTATCCCAGAAAGATTAGTCATTAACGTTGCCTATTGCACCAAAAGATCGAAACAGCTCTAAAGGTGACTTACAATGCCCAAATATAATGTGGAACGCGTTACCTCCGCTTTTGATGTCGTGGTAGTACTCCGTGCCCTCCACCCAGAAGCCAGGAGGGAAGTGCGGAAGAGCGCCGACAACGGAAGTGCTCCTAATGTCGCCAATCTCCCCACTTTGCACAATTTCCTTCAACTTGAGGGTGAGAGCGTCAGCACGACGTTGAAGACCAACGATAGTCTTGAGTCCGTTGGACTTGGCCAGTTGCGTGAGCTGTTCCGCCTCTTGAGCCGAGGCGCCCAGTGGCCATTCGACAAAGACCTGTTTCTTGTGGGCGATGGCGGGGAGTGTCACCGCGAGATGCTTGGTCACGACGACGCTGACAACGACCAGTTCGACGTCGGGGTCGCTGGCCAGCTGTTCGACGTCGCCATAGGCTTTTGTCGTGCTCGGGAGCTTGTGCATCTCAATCGAGCGACGGGCTGCTTCTGCGGACGAGTTGCAGAGAGCGGCTATCTCGTAGTCTGGCGAGTTCTGGAACGAGGGAAGGATGGCGATGGAGGCCCAGGCTCCTGGACCCATGACTGCCTCCTTCGCGGACAGTCCAATGATGCCAACTCTAATAGGAGCCATGATTACTGGTAAGGGGAGAAGGGGGGTGGGTAAAGCTTAGTCGATGAGGTAGGCAGTAAAGAGTTTAGGAAGATGAATCTATCATAAGTCCTCTGTTCAGTGAACAATGACGGTCGAGATTGCAATGTTGCCTTTTCGAAGCAATTGACCCTCGCGGCATCGCTCTTTATATCTCCCCTAAGAACAAATGAATCCAAGTCCATTGAATCGACGGCCATTCTACCAATGACATCTGAACTCTCGTATACGCGATCATCAGTGGGCATGATGCAGTTGGATCAGCGACCATTTCTCACAACCTTGAATCTCCAATTCGCCGGAATTCCGAACCTGTGAGTGTGTGAATCCATGCTGTTCCTGGCCTCTGAGGTCGTTTCTACTCAAGAAGTCAATCAGCCAAACAATAGATTGCGCTCGTAATATCACCGTCCGTCCCGCGGAGCGGAGCAGCGGAGTGGCTTCCGGACCTGGCGAGCCGGTGATCGCTGATTGGCTGGAACTCCGCGGAGTGATGACAAACCGTGGAATTCAACTTGGTTCAACACATCCTAGATTCTGCGTGCGACTTGACCACGTCTCTCTGCTCTCTTGTCAATGGACCTCATTTCTCTGTGATTCGATTGGAAATGACTAGGGCACCCAGTCGAAAGAGGTCTTGCGTTCCGTGTCGGACCAGTAAAGCGAGGTGTTCACTTGGGACGCCTTGCCGGCGGTGCGAAGAAAGGAGTCTGAGGTGCAGATACGACCACGTGCCGAAGCAATCAGCTGGATACCGGGCATTACACCCAGCCGAACCACGCGGCGATCGTGTTCATGAAGGGCTTCTGGATCAGATGCCCACTGGAACGGAATCATTGACCCGCATCGAGAACGAGCGAGTAGACGTACCTCCTGAGGACCGCCCGTATCCCGAGCATGGACCTTCGATGGACTGGGCAGCTCTTTTGTCGACTGAGACTCCGGAGATTCCCATGGATTCTGACCTAGATCTGCGAAGCCAACTGCCTGACCCAATTCCTTTCTCAATGGTCTTCGACTCGCCTCAGCAACGCCAGACGGTGCTAGATGCTGCCGGAGTTCCATGGCAGCGAAATAACGCCCACTTGTTTGGACCAGAGAACCTAGGCGCTTTGGTCACCATACCGGATCCAGATGATGAATATCGCACAAGTGACATTCAGTTGCTTGGGGCTTTCAGGAATTGTCCGGCACGAAAAGCCCGGCCATTCTATCAAGACAAACCCCTCGCCCCGCGAATTCCTAGATCCGTGGCAACATGTTTCACAGCCAAAGTGCTGCTCGGCCAGATCTTGTCTTATCCAGTGATGATGATCAAGGGTGGTCGGCTGCCGCCTTTCATATTCCCACCTTGCGTCATTGAGGGGTCAAAGTCCATGGCTGGATGTTGCGATAAGGAGTTTCACCAGTGTCTGCCAGAACCGCTGGCCATCTGTTGCAACCTAGTCCAGAGCTTTGATCAGAGGACTCAGGGGAGCGCGGATTTTGTGTGGAAGAGTATATATAGTGAAGTAGCCAGGCTCAGGCGAGAGGTGAGGGCTAACACTTTGTTATGAATCATCACCTCATTAACTAACTTTGGTTTGGCAAGCATTCTTCTTACAATTGCGAACAGCTTTTACAAGCTCTCCAGGCTGTGGTAATATATGTGCTGCTTCAAGCGAATGATCTCAAATCAATACCAAATAACGATATTGTAGCGCTTCTAGTAGTACCCAACGTAAGATACCAGGAGACATCATAAAACTCTCATTAACCAAAGTAGTTGCTAGCCAGATCACTCCACTTGTCCCTAGATTACGAAATCAACTTGGCAAAGAGGCCTGACTTGGGTCGTCGGGGCTGGATCCTCCGCGAGAGTAGCAGGAGGTAGGTGACGAAAGTTCAAGTCGTCTTGAGAAGTTTCGCTGACAGCAAGTGCTCCAGAACAATCTGCCTTTTGTTTGGCATTGAGCTTTTGATGGACGTGGACATGAATGCTGAAGACCCGGCGGACTGCGGTGGCTATCGTCTTTTGCCACTTCCATCCGGGAGAGACTTGTGGGAGACAGTGTCCAGCGATGAGTGGGCGGCACGATTTAGGAAGTTGCGGGCTGAGTCTGGCGATGAGAAGGTTCTGAGTATCCAGGATCTTCGAACGGCTAGAAGAGCCTTGGTGGGAGACTTTTCAGATCAGAGCCAGGAGCGACAGCTTGTATCCCAAGTGGCAAAGTGGTGCGAGGGTCTGGATGAGTTCGGCATGATGGTATGGATGGCTGTTATGCTAGAATGACCACGTGGATAATGGCGGAACATCGTACGGTAGAATTCTTGCTTCGAAAGTAGTGATGCATGGATGATAGACAGGCCCCGACCAAATCGTTCGGGGGCGTAAGTTGTGGAAAAAGCATTGTATGAATGGGAAATGTAGTTTTATTGCGCTCCGGATCTATGGACTTGCAAGAATCTGTATCGCCGTTAGAGTTCAGAACCTCCGTGATGAAGGTTTATCCACGATAGCCGTCGACCCTGACGGCCGTCCTCTCTGGTCAACGCTGTCATCAGCAGGAACTCATCCGCGATTCGCTCTTATTAAGTACGCGTGTTAAGATTATTACATTAGGTTGGTAGAGTGTAATTGAGAAGAGTGGTAGTACTGTGTAGCTGTATTATGTATGTCATATCATATGGTTCCCTCGCTTCTTGTGAAGGGATCAGGCCTTCATGACCTCCAGCCAGAGCTTGGTGGGAAGGAGGGACTTGCCGATTCTCAAAGCCTCCGCAATCTTTTCCTGCAACTTTATTCAATTACGCTCATCCAAGTCCCTAGCGATGTACATGGTTTCCTGCTCGTATCTGACTGTATGTGAGGGAATGATGATGGTGGGATTCCGTGGGGAGCTCTCTGACAAAGATATTGTCCCGGTGGAATTGCATAGGTATAAAGACAACGTCATTATCTGGGAACAGTGTACATCTTTCTGAATCGCCCATTTGTGGCCGATGGTAATCTCTACAATACGTCTTGTTCAAGCCTTGCCAACTCATTCATAACCTGCGCGTCTGCGGCCGACAGTACAGTGAGCGTTCTTCGCGTCTACTATAACGTCTTCTCTGTGCGCCATGCACCTTACCTCGTCTAGTATGCCACGTATGTTTCGGCAACGATACACGTGCGGATTGCTGCGAAACGAAACACAGAATCAGAGGCCCAAAACTGTCTAGAAACGTGCATCCCAGTGTTTCGTGAGGATCAGGAGACGAATTCGGCTGTCACGACGGCCAAAACAATACTCAAAGGCTTGATGACGAGACTTGGTGTAAGTCTCCGTGAGTCGCGTGAAAACACTCGGCCTAGGGATCGAACGTTGGTCAGCAAAGAACGCGGTTAGCCATGGCTGCCACATAGGACAAGTCCGAAAGCACCAATTGCTTGCCTCAAGTTTTTCCAAGGTCATCCGCCTCAGACAGCACCTGAGAACGAGTCGCCTCCGTTCATATGGTCGGATATTGATGGGATCATTCAGAGGTTTGAGAGAGGTCAAGATATAAACATGGCCTTCACGGATCCGGACCAAACAGAAACAAGTGCCACAAGCAGCGGGTATACCAGCTTCAAGCCTGGGTCCTTCGAGTTTTGCAGGTAACCAAAACTGTTTCCAGGGGATGCCAGAAGGAGATAGCGGTGTGGTCTCTTTCGATGACTTGCTCTTTGGTTTCAACGGATCCGCATAGGACAAGGACAGCATACTCTCCTGAAGTACCCTAGTAGATAGAATCAGGCTTACTAGGGAGCCACGCAAACGCATTCCTGAGTTTATACCTGGAGGCAAGCAGATCCAGAGCGAGCGCTCGACTTGCTTGGGTAGTCGAACGGTAGTGGCGCTTCACCCGGTCCCGCGGGACACATTCACTCCTGCGGATATGGGCCAATGGCATGGTCTCGCACCTTGATGTGATGAACAGCAAAGGTGTTCAATTCTTTTTTCAAAAAGTTACTCACCACGGGAAATAATGACCTTGATTCTAGGGAGAATACTGTATCATTCAAACCATTCTTAAATTCAAATACCCTTTTCTTTGAGAAGAGCTAGTTTGATCTTGCGCCGCTCCACCGCCTCGCAAATGCACCTCAACATTAGAATCAACAGTACAAGTATTGGATCTCGCAGATTCCTTTGCCAAGTCTCACATCACATCTTACCGCCGCCTTTCCCCGTTCACGTCTCATCATGGAGATAACACCAGGAACTTCAAAGCGCCGGACCAGGCACTCACTTCCCGCGGTTCTTATGCGAGCCGGCACATCAAAAGGCCTCTTCATTCACCGGTCCCACTTGCCGCTATCTCAAGCAGAATGGGCGGCACCACTCCTCGCAGCTATGGGTTCCAAATATAACGATGCCCTCCAAATCGATGGTGTCGGCGGCGGAAGCAGCGTGACGTCCAAAGTCGCCGTCGTCTCGCCGTCCAGTAGACCAGGCGTAGATGTCGAGTACACCTTTGTCCAGGTGGCAGTCGGAAGCGAGACAGTTGATCTCAGCGGGAACTGCGGCAACATATGCTCAGGGGTCGGTCCTTTCGCCGTGCAAGAAAGATTTTTTAATCCGATGCCTGGTTCTCGGGTGGTTGACGCGCGCATATTCAACACTAACACCTCGAAACTCATCATAGTAACGGTCTACATTGACGAAGACGGAAACGTGGAGGAGGATGGGGACTGTTTTATTCCGGGGGTCAAAGGGCCCGGCAGTGAGATCAAGGTTGCTTTCGTTGAGCCGGTGGGCAGCATGACCGGCAAGCTCTTCCCCAGCGGAGAGCGGTCCGAAAGTATCCTCGTGGAAGAAGTAGCTTCTCTAGGCGACTTCTCGGTAAACGCTACTCTGATCGACTCAGCGAATCCCTTCGTTCTCGTCGACGCTCAGAGTCTACCCGCGAATATCAAGAGACAGCCTCCGGATTCTCCCATTTCCCTCGAAGTTGCTGAAGCCATCCGGACACGAGGGGCCGTCCGCATGGGACTTGCCAGCACCGTCGAAGCCGCCTGTCTGATTAGAGGTACCCCGAAGCTCGCGTTTCTTTCGCCCCCAACTGGCGATGAGTTGATCAGAGTTGCGCCGGCGGATATTCGGGTCCAAGCTTACAGCATGGGCAAGCCTCATTCGAGTTTACAACTCACGGGCGGCGTGACTCTGGCATCCGCCGTGATCACGAAGGGGACCGTGGCGCACCGTATTGTCGGTCGGGATCCGACGCTGGAGGCCGGGGGTGTGCCAACGCCCAGAAGAACGCCAAGCCCGGCAGAGGGACATGTCGGCACGACGTCTGCAAATAGCTTGGAAAGCCCTGTCGTGGACGGTGACAACGTCAAACGCACCATTCGTATACAGCATGATAGTGGAATCATGGAGGTAGAAGTCTGGGCTCACGAGGAAGGAAATGGGGTTGCGGTCGATCGATGCGTGGTGACCAGGACCGCTCGGAGACTGATGGAGGGGAACGTCCTTTATTACTCCTGACGGAGAGAGTCGTGTGTGAGACTGGAACTCTGATTTTGGAGCATAGCCTGCGATAGACCTGCGCCCTCTACCAGCTACCGATCAAGTTTTGCGTAGCTAGCAGTGGCAAGCGAGACGGAAGTAGGGAGCAAGCTATCTGCTTACAAGCCTGAGACTGCCTAGTCCTGCGCGCCAATTGTGCTTCTCTTGAGACCCACTGACAAAGCTTGTAAACGTCTTGCACCCCCTGTTGTACAGCACCATTACCGCCCTTCAGTTAATTTGGGTTAATACAAAAAGATGACAGGCTTGGATTATTCAGAGATCCAGATATAATTGATGCAAAAGGCAAAAGAAACTCCTCGACGGGGAATTGAACCCCGGTCCCCTGCGAATCGCTGAAATTCAATGACAAGCAGATATCCTCACCACTAGACTATCGGGGATTGGTGGATGTGTTCATCCAGTGATAGTTTGTTGGAAGCGGGGCGAGGGTTTGCGTATATGTACTGTTGCACGGTCCACCCCGCGTTCGGGGACTTTGCCTTGCTCATACCTTCCTTTCTCTGAAGGCACCGAGGGAGAAAGAGGAGCAGAACTGATTCACCAGACAGATGAGGCTTTTCAGGGATTCCACTAGCTCGGAAGGGCTGCACACACTGTTTTTGAGTTGGGAAAAAGGCAAGGTCAGCGATCCTCGTTTGGATCGTCCGATGTTCCGCGAGCCTCTTATTGCCCGCGGTGTGAGCAGTACAACCACAAAATTATGTAGTGCATCATTCTCTGCTCTTAAAATGCTGAAGGAAGAAGTCCGTATCAAACAAGTCTTGAGCTAGGAATCACACCCCAAGGTGGCTGAACCGCTGTGCATCACATCGCACCATTGATACTTGAGCAAATAGAGACCAGGGACTACGGTGCGTAAACGGTGGAGGATCTCAGAGCCAAGAGATTCGTCGTAAGGGCAACATCAACGGTATTCCGTAAAGAGGAAGGCTCAACAGAAACCAATCATACATCTTCAAACAGCGTTTTAAAATTCTACCCGCATATTTTTGAACCATTGCGACATGACTTCCCCCTCCTTCTGGGGCAAAGAAGATTGACGGACCGTTCCGTTTTCATAGACGCTAAGATATGGAGCTCATTGAACGTAGGCATCGATTCGTAATTCTGTGAAGTTCTACGCCTTCGGAGCAGAGTCCGACTCAACAGCAACAACCTCTTTCTTCTGCGGGATCAGGTTACGCAGCGAGAGGTCGTACACAACATCCTCAACACGCTTGACATCATACTTGACCGCGTCGACGCGCTTGCGGAGAATGTCGTTCTTGAGGTTAAGCAGCTGGAACCCGGCAAATAGGTCCTTGACGAAGCTGCTGATCTCGACGGGCATGGAGAAGTCGGCGAGAGTGACGGCATTGGTGGCGAGACGGGAGAGTTCGGAGGTCAGATCGGTGAGGGCGAGGAGATACTCCTCGATGGTGAGGTGGAAAGCGTCGCGGTCCTTGAGGTTCACGGGTACTGGTGCATAATTAGCGCAAGGCTGCAAAAGGACTTGGGTGCCTGGAAGGCAGGCTTTAGGGTTGGTGGTACCTTTGAAGATTTCGCCGACTTCCTCGAGCGTCAGGAGACGGGCGATGGGACCGGGCTTGCCATCGGATGTGAGGCCGCCCAACCACCCGGAAAGCAGGACGGTGAAGATGGCGTTCTGCACTTGACGGTTCCACTTCTGGTTGTACCTAGCGAAGGGGAGTCAGAGGATGGTGCCTGGGCGGCGAGGGATGGATGCCTACTTGTAATACGGATGCTTGGAGGCGATTTCTTGGAGCTCTCCAATAACCTCAATCTCCTTCTGGATACCCGCCTGGACGTCAGCCAACAAGGGGCCGTCTGAGTCAATTGGTCAGTCATGTTTGAATCTCGGCGAGGCGGCCGACTTGGGCGGCAGTAATGCTCGACGGCCGCGAGATGAGGACTCACACTGCTGACGCGGGGTGGCGTGGATGCGCGAGAGCAGACCCTGGACGTAGGAGATGGCCCTGTCGAGCTTTTGGACCGTCTGACTCATTTGGTCACGAACTTCCTGGTCTTCTTCGATCTTGTTCTTGAGGTGCTCGAAGATCTGGGGGTCCAGCAGACGAGAGGCGGGCACCTCACCCATGTTGGTGTCGTTGTCCATGATGGCTGAGTGATGAGGTTTGTGACTGAGTGGTGCTGGGAGAATTGGATCTGGAAGGTGTGTGAGCAGCGGTGCGAATACGAGCTTAATTCGAAACCAAAAGATTCGACCAGTGATTTGCGTGGGATTGTTCAATATGCCTCCAGTCTTGTCTTTGAAGCGACGACCACCTTGGTGAGATTTGAATTTAGCAGATGGAAATAGCCCCGCGATTTGCGACGTCACACTGGAGGCGGCAGGCTGGGGGGAAAATCAGAGTTTTACTTACAACAGCGACTGGCTTTGGCTGGCAAACAAATAATTCGTCACGACCCCTAGAAATGCATCAATATGCTCACAGTCTGGGCGGCTTCACGGTGTCATTGACGGTCGTAGGCTTGAAGAAAATCATGCAAATGGAAGGCGGTCAGTCTGGTCAAATAGAGTCGCCGCCCAACATGGATGAGCTTCTTTCGATATTCGGCTAGAGACTGAATTTTGACACATACATACACCCCACGACTACGACAATTCCAGCGTTGCGTTCCAAGACCATCGACACAAATTTACAGAGGGAAGACGGCTGAAAACCTTCTTCACACGCCTGGACAAGCCAGACAGAGCAATGAAAGATCGTGGGTTTGCGTCGCCTGGAGGCAGTGAAATACCAGGGACACGGTGGAGAGGGTGTACAGCAAGCCGCAGAGGCCCATCTCCGAAAATCAAAAATAGGAATAATCAATGTGATGCCAATAGGCATCTTTCAGAGATTAAACTGAAAAGAACAGATACTACACTTGATCTAAGCCAAAAGGCAAAGAAGAGCTGAAGAGAAAAGAAGAAAAACGCTAAAAGGGTGGTGGTTGAAGAGATTTATATAGTGTGAGGGCTTGGTCCGTGCAGAGTACACGATCAGCTAAGGTACGTATCCGGGAAGAAATTGAGGCCAATTTTTTGCTGTCCAGGACGTACACGGTACAGATACGTATCGTTTTGGTCCAGCTGCCTAAGGTACCTACCTAAGGTATAGTTGATGCCTCAACACCTTCTGCAATGCTTCACGATGCTCGACCCAAATCCTACAGAGAATCATACCATTATGTCTGAGGCAGGATTCAGGCCTGGCAATGACGCCGGCAGCTTCTTCCGAAATATTTTCTCTGTATGGGATTACAATTTTGATGCACCATATGTCGAGCTACCTCAGGTCGTCTCTGATCAAGGCTCCAAGCATACAAATGGTATCAAGGACTTGAAATAGCGCATCGGCCGAATCTGGCTCATTGGCTTAGCCACATCAAATCATTTTTCCTGCTCATTCGTTAAACTCTTATTGGTTTGGTTTTTTTGTGCACACTACAAAGTAGGTAATCGACAATGCCATGGTCATCCAAGGAGCTAGACTGCTACGTGCCTTTCTTCCATCTGTATAGGAACACAGTGCTGGCGACGGCATGTCAATACCGTTGCTTTCGCAAAATGACATGCTCTCAGCAACCTTTTCTCAATCCTGGGATCCGCTAGCTAGATGTTTCTGCATTTAGATGGTCCGGCGATCATGCGGAAAGCAAGTTCCAGGGGCCGTCATATGTATACTGACTGTATGATAGATGCTGCCGTCAAAGATGGAGGGCCGGCAGTTTATGAAACTACTCCAGTTCATTTTCTAGGGAGACCCCCGTCAATCATGAGCTCCGTCGTTGCGTGACGGAAATCCGGGGAGTTTTAATGACCGCCCAATCCGACCAGGATGCATATCATGCAGGCATCGTCTAGCAGTGGGAAAAAGGGGAGCTCTGCCCGGAGACTTCTATGTATTAGCTTCATAGCAAACATCGATCGATATGCGGCGTCAGCTCTGGCGGGTGGCGCAAGGTTCGAAGCCAGCAGCGAGCTTCGTCTAGCGGCGGGGGGCCAAAATTCGGAATCTCTGATGACCGGATCTTTAATTGAAGCAAAATCAAGCTTCTCATTGGCGGGTCGCCTAGACGAGAGGTGCATATGCGGGTCCCCTGCAGCCGAGGAGGCTCCCAAGGGGGTTAGAGTCGGTACCTTCTCTGCATGCGCAAAAGCCGCATAAAAAAGAGTACCTCTAATTTCAACTTTGTTCGTGACCCTTGACTACCGGCAGAAAGGGGGCAACCACAAATGTCAACAAAATTTTGAGTGGCAGAGACCGGCGCGGCAAGGGCCCAATCGAAATCCTAGAACACACTACCAAGTTTGATGTGAAGCCGTTCGGGTCTGGGTATTTCGTCTTCCCGTCCTGCACGCCACCCCTCGACTCCTTGTCTGTTCGTACTCGGATTCTCCATACCAGACTGCCACGTCCCGTTTTCCTATGCCTTGGACCTTGGACGAACGCTGCTCAACAATCCAACCCTCAAACCCCGGCCGCCGATAGCCACACGGACTCTGGCCGCCAGCTCAGCTACACGAGAGGTGCATGACCCCACGCTGAAGATTTCTGGTATTCTGTATAAAAAGAGCAGCCATCATGACGGGCAGATACTCGTTGCGCCAGACTCCTAGGTCAGTCAAATTGTGACTTTTTCCCTCTCCTTCTAGCCTGAAAACAATTATTTGAAGCAATTGGATCGGCTGCGAACAGATCACGCGACCAGATCTTTTGCGCATCTCTCATTGTAGCGCTTGTCGCAAACTGGAACCATGGCCGCTCTTCTTTCCTCTTCCAACGGGTCAATACTCTAGTTCACAGTCTTCTTCTCACATGTGCTAACTCATTATACAGGAAGAAGGAGCTCTTTGAGGGTATGGTCGAGACCCCTCGGCGCGTTTCTTCTAGACGCAAGTCTCCCGAGACCACCACCGGCGCAGAGGTTACCGAGTCGAAGCCGCAACCCCGTGCCCCGAGACGACGCACTACGGGCAAGTTCCGCGAGGAGCTCGATGATGAAGTTGAGACGGCCACGGCGAACGGCAAGGCCGACCTTGATGAGCCTTTGACCAACGGCCACACCAACGGATATACCAATGGACACGTCAAGGAAGAGCCTGTCGCCAATGGCCACACCAATGGGTATACCCAGGTCAAGGTTGAGGCCGCGGCCAACGGCCACGCCGCCAAATCTGTGGAGGAGGAGGCCCAGCCCGTTTATAAAAAGGGCAACATCATCGACGGCTGGGAGGTCGGCACGGACCCCAAGATTGACGCCTCTGGCGAGTTTGAGTTCGGAGGCAGCGTCGGCACAATGTCTCTGATGATCGGCTTCCCTCTGCTCATGTGGTACATGTGGATTGGAGCTACCTACTACAACGGCGGCGTTCCCACCCGTGAGGAGGGTCAGAGCTGGGGCGAGTTTGGCCGCCATCTCGTGGACCTCGTCTACACTGGCGCGTTTCCCTCACTGCGTGCCTGGCGCATCTACTGGACCTTCTTCATCTTCGAGGGCATCTGCTACTGCGTGTTGCCCGGCGTCTGGGCTTGGGGCAAGCCTCTGGCTCACGAGAACGGCAAGCAGCTGAAGTACTTCTGTAACGCCTATGTCAGCTTCTACTTCACGATTGCCGTCATGGCTGTACTTCACTTCACCGGTGTATTCCCCCTCTACACCTTCCTTGACGAGTTTGGCCCCCTGATGTCTGTGGCTATCCTCAGCGGCTTCCTCGTGGCCTTTGTTGCCTACTTCTCCGCCCTGTGGAGAGGTGCTCAGCATCGCATGACCGGCTACCCGATCTACGATTTCTTCCTCGGGGCCGAGCTCAACCCCCGCATGTTTGGCATCTTGGATTTTAAGATGTTCTTCGAGGTTCGCATCCCCTGGTTCATCCTCTTCGGCCTCAGCTGCGGTGCCGCTGCCCGACAGTACGAGAAGTACGGCTACGTCTCCGGCGAGGTGCTCTTCCTGGTCATGGCCCACTACCTCTACGCCAACGCCTGCGCCAAGGGCGAGCAGCTCATCGTCCCGACCTGGGACATGTACTATGAGAAGTGGGGCTTCATGCTCATCTTCTGGAACCTCGCCGGCGTCCCCCTCTCGTACTGCCACTGCACCATCTTCCTGGCCAACCACCACCCCTCTGAGTACAAGTGGAACCCTATCGCGCTCGGCCTCCTCTTCGCCTCCTACCTCTTCGTCTACTGGATCTGGGATACCACAAACAGCCAGAAGAACGGCTTCCGCGCCCAGGAGCGCGGCCAGCTCGTCGCCCGCAAGACCTTCCCCCAGCTCCCCTGGCAGACGGTCAAGAACCCAAAGACGATCACCTCGGCTAAGGGCGACGTCATCCTCGCCGACGGCTGGTACGGCTACGCCCGCAAGATCCACTACACGTGCGATGCCTTCTTCGCCATCTGCTGGGGTCTTATCACAGGCTTTAAGAGCCCCTTCCCTTGGTTCTACCCCGTCTTCTTCTGCGGCATGATTGCCCATCGCGCGGCCCGTGACATCCACCGCTGTCGTCAAAAATACGGCGATGCCTGGACCCAGTACGAACGCGAGGTCCCCTACCTCTTCATTCCTGTGAGTTCTAATCCTCGATCCACTTTGATGGACGGCGTGCCGTGACTGACTTCTATGCAGTACGTCATCTAAGTGATGATTCCAACAAAAACCCCCAAACACTAGGCGTCTTATGCCACGGCCATCGGGCCATTTTTGTCTGTACATAATCCGCTTCTTCACCTGGAGCCGGTAGTAGCTGGTTTTAATGCTTGGGCAACGGCAGGGCTTACGGTCAACGAAAGGGGAAAAAAAAAACTGCTGGCATCATGTGCGAGACATGGTTGGCATAGAGACTTGTAATTATATAACGGAAGCGGTGCCTTCTTTTTTGACAGTAGTTATCACCGCGGCTTTCTTTGTCAAGTTAGGGCAGCATTTGTTGCGCAACCTTCTGAAATCGAGTTAAATGAGTAAAATGAAACATCTACACAGAGACGAAGAATCCCCATAGCTTTGTAACGTTGTCGCATGTTGGTTGTCTAGGGTTTCCACCATAAGTCTGCTCGGATAGTAGTGGAGCTTGATTTGAAGGCCCTCAAATATGTATGGCGGAAGGTAAACCCAAGTTCTTCAGCACTCCCGCCGGCAGCATCATTGTTCATTACTCAGCCTCAATGATGGGATTCCCCACAGGAGCTTGTCGTCACTATTTGTACTGACGCTTTGGCAAGACATTGCAGTCAAAGTAGCTTAGGTCAAGTATTTGAGGAACTCAGATCGCAAATCGTCTGTACTGCGCATGAAGAACATGGATGAAGTACAGTTTGGTCTCTGTTCCTTACCTGTAACTGTTGTCTGCAGTCTGCTGTCTAGAAATCTTATGACAAACCCTCGGCTTTGTTCGACAGTGGGGGCTACTGCAGTAGTTGAGACTCCGAATCAACGTGCTGTCGAAGACTATCTCGAGTCACATTGCAGAAGCACAGAGGCACGGAACTTGAACAATGTAGTAGACGCATAAAAAACATATTGTCGCAACCTAGACTACAATTCCGTTCTCCCATCACCGTCGTCTATGCTGAGCAATCGGCCCCCTGAATGGATAGCATACCTTGATGGCAAAATAGTACATATACGTTTGATTCCTGATCGAAGCAGTCCCCGATCGTCCCAAACATGGCATTTCGTGACCTTCGACCGTTCCCACGCCTATGCCTTAAAACCTTTGATTCGAGTTTTCGACGCGCCTGCTGATGATATTTGTCCGCCCTGTGGCAGTGATGCCCGTGCAAGTTGTGGCTTAAGTACATCTTGTCAACCGTTCAACCGAGCATTCGTCGTGTTGGTATCGTCGCTTAGCAGGTGACGTCCTGGGTGGCCTTGGAGTTCATGAGGAGGGCAACAATCAAGCCGTAAAGACCTATAGACAACATCGTCAGTAAAGAGAATGTATACAGGCGGCGGGGGTGGCGTGGCGTACCCAACACTTCGGCGAAAATGAGAATCAGAATCATGCCGACGAACAGACGGGGCTGTTGGGCAGTTCCACGAACACCAGCATCACCGACAATACCAATGGCGAAACCAGCAGCAAGACCAGCAAGACCGACAGAGAGACCAGCACCGAACTGGATGAATCCAGTGTAAAGGGCCATCTGCTGCTGAAGGCCGTCGGAGATAAGCACGGACACGACGAGACCGTAGATAGCAATGATACCAGCCATAATGACGGGAACAATGTCTAGAGTATAAGTTAGCACATGCTGATGAAACTGAACCATGTGTACATGGACACGGATTGTGGAGGCTGGTTCGTACTCTTGACGATCAGGTCAGGGCGGAGGACACCCATAGCCGAGATACCGACACCGGACTTTGCGGTACCGTAAGAGGCACCCAGGCAGGTGAAGACAATAGCAACGGTGCAACCCATGGCTCCGAAGAAGGGCTAAGGCAAGTCAGTAAATGTCGTTGACGCGATGTCGTGTTGGTGCCCAAATGGCTCATTGTACGCAGGAAGGGGGCGACGTCATGGATCGATGACTCGTGAGGCACAGGGAGAACGAACCGCATAGACGGGGCTGTGGCACTATCGCGTTAGCATATGAGCTTCAGAAGGGCGGTAGAAAGCTATCTGCGCCACTTGGGCTTCGAAAAGGATGGAGTTGGGAGCTTCGACTGATGGATAGGAGCTCGTAAACGGGGGCAACAAGCATGTTGTTGACGTACCAAAGTTCGGAAGGCATTTTGGCGGTTTATGTGGAGTCGGACTGGCAAAAAAGTCAAAAAGAAGTCGAGACGAGTCGGAGATGAAGGGAAAGCGGCAGCAGCTGGGCTGGGGACGATTGCGGTGATGGCTGTTGGGGCGGCGAGGTTCGATGCTGCGTCGGCGACTGCTCGAGATGAGGTGTGCTTGTTAAGATCTCGTTTCCAGGTTGGCCTTCTGGTTGGCTGCAAGGTTTTGCGGCGCGTTGACAGCTCCGTCCCCTTACGTAAGGCGAGGAGGAGGCGGTGCCCGGAGATCGGCTAAATATGATGTCCGAGGTGGCTTGCCCAGGTCCACGGGTCCTGTCGAAAGGTGCAGGAGCTGAGGTAGTCCCACTTTTCCACGGAATCTGCCGTCGAAATTTGGGGAAGTGGGATATTTTTTTTTTCTCTGGCTTCAATCGGTCTGTTAAACCTTTACGTCCAGCACCGCACATCCACCGATCTTCTATCTCACCATCAGGGCGAGCCAACGCAAGGAACCCTGCATTATAACATCGGTAAGTTCTTGGAACTACTCATTGTCAATTGTGGTCAGCTAATTGTTTCCCGCAGACATCACTCGACCCCTACATCCTTAACAATGTCTGAATCTGCTGCCTGGCCCCTCGCCGACGATGCTCTCCAGCAAGAGCTCCTGGACATGGTCCAGCAGTGCCAGCACTACCGTCAGCTGAAGAAGGGCGGTAAGTTTTGTTCTGACATCTTCACTTACTAGTCTTACTAACTTAACTTCTAGCCAACGAGGCCACCAAGACCCTCAACCGTGGTGTCTCTGAGCTCATCATTCTCGGTACGTCCCTTGGACCATGGAAATGGAACAAAACTAATGATGCCGGCCAGCTGCGGATACCAACCCTCTCTCGATTGTTCTTCACCTGCCTCTCCTTTCCGAGGACAAGAACGTCCCCTACGTTTACGTCAAGTCCAAGACCGCCCTGGGTCGTGCCTGCGGTGTCTCCCGCGCCGTTATTGCTTGCAGCATCACCTCCAACGAGGGCTCCGAGCTGGCTGGCCCTATCCGCGCTCTCAAGGACAAGATTGAGAGACTCGCCATCTAAGATACCCCCGACATAGGATGATGGGCAGTGTACTATGATATATCTTGGGAGGCGCAGTAAAATGGTTTGGAATGGAAAAGTCTGAATTGTTGATAGGCGTCGACTAGCAATTCTTGGGTCCAATCTTTCTCATGGTCTTTGCTGTTGCGACGAGGCGCGTTGTGGCTGCGAAAAAACAGCTGCATGATAGCGCCGGTCTCGCAGTGGACTGAGAGGTGATGCGGCCCAGAAAACTGTCAATTGATGATTGTCGAAAACTCAAAATTCCACATGTGCAATAGTCACAATTTGTGCAATTAACGGTGCTTAACTCGGGACGAGCTAGTGGAGGAGGACCTGCAACTTGGCATGACACCTCCCTACCTTACCTTACCTTACCTACCCTACTGCTATAGGTACCTTACCAAAGGCACGGTAGAGACTGGGAGGTGTGGTGAAGTCAAGAGCGAATGGAGACTGGGCTCTGAACCACTCATCGGGCCAGTGTCTTGAGCGTGACCTGCACTCGCTGTCTCAGCGAGTCGCACCTGGCCCAGCAAATGCACACTGACGTTACCCCGCGACCCACCACCCATGTCATAGTTGAGAGTTAAGGTACCTACATATATGCACGATTTTTGGCCCGCCATCATCAGCAGTTCGTGCGCCGCACAACGCCCCATTCTCTCCTGCATCCTCTTCACGTCGCCAATGTTGACGCTGCGGCCCGACGTATCTAGTCACTCATTCATGCATTCTTGGGTGCAGTTCTTGGCCCGTCCCGATTGCTAATACATTCTCCATTGCTCCTCGCGCATTACATTCATTCCGAATCGCGAGCCGAACCGCAAGATGCCCGGTATCGCTCGCAAGATCATCATCTGCGCGGCGGTTGACGGCCTAATCATCCAACCGTTTGTGACCAAAGGACAACGCCCCGCGCAGCCGGTCAGGATCAGATATGGCGACGCATCAATAACCCCTGCTCCTCGAGAGCAGATCCCCGATCTTTCCCAGCCAAATTCCTCATTCGAAGCCTTCGGCGTGATAGGTGCGGTCCCCAAGCTTCCAATTACAGTCCATGATCGTCTCAGCTTCGATGCTGACCCTACCGTAATGCAGGTTTAATCACGGTTTCACGCCTCAGCTACTTGATCACAATTACTCGACGCCAGCAGGTTGCGCAAATCTGCGGCTTCCCAATCTATGTCGTCACCGAGGTCGCCATAACCCCAATCGCCTCGCAGCAAGAAGCTGGAGAAGCTATCGCGAAGACGGCTCTGGAGCTTCAAGATCGCAAGACGGACAAGGACGCCAACGACAGCGATAGCGATGACTATATTGAGCTTCCAGCAAGCGGTGATGAAGTCGAAGACCCTGCGCAAGAAGTTAAAGCGGACAGCGACAAGGACCTCGAAACTGTAAAGAGCACCGTAGCCAAAGATGTAATTGGTAGGAGAGGAAGCTATGGGAGGTTTGCGCAGACTTGGTTCAGCAAAAGCGGTTGGACCCAGGACCAGAAGAGGTCAGCAGGTTGGAGCGGAGCCGCGCACCAAGTACGACGGTCCGTTGACCACAGTCCGGTCAAGAATGGTCCTTCGCGGCCATCCGTTGACGAGGCGAACGAGTCGACAACGGCATCTACACTGCTGCCAAAGCTTCTGCGGATGACCCAGATTTTCTACGGCTCATCGAGGAGCTTCTTCTTTTCTTATGACTTTGACATTACACGATGTTGGTCGAGCCGTTCCACCGCCCAGTCGGATGAAATACCTCTACACGAACGCGTAGACCCGATCTTCTTTTGGAACAAGAACACACTAAAGCCATTCATGGAGGCTGGAGAGGAAACTTTATTGCTCCCGCTAATGCAGGGCTTCGTTTCGCAGAAAAGCTTCGTGGTGGACAGCAGCCCTCCTCAGCACGACGATGGCCTCGGAGATTCCCTTGAGCTATCTCCTATGAAACAGCCTGATGCTGAACTGTCTTCTCCCCCGCCGGAGGCCGTCCGTGACTCAATCGATCTCCGCTCTACCGAAAAGAAGTTCCTCTTGACAGTAATTTCCCGCCGTTCGACGCAGAGGGCTGGTCTTAGATACCTGAGACGAGGCATTGATGAGCAGGGCTATGTTGCCAACGCGGTTGAAACAGAGCAAATTCTTTCAAGTACTTCGTGGGAAAAGTCCTCGAAGGTTTACTCTTTCCTTCAAATTCGGGGCAGTATTCCACTGTTTTTCACACAGTCGCCCGTCTCCCTCAAACCTGCGCCTGTCATTCAACACTCGCCCGAAGCGAACTACGCCGCTACGAGGAAACATCTGGAGCGACTCAAGACAGAGTACGGACTCTTACAGATTGTCAACCTTGTCGAAAAGCATGGTGTTGAAGCTACTGTTGGCAACCAATACGAAAAGACAGTCCAGAGGTTGAACGAGGAAGAAGCTAAAGGTAAAAGTGACACTATCGGGTTCGAATGGTTTGATTTCCATTCAGCCTGCAAAGGAATGAAGTTTGAGAACGTCAGTCAGCTTCTTGATACTCTACGCGACAAATTGGAAGGTTTCGGAAGTACCGTGGAAGAGGCCGGTCAAATCACTGTAAAACAACAGGGTGTTTTGCGTACAAACTGTATGGATTGCCTTGACAGGACAAACGTATGCCAGAGTTCGTTTGGAAAATTCATGCTGGAGTCTCAGCTGAGAGCTGAGGGCTATGATCTTGCAGCTCAAGTCGACCAGCGAACGCAGTGGTTCAACACCCTGTGGGCAGACAATGGCGATGCTGTGTCGAAGCAATATGCGTCTACTGCGGCCATGAAAGGTGATTACACAAGGACGAAGAAGAGGAACCTTGGCGGTACTTTGAACGATCTTGGTCTTTCTCTGACCCGATACTACAATGGGTAAGACGACTTTTGGAATTTTTTCTACCTTGGACATTGCTAACCCATGACCCAGAATGGTCAACGACTATTTCAGTCAAGCTGCCATCGACTTCCTTCTTGGCAACGTGAACTCGATGGTCTTCCAAGAGTTCGAGGCCGAGATGATGACGAAAGACCCTGCTGTCTCAATGCTAAAGATGAGGGAACAGGCTATCGAGCTATCGCAAAGGCGCGTCATTTCCGACGAGAGCGAAGAGTTTATGGGCGGTTGGGTGCTCTTTAGCCCCCACCAATCAGACGCCTTGCGAGCCATGCCCTTTGAGGAGGTTGTGCTGCTTTTGACGGATGCTGCCCTGTACCTCTGCCGATTTGACTGGAACATGGACAAAGTCTCGTCATTCGAGCGAATTGATCTGGCCCATGTTGTCGGTATCAAGTTTGGAACATACATTATCTCGACGGTCTCCCCTAGCCAGACGGACGAGATGAAGAACGTTGGATTCGTTGTGTCCTACCAGCCAGGCAAGAACGACGTTACGAGAACGAACACCAGGACTTTTTCAAACCTGGGCGTGACAAAGGCCAAGACGGACACAGCCTCGTCTGAGCAACGGCAGCAGAAGCAGCAGCAGCAACCCCAATCTGCCTTGAGCAGCTTGCTGGGCGGCGGCCGCCCCAAGGCGCCGCCAGTGCGGAGGCTTGCTTTCAAGGCCCCTTACTCGCAATCATCCGCCGCCGTGACGGGCGAAGAACCCAAGCTCAGCGAGATTCAGCAGGTTGTCAGTATTTGCGCGGACATAGAACGGCTGGCGTTCCTGAGTCAGCCTGGCAAGGAGAAGCCGGGCACCGAGAGCATGATAGAGAAGGGCGACATCATTTCTCTAGAGGAGGCTAGGCAAAGCACTGGGTTGCTGGACCACATCAGCTACTCCCTGAAGAGGCTCGTCTGGGCATGAAGGGCCTTTTGGCACTCGTGCACAACCATTGCTCCTATGGTGTTTTTTTTTTTTTTTTCTCTGTTTTAGGGTTTCGTTGCGCGATACAGGTGCATTTGGTAGCGCATATTTTCCAGAGAGATTGGGTACTTTAGAGAATCGGCGAGGCGGAACCAGACGGAGTCATTGGACTCCAACTTCTCCCACCGACAGCCCGGGAACACGCCGTCCTTCTCGGGCTTGTTGACGAGGGTGTGGTCCATCAGCCATTGCATGGGGTACTTCTTGGACTCTTTACCCACCGCGGCCTCAGAGTAGCTGCCAGGGCTGTCCACGACGAGGAGCAGGGAGCCGAGGGGCACGGTGGCGGTCAGGTTTAGGAGGAAGGCGGTGGTCTTGCCGATGCCGGCGGCGGTATATAACTCGTTGAGCGTGAATAGTAATGTAACGAGTAATGCGTCACTGCCTAAAGTGCTGGAGAGCTGCTCCCGCGTCATGGCGAGGGCATCGAGATGCGTGAAAGATGAGGCCAGGCGGCCCGGCTCGACCAGGGCCGCGCTGGAGGCTTGGCGGGCCGCGTCGTTGGCGTACCGCGAGACGGGCGGCGGGATCGTGAGCGCGTCGTGGAGTTTGGACACGACGGGGCCCCACGGCGCGGAGTCGAGGAGGGTGATTGTGCCTTTTAGGTAGGCGGGTTGCTGGGAGAGGTATGCAGCCAGGGCTGCTACTTCTGCGGCGCCGCCGCCGATGGAGAGCATCTTGATGGTCTTTTTGATCTGCGTCTTGGGGGTGGTCTCGGTAGTTTCCGAGGCGGCTGTGGGAGCTGCCGCCGCTGCCGCCGCTGCCGCCGCTGCCGCCGCTGCCGCTGGTGGAGAGGTGACGGCATCACCTTCTGACGGTCCCTCTGCTGCGAGATGAGGAGGGGCAGCAGGAGGAGGGACGCCCTGATCGTCGGGTCCCAGGGGGAGGTTGCCCTCAGATGACCCAGATTCTACTACCTGGGCAACTACATCCGCTGCGTCCTCGGCGGCGGAGGAGGGCATCGAATCCCGGTGAGCATCACCCGCCTTCTCGTTGACGATCAGCCTTTCAACTCCTTTGGCTATTTCAGCTACATTAGCTCCTTTGGCTGCGGTTCGAGCCCCAGTCTCTTCCTCTTCCTCCTCCTCCTCGGCCGTCTTGAGCTGAACCTCCAGCCCCTGGAGGTGCTCCCCGATGCCCAGAAGGACGACGGCGTACCCCAAGGCGCGGGTGGGACTCCAGCGCGCGGCATAGGCGTCCAGGCTCTCGGGGCGTGCTGAGGTGAAGGCGGCGTCAAAGTCACGAGCGTAGAGCGCTGCCTTGACCTCTTGCAGGATCGTCGCGAAGGAGGGGGAGGTGAGGACTGGGTTGAAGGCGGAGCCAAAGGAGGAGAGGAGGCGCTGCTGGAAGGGTAGGGGGAGGAGGTGGGCGGCGTTGGTGTCAGCGGCAGCGGAAGAAGAAGAAGATGCTTGAGGTTCGGGCTGGGCTTTGGAGGGTTTGGCCTTTTGTTGCTTGGAGGGTTTGGTGTTGCTCTTTTTGATGTTGGCGGCGTGGTGGCTTGTGTCGCGAATGTTGTGCTCGACTTTCATTTTTTTGCCCATGGTTGCGAGGGTTTGTTGGAAGTCTGTCGGACTTCACGAAGATGATATGATGATTGAGTCCGAGAGATGTGAGGTGAAGGATGTTGATGGAGGGGTAAAATGGAGGGGTAGCAGTATGAGATTCCGCTGGAAGCGAGCCTAGGATAATGATTTTGAACCTCAGCAGTGGTCGATTGGGTAATCTGCTGAATGCTTTGAAGCAGGTCTCCTGTTTTGCGCGAACCCAGTATTGGTCTCACGTTGCTTTGATATCTTCAGAATGTTCACTTGCAATTGTGGTTGAAGTTGGGTGAGGCGAAAACTCAATCGGGTAGGATCCACCCCGCCCGCTTTCACTCGTGGGTGAGGTTAGTGCACATGGAGCGAGCTCATCACAGCCGTCGTTAAAGTTGAATCTCATGATGAGACCTCACAACACACAAGAGGCAATGCATATGAGGTTGTCGGGCATGTCAAGAATCACAGATCAACTACCTCATCGAAACTGAGTGAGCATGAATGTCAGATGCACTGAAAATTCGTTGCGTCGCCTGAACAGTACCTCTGCCGAATCTTGGTCAGCGCGACACAAGGCCCGATTAGCCACGGCCTGTGTCCGAAGTTGCACCGTTGAGGCTAACCTCATTTCAATCAAGCGAAGCAAAGCATGGCTCTTGACATCTCGACTCGAAATCTCAGAAATTTCCGCATCTTCTCCCGCTCTATCTCGACCAACAACGGTGTGAACGGATACATGTTGCTGCAAGCAGCGGATATGCGGGTGGAGAGCCTTGATGTCATCCGCAGGGAAAAAGGGAGCTTGGGCCTGCGGCCGCCTTGATTTGCGCGGATATATACGAAACTGGCCGAATCCCAGGCGGGTGGCCCGTGCTCACCGGCTCCGGATGGTGGACAATGCCCAGAGACTCAGAAGAGATTCATTAGAGAGTTCTCAGACGGCGCTGAGAAAGCATCGAGAGAAAAAGAGCATCGCGGCGTTCAACGTCAACGGCGTACATTCCACCGACCCCGAGTCCCGCGTCCTGAGACATGCCGAGGGGTTGCGGACGTGAAAAGTCGGTCGGAATATTGGTGTTCGCTGTCGCGAATTCATATCATATTGCCCGCCTGGACACCCGTCATTGAAGGCGCATCCTCCTCGAGAATCTTCCCCGCTGGCTGTGAGGAATTCCGCGCTGGCCTGTACTGGCCTTGTTATTATCAACGGATGTCGCGCATCTCGATGCAAGACGGCTCCCGCCCGCAGAGGGGCCGGAGGGGCTATGGGATCTGATACTGGGCAGAAGAAGCTGCGAGTCGGCCCTGCGACTGAACAGTAAAAGAGAGAGAAAATTGAAAAAATAACAGGAGACGCGAGGGTGTCATCATGCAGTTAGGGTCCACTGACATGACTGGATCTGATGCTCAACGAGAGAAGTCACCCAGGGTGGTCCAGGTGGTATCGGAGGGGCCAGAGCTTATCCGCGTCGCCGGCTTGAAACAACGCGAGCGGGAGACAGGAGGCGTTGGAGGGATATTTCCAGCGCTCGGCTCTCCGCTCTCTCTGGGTCATCTGCTTGGACGAGGCTTAAAGTCCGGCAGGCGCTGGGCCTGTAGCCGACGCGGCATCGTGAGTGAATAAAATAGTGCGAGGCTACTGGCCGGAAAGACTGGAGAGGTGATAGGGTGGGCCGGAGATACCCAAAAGATGCAGCCATCTCCATGGATTAGTCAATGAAAAGCCGACGTTGCCAGGTCTTGGCATATACCGAAGGGGACCCAGGTGAAGCATTGTGCTATGTGGGCATTATGACGACAGACTGTCTCCATGATCCATAGATGCCGTCGTTGGCACGAGTCAATACAATCGAGGCAACGGGCGAAATTATGAAATGAATCGAGAGTCAGTCCACGGGGTGAGATACGTCACAGTCAAAAATGTGATACAGTTGATATGCCTTTTGGGTGCTGAGTGAGGTAGTTCCAATGGCGGTGGAATCTTGTGGTTGAACCTGGGCGCCGAGTGCGGTATGATTCGTCTAGATGGGAAAGCCCGGTGACCGAGGTCGGGACGCGGCAGCGAGCAAGGGAAAGGGAAGTCGAAGGTCGGGCATTTTTGCCTCGCAGGGGTTGCCGGGTGAATTGGAATGGAAGCAGGTCGACGGGTAACAGTGAAGCGTTCGGTTGTGCCGACAAAGCCCACCAATACAAGGTCGAGAAAGATGAGTGGCTAGGCAATGGGAGGGGCAAAGAAGCCAGTAGAGGCCAAGAGAGGTGCCAGCAGATGGGCCAAGTCGACGCAGGTCAGCCAGCCCACAGCATTTTTGCCGGACGACGAGGTTGTTGAGACTTGAGACGAGCTGGAGGTGCTGAGCGAGCGTCCTGTTCCCGAGGCCGAAAATTGGAGATGCGACAGAGCAGGTGCGGGACATGCTGGGAAAAAACCCCCACTCCATATGAAGATGGATCAGGATGGGCGATGGTGGAAGGCACAAAGAAGTGACATGAGTGACTTTCTTGATTTCGGAGCAAGCAATAGCAATTTGGAGTGTCTCCTTCTCCTACCTTACCTAGGTAGGTACCTTACCTTAGGTATTACCCTTCGATGTTCTGAGGTAGGTATCGTGACAGAACCAGGAAGGTGCTAAGGAGGTTGAGTCGTCCGGGCGTCCCGCCGAAAAGCTCTGAGTAAGGCCAGGCTAAGGTACCTCAGCTGAGGTGAGGTAAGGTACCTTACAGCTCGATGTGAGCCAATGTACCTCTCCCGCGCTTGGGAGGGAAATCAACTACATTCGGGCTTGATAACCTGAGGTACCTAGAAGTATCATGGCCCTACCCAGACAAGAACGACTTTTACCTCCACCATGCCTGGCCTGCAAGATGGACAGGACAGTCTAATCCAATCTCACCTACCTTATGTGCCTCGAGTGGGCAGCAACGAACCCCGGCAAGAAGCATCCCAGCGTGTGGTGACCTCCCGCCCTCCCAGTGGCTTGCTTGTCTTGTCTGGTGTAGTCTTGTTCTCGAGAGAATCCGGCCGCGGCGTCAGTGGTCTGCGTCTGGTCTCTCTGCCCCTCCACCCCTCCACCCCTCCATGCCCCCCCTCCGGTCCTTGTCCACGCCCACGTCAGGTCCCCACCAGATGCTCAATTATTACCTTCCCGGCCGACATACCCAGTGACGGGACTACTGCGCTCGGAGGCAAAGGTGCTGTGTACACAGTAATGTAGGTAGCTAAGGTACATTACCACCTTCTCTTCCACTTCCTCCCTTCCATTTACTTTTCTTTCTCTCTTCCCTCCGACGACTCCTTTAAATTTCTTCTTCCTTCACATCACATCCTCTTCTTCCCCTGACCGAGTTCTACATCAAAACTCTAGGAAGAAAATCAGACATCATGGGTTACACCGAACAAGACTGGAAGGCGATCAACACGATCCGCCTGCTCGCTGTGAGTCTCACCCTCCCGCCAGATTTTTACCCCGCCTACACACTTCGTTGAGGATTTGTCGTTACCCCGCCGCCATTGGCACCACCACCCACGATGCTGCGACGAGAACACCTGGCTATGGGCTGGCCTCAATGAGCTCCCAACACGAGGCTCATCATCAATCTGCAACTGGACAAGAAACTGACCGAGTCTGCGAATCCCAGGTCGATGCCACCTTCAACAGCAACTCTGGCCACCCCGGTGCGCCCATGTACGTATTCAGCCATACTGCGCGTATTTCGTCAAGGAACTGGTGACGAAAGCTGACCAATTCGTTCTCTAGGGGTATGGCGCCGGTCGCTCACGTCCTGTTCAACAAGTTCATGAAGTTCAACCCCAAGAACCCCAACTGGCTCAACCGTGACCGCTTCGTTCTCTCGTAAGTTGATACACTCTGCCAAAGCTCCCAAATTCCCAAACGGATCCATTTGGCTGACCATCCTCAGTAACGGACACGGCTGTATGCTTCAGTATGCTCTCCTCCACCTCTTTGGCTACGGCGTCTCCATTGACGACCTGAAGAAGTTCCGCGTAAGTCTGGCAACGACTCGATGAGTAAGAAGTTATGAGCCATTTGCTGACAAACCCCAAAGACGGTGGACAGCATCACCCCCGGTCACCCCGAGGCTCACGACACCCCCGGTATTGAGGTCACCACCGGCCCTCTCGGTCAGGGTATCTCCAATGCGGTTGGTCTGGCCATCGCACAGGCCCATACCGCCGCTGTCTACAACAAGGACGGCTTCAGCGTGTCCGACAACTACACCTACACCTTCCTCGGTGATGGTTGCTTGATGGAGGGTGTCTCTGGCGAGGCCTCTTCCCTGGCTGGTCACCTCCAGCTCGGCAACCTGATTGCCATCTACGACGACAACCACATCTCCATTGACGGTGACACCAATGTAGCCTTCACTGAGGACGTCGTCAAGAGATACGAGTCTTTCGGCTGGGAGGTCCTCATCGTCGACGACGGTGACAACGATCTCGACAGCATCGAGAAGGCCATTGCCAAGGCCCAGCAATCCAAGGACAAGCCCACTATTATCAAGCTGAGAACCACCATCGGTTTCGGCTCCCTCCAGCAGGGCACCCATGGTGTCCACGGCTCTCCCCTGAAGGCCGACGACATTAAGCAGCTCAAGGAGAAGTTTGGCTTCAGCCCCGAGCAGTCCTTCGCTGTCCCCCAGGAGGTCTATGACCTGTACAACAAGCACGCCGCTGAGGGCGCCGCTGCCGAGGAGGAGTGGAACAAGCTCTTCTCCAAGTACGCTGAGAAGTACCCCAACGAGGCCAAGGACCTCAGCCGTCGCCTTAAGGGTGAACTCCCCGAGGGCTGGGAGAAGTCTCTGCCTGTCTACACCCCCGCCGACCCCGCCATTGCTTCTCGCAAGCTTTCTGAAACTGTCCTCCAGAAGATCCACCAGATCCTCCCCGAGCTCGTCGGTGGTTCCGCTGACTTGACTGGCTCTAACTTGACTCGCTGGAAGGAGGCTGTCGATTTCCAGGCTCCTGCCACCGGCCTGGGTGACTACTCCGGCCGCTACATCCGCTACGGTGTCCGTGAGCACGGCATGGGTGCCATCATGAACGGTCTCGCCGCCTACGGTACCATCATTCCCTACGGAGGTACCTTCCTTAACTTTGTCTCCTACGCCGCCGGCGCCGTCCGTCTGTCCGCCCTGTCCCAGATCCGCGCCATCTGGGTTGCCACCCACGACTCCATTGGTCTTGGTGAGGATGGCCCCACTCACCAGCCTATTGAGACCCTTGCCCACTTCCGCGCTCTCCCCAACAACATGGTCTGGCGCCCTGCGGACGGTAACGAAACCAGCGCTGCCTACTACGTCGCCCTGACCTCCAAGCACACCCCCAGCATCATCGCCCTCTCTCGCCAGAACCTGCCTCAGCTCGAGGGCTCCGTCATCGAGAAGGGTATCAAGGGCGGCTACGTCTTGCACGAGGACCCCAACGCCGACATCACCCTCGTCTCCACCGGTTCTGAGGTCTGCATCTGCGTTGACGCCGTCAAGTACCTCAAGGAGAAGCACAACATCGTTGTCCGCGTTGTCTCCATGCCCTGCACAGAGGTTTTCGACGCCCAGCCCAAGGACTACAAGCTCTCCGTCTTGCCCGACGGCAAGCCCATCTTGTCCGTCGAGGTTATGTCCACACTCGGCTGGGAGAGATACTCCCACGAGCAGTTCGGTATCAACCGCTTTGGTGCCTCCGGTCCTTACAAGGACGTCTACAAGGCAAGTTTCTCAATCCCATATCAACTCTATTTGTCAGCCATTCTTACACATTCTATAGAAGTTCGAGTTCACCCCCGAAGGCATCGCCAAGCGCGCGGTCGCCACCGTCGAATTCTGGAAGGACGTCCCCAACGTTCGCTCTCCTCTCAACCGTGCTTTCCAGCAGCTCATTTAAAGCGGTCATATCCATGGGTAGAAATTGGTTTACTGGCGATTGTTCTCATTTTTTTTTAACGCAGTGACGGACGTTTAACGGGGGAAATGAACTCGGTATATAGAGAGAACGTCAAAAATCCAAAGATTATGATTAACGCGAACGCACGCTTTCCTGTACGCCTGCCTTACCACCCATATCGTAGCCTGGTTTGGTTCCGTACCGAGTCCTCCATGTGACCATGATTTCGTTGCTCGTAATCCTCATGAAAGGACCAAATGCCCTGCCAGGCTCAACCTCCCAGGCCCTGATGTCGTCCTCATTCTGGACATCGTTGACTTTCCACCTAGGACACTCTTGTCCATTTTTTTTGGATCTGAAAATACCATCGTCTTTACTTGTCTGTAAATGTATTTCAATGACCAACGCCAGCTGCGTCGCCCGTCCCTTCTTCCGCCGCCCATTCTCGTTGGAACTCCCTGCCCACCCTCTCAAGTCTGCCCGCGGCGCGACGCGCCTCCATGGCTTCCTCGCCCGTCGCCGCGACTACCATGCCGACCAGCATGGGCGCCGCGTTCTCGGCGTCTTCGCCCAGCTTGCCCGTGTCAGATATCGCCCTCGACGGCACCCCCAACCCTGCTGCCGCCGACAACGAGGAAGATGACTCTGCTATCGGGGCAGCGCCGGGGACGCCAGAAGGTACGGGCCTCGACAAGGAGGACTTGTTGTTGGCTGCGGCGGGAGCTAGAGTGACGGAGCCCTCTCCGTCTGAAGAGTTCGGTAGGGCATCGGCGCCGTTGAGGAAGGAGGCTAGCACGACTGGGCTGCCCGGACCGTGCTCGACGATGATGCGCTGGGCGGGGCCGAGGGAGAAGCGGTTCGCGGCGGCATGGGCGGTTAGGGAAGTCGTCGTCAGGGAGGTGAGGGCCTCGAGTTGGGATTGGGAATGCGCCGAGGTCAGGATCGGGTTGAGGGCGCGGTCTGTTAGGTGGAGGGCCAGGGACGGATGTTGGGAGGGGAGGGAGGCCATTGTTGGTAGTGGTTGGTGTCGGGCGGGTGGGTATGTGTGTGTTGCGCCGGTCGGGAAAAAATGTAGTTGCTGGTTTGGAAAATCGAGAATGAGGCGATCTTATGCCGAGAGAGGGAATTGAGTGTAGCAGAGAATTGCGACAGATTGGGGAGAAGATCAGCACATAAAGAGAGAGACAAGGAAGAGAGACGATGAGGCTTTGGCAGGCGGGCGGTTTGGCGCGGGCTAGTGGGCTTGCGGTGCTTGCGGTGGTTGTGGTTCGGCGTGAGGTGGTTTGCAGCACCCTGTTCGCGCCCGTACCCCGCCATTACCCCGCCAAATGCCGTGCCAGAAGCTCAAAGGTGGAACTCTTCTACCGCCCGTTGAGAGATAATTACGCTGTATCTTTGGCACCATTATCTATCTTTGCGCGCCAGCATCCAGAGGGGACCGTCCCCACCCAAGAGATACCGGGGCCGTTTTGGAGAGATGTGATAGGGAACTGGGCTCGTATGACGATAATGAAACGAGGGTTCATTTGGTGGGAGAAACGTGTCATGGGACTTTGCTGTGATGCAATGTCGAAGCTTGGTGCTTGCAGTTTTGCAAGGGGCTGTCCGCCCTCTTCGTCCCCGAGGAACAACAAACCTCAGCGACTGGCCCTTGTTCTCGTAGCCCGCTTGACATCGGCTGACTTTGGGGCGCTGCCGGTGCTGTGGCGCCTCTCGCGGCTAAGCGCAGCCGGGGCAGCGAGACTGCCAGAGGTCTTGGGCGACGACCGTGTCCCGGACCGGCCATCTAGGCTTCGCCGGTGATGCGAGGTTCGGAGGCGGGCTGCCGCCGACGAGGAAAAGGGTTCAGCGACCCAGGCATCCGCCGTCGTCTTAACAGAGGGGGTCTCGGCGGCGGCGGAGGCCCGAGGGGGAGGCTCCGCGAAGTGAACCGTCTTCTGGCTGCGACGCGCAGTCGGTGTTCCCGGCTCCGTTTCTGGGTTCTCCTGTCGAGGCTTCCGTGTCGGACGCGTGACGTCGTCTCTTTCTGGTTCCTCCCCTATCGTGGAAAGCTGATGGGCAACGACCACGATATCATCATCCTCTGAACTCGATGAGGGTTCTTCGGACGCCTGTTCCTGGGGTCCGGCTGCGGTTGCTGGTTCTGTTGCAGCTGAAGTGGACTTTGGCTTCTTGCGAGAACGCCGGCGCCGGCTGCGTTGTTGCTGATGATCGTTCGCGTTTGCCGCGTGAACATCTTGCTCCCCAAACAGATACCCGAGCAGGTATGCGTCCTGGACCTCGGTGGGTTGGTGGTCCCAGCAGAGATGATTGGTGAACCGGGCATCGTGAAGTCTGACCTGGTTGTTGGAGCATCTGGATACTCGACACGTATCTGGACCTGGAGTCAGGGAGAACTCGTACGTTGTCGAGGGGCCGAAAGGGTCTGGTGGAACACTTACACAGGTGTTCCTGACAATATGGGCCCTTGCGGTATCGAGGCCTCGCACATCCCTGCCGTCTACAGGCGGCGTGTTGAGCGCAGTATCGTGACCTGGACCCCGGATCGCAGACTCTCTGACAGCCAGGAGTTTGACAGCGAGCGTCAGACCTTTCGGTATCGCTGCTGCCGGCGCCGGTGTTGCCACTCGATACACATTGCCCCATGACGCCTTGCCGCCGTTCCTCTACTCCTTTCCTCCAGCACAAGCTGAGAGGTTGGGCGAGAGTTGAGGAGGACATGATCTGGAGAACATGTCAGCTCTCAACACGCTTTAATGTTGGAGCTGCATAATTGTGCTTGCGTCGTCTGTTGCTGCGACACCTCCAATCACCTCGAATAAGCCAAGCTGTTCCTTGTAGAGCAGGGCGGACATCCTCCCAAGAGGCGAACCAAGGAGGCGCCCACCCACCTCTCAACCCCCTGGCCCCTGGCTGGATGCGTTCCCGCGCTGGCAGGTTGACAGGGTCCTTTCACTGGGGACCGAAATGCATCTCGCATCCATGTCGGGCGCTGGGTCGGTGCCAACTGGACATCAGCGCAGTTGAAACGAGGAAGGGTTTGCCAATCAGGTCGTGCTTGAGGGCAAACGTTTGAGCGATTGGGACACTGAGAGGAGGATGTAAGGCGCCAACGCATTGAAAGACGGACGGACGGGTGGGCCAAAGGATGTGCAAGGGGTATGAGGGTGTTCGTCGCGACGATCAGATGTCAGCAGGCCCGCTTGTGAATATGTTGAATTCTTGCTATTTGTTGTTGCGATATCCTCATCTTCTCATTCGATCAAGGTTATGAGATTGGCACAAACGGCGTGTTGTCTGATGTCGAGTGAGGATTGCACCTTGAGACCTATCAGTGGCGAGTCGGTATTAGTCTGAAGTCTGCTGTGCTTTAGAGTTGTCGAAATGTTCAATGTCTGAGGTGGTCCCAAGTCTAGGAATGGCAACGATACAGCAGAAATACCTGCCTTGATCGACCGGGACAGACAACTGGTGGCATAAATTGGATGTTATCGCAGATGGAATAGTCGGTTGTTGGAGGTTGAGGTGACACTCGACGACATCCAAGCCGCACGAAGGAGTTCATCAGGATAGGAAGGGTGCCCCCTGTACCTTTAGCACGCTCCCCGCTGAGCAGGTGCGCCTGTGTTCGTCATTGGGGGACAGGCCCCTGTCAACCACAAACACTACAGACGGTTCAGGCGGAATGTGGCTTGTTCCTGACACGAGTGGACAGCTAAGCTACTAGGCTCGAGGCTGCAGCATTCAATTCGCATCCAACTTTACCTTCCGCACCTAATCTTCCCACGAAAACTAAGTCTTCGCCATACCTAGCCTTTCGCAACGAGTCACGGCTAGATTCACTGCGTCGTCCCAACACAGTAATTATCAAATCGGTTTCCTTCCATCATGGCCGACGCTGAAGAGAAAGCCAAGGCCGAAAAGCTGGCCGCGGCCAGGAAGAGGGTAGGTCTACTCTGGGTGCGACCGCTCTTCTGTTGCTTACAGCTCGCCAGGTGGAAGAGTTGAAGAAGAAGAAGACGAAGAAGGCCGCCGCCTCGACCAAGAAAGAAAAGGCCGAGCCGGCAGCAGCAGAACCCAGCGCCTCCAATGGAAAAGACGACGGAGCCGAGCCCACGACACCCGCTGAAACTACCACCGAGGAGACGAAAGAAGACGAAAAGGAAGCTGCGGAAGCCGTCGCGGAGCAGCCAGCATCGCCGACTGCATCTCAGCCCTCGCTGGCTCAGCAATCCAAGCTGCGGTCTGCGTCGTTCAGACAAGGAGCCGTCTCCGCCGGCAACGGTCCTCTGTCGCCGGGAGCCGAGGGTCCTGAAGGCGAGACTGCCACTGATATCTACCGCAAGCAGCATGCCCGGATAGAAGAGCTCGAGAAGGAGAACAAGCGCCTGGCCAAAGATTCCACCGATGCGGAAAGAAGGTGGAAGAAGGCTGAGGAGGAGCTGGCTGATGTGCGCGAGACTGAGGGCGGGAGCAAGGGCGGATCAGACAGCCAAGTCGAAAACCTGGTAAAGCATCACACTCTATGACTATGCGCCCTTGGCCACGTTGCTAACGAATCACCGTCCAGAAATCCGAAATCGAGGCCCTTCAGCGCCAAAACTCTCAGCTCCAGCAACAAGCCTCTCGTGCGGGCGGCCGTCACGGATCCTCACCATCGGTATCCTTGTCGTCGCCCCCCGTCGAGCTCGAGGCCCAGCTTGCCTCCAAGACCGCAACTATAGAGTCAATGGAGATTGAGATATCCAAGCTCCGCGCACAGGTGGATCGCCAAACCAGCGGAACGTCTTCAGAAAAGGAACAGATTGCCGCTCTAGAGCAGAAGCTCGCGCGGTCCGAAAAGGCCGCCACCAAGGCACAGCAGGAACTTACCGACTTGCGGAAGAACCTCGACCGTACGGCGGAGAAGGCTGTCCGCGAGGGCAGCGAGCGCACGAGCGCAGAGACGAAGCTCCGCAGCTTGGAGCATGACCTCGCGGACTCGATCGATGCCAGGCTGGAGGCCGAGAAGAAGGCAGACGGCCTAGAGAAGAAGGTCACGACACTGACGACATTACACAAGGAGCAGGATTCGCGGACCCAGACGCTGCGGAAAGAAAAGGACCGCGCCGAGAAGGAGGTCAGTGAACTCAAGGCGCGGGTCGAGAGCCTCGAGAGCGAGAACACGAGGCTACGGAGCCGCAAGTCCACCGAGGGCGGCGGCGGCCTGGACGACGACGGCGTCGACGAGCTCGAGAACGAGGAGCGCCTGCGCCTCGAGAAGAAGGTGCGCGACCTGGAGGCCGAGGTCTACGAGCTTCGCCACGGGCACTGGCAGGAGAAGCGCCGCGAGCTCAACAGCCCCAGCTTCGAGAATGTGGACCTCGGGGGCAGCCGCGGCACGTCGCCTTCGGCGCAGAGGAAGCAAGCCGGGGCCGGCGGCAGCCTCGGGGACTTTTTCCAGAGCGGCATCAACGCGCTCACTGGCACCGGGGACGACGAGCTGCTGCTCGACGACGACGACATGGACTTTGACGAAGACGCGTTCCGCCGCGCACAGGAGGACGATGCTAAGAAGCGACTCGAGCGTATCAAGGAGATCAAGCGCACGCTCAAGAACTGGGAAGGGTGGAGGCTGGACCTCGTCGAGAACCGGCGGGGCGGCTCCGAGGGCGTGGGTGATGTGTTTGAGGTCTAGGTTTAGGTTCTAGGCTGTCCTTCTCGGGAGTCTGTTAGGTTGCTTGAGTTGCCAAATTCTATACCTGTAGACTTGGATTTTTTCTTTCTCACATCTTTTGTTGTAGACTCGAGGTTTATGAGTCCGGGCATTTAACAGTAAGGCACAGGTAGACCGGGGACTGATATCCAAACAAATGCGTTTTGATTTTGACCCGGGACGAATCCTCTTGCCATTTGGTGACATTGCTGTTGAGCATACACTTGTTCCATTCCCTCCCTCTCTTTCTCTATGGACAGAAATACATCCCGCCCGTGTGGTCGTTCGCTTTGGCGCCTACGCGATTTTGTCTACAAGGCGTTCTATTTGCACCGTTGAGCAGACGAGTCAAGTATATCACTCAGCTACCGATGATCGTCACTCGTGCATACTGCAACCACACACACCCCTGTCTATCTACCCTGTCTTTTGCCTCGGCCACAAGCCACATGTGACGACGCGTCCCTAGTTGACCTGTCTCATCGACGTGTACAGCTTCCTTTTTGTTTTCTTTTTTTTTTCTCTCCAACACGCGTAAAGCGCCTCCCCGGGGGTACGTCATTCCGTCAACCACCACCCCAAAGGAGAGAATGAACGGGAGCACAGTAGAGTCCTTCAGCAAAGTGTCACATTTTGGAGATATCATTTACACAGCAAAGGGAGTGAGTTGTCTTTGAAGAGGAGAAGAGAAGTTTTATCTTGATTTATGGGGGGGAGGGATATTATCATCAAAGGTCATCCCGTCTATAGTACTACACACTTTAAAAGAGAACAACTGGTCGGAATACAAGACAATAGAATTACAAGGTTGTTTTGGGTAGCTGAAGAAACGAAAAGAGGGGGCATGAGTTGAGGAGGAGAGGGTGAAATGTACGATCTACCATTTGCCGACGAAAGGGAAATAAGTGGAAAACAAACTCCGAATTACATGTGGTATTTCTTCTCTTTTTTTGCTCCATCTTGATGTCCCCTCTGCGTCACGCTCTGCGTAACGTAATGAAGAGGGAATAAAAAAGGAGATGGGAGGGGGTGGGGGGATATCAAAAAGTAGTCGTCATCGTCCTTTGGCTTTCTTCGCCACCGTGGAAAAGAAGAAACAAGAAAGTCGAGTGTTGATTATCCCGTGAAACGCCTTTCTCCCCATTCTGTCGAATTACCCATGCCGTAAAAAGAGCTATACACGGCGTCGTATGACCACGGCCAAAGAGACAAAACGGAAATGTATGGATCATGAGAAAAGCAGTTTTCTGCCCTAGAACGCCTCGTCGATGCGTGTGTCGTAAGAGTGTGTACGTGGTGTGATGATTGGTGTATGCGGGAGGATGTCGAGTCGAGGACGCGGGGGGTTTAATGCGGCAGCCTGGAGTGAGAGTTGCGGCCGCCGGGTGTTGATTTAGGGTGTGGTGGTGTGGTCGTAACGCCGTAACGGGAAGTTCGGGAGGAAGCTGTCGCTTTCGGAAAGAGGCGCAGGCGTTGATTCTGATTGTCACAACATCGTGGCAGTGGGAGCGCCGAGCCCAGTGGGGTCGAGGTTCGTCCGCAGCGCATCCTGGAGCTCCGCAATCTGCGACATCATGGCGAAGCTGTGCTGGCCCTGCCTGTCGAGTTGCTGGCGCAGCTCCTCGTTCTCCATGCGCACGCGCTTGATCTCCTCGCGCAGCTCGTCGAGTCCCGCATCGGAGCCCTTTCTGGAGCGCTTCCGCTTGTTCCCCGCGCCGAATCCAATGGCTTTGTCACTGTCACCGTCACTACCGGTTTGGATGTCTTCTTGGACCGTGCTGGAGCCGTCGCTTGTGTGCACTCGTCGGAGGTGCTCGTTAAGATTCTCTTGTCGAGAGAAGCCCTTGCCGGTGTGGCGCTTGCAGTTCGGATGGGGACAGTTGACTGTGTTCTTTGGTCCGCCATGCTTGCCGTGGACTTCGCGCTCGTGGCGGAGGAGGCCGCCGGAATAAGTGAATCCGGGAAGCTTTTCGCAGCCCTCGGCGGCGCATCGGTAGGGTCGCTCGTGTTTGTCCATGTGCTTGCTGCGAAGGAAATTTGGTTAGCGTCATGACAAAGTGGCGAGAACTCCAGTACTGTATTAACTTACCTCCATTCGCATTTCCGAGTGAAGATTTGCGTCTCTTCCGTGCATCCTGGGAAAGTACAGTAGAACTTCCCATCGGGTTGTTTCGTCACCTCACGTTCGGGCTTTGGTATGCACTTGACCCTGGATGTAGGAGTCGAGGCCTCGCCCTCGTCCTTGTTGTTTGATGGCAAGGGTTCGGGGAGCGAGGGAGGAAGACTCGAAGGAAGAGACGCGAGGGTCGTAGGCGCGGAAAGGTCGATTCGCGTCGCATCTGGAACGCCGACGGAGCCATCGTCAAGACCGTCCGGCATCAGAGACCGGTCGTCGCCGAGCATCGAGGACGTCGGATTGTAGGATGCGAGGTCCGGGACGTCGGATGCCTGGTATTGTCCAGTCTGGTCGAGGACATGATCGTGGTCGTGGTCGCCGATGGGAGGATACGAGCCATCGTGCATGAAATTCCGGGGTTCGTAGACAACGCTCATCTTGAATCGAAATCCAGTGGTTGCTGGATGAAGCTTGCCGCGGGTGAGGAATGATGGTCGGAGGATGTCGTGATCGGGAAAAGAAGTCGCGACTTCTTGGACCTCTGCGGGAGTTCGCAATGAAGATGAAGATGACAGATCGGACAGAAAGAATAAAAAAAAATTCCGCCGCAGTGAGGGATGCTGCTACTGCGGTTACTTGATAACGCGTCGCTTTGTCAAGCTTACAGGTGATGAGCTCCGGTGCTGCGAAGGCCAGAAAAGTCAGTTGCCTGAAAAATCTGGCTGAAGACGTGGAAGCTGGGAGCAAGCTGCGTCAGCCACATGAGGACGTGAATTATTCAGCAGGATCCACGTGATGATCCCTGTTCGCCACCAGCCACGGTATCCACTTTTCGGTTTGGATGTGGCGCTGAAGGCAGAAAGAAGCCAGAAGCCAGAAGCCAGAAGCCAGAAGCCAGAAGCATCTGAGGGAACCCACCCAACTTCTGAAGGAATGTCTTCAGCTTTCCTGGTCCAGTCTTAGATGCACTACAGATGATGAAGAGAACACTAGGATCGTACCTTGAGAAAGAACTGGATCATTATATGTTTGTCGCTCGAGCTCGGGTCTAGGCGGCAAACGAGTGACTCTAAACCGCTGGCGATGGTGTCGAAGTGCGAGGTGCCTTGTCTAGTGAGTCACAAGAGAGGCGCATGAGGTTGGCCCCCAAGGCGCCAGCGCAGGGGTCTGTTCTTGTTCTGGCAATTCAGCTGCCCCGTGATCATCACCTAACGCTCGATATCCTCTGGTCAGTGCTTTCGAGTGACGTCTGGGAAGTGTATAGCTAAGGACAGGACGATGGACTTACCTGCTTACGGAGGACTTTCATAGATAATCCTACGAGCTCAAACCCGAGATGTCCTCGATGACGGTTGGTAATCCTCCAACGGTAATCCTCACCGAAACTGAGCCGCAATAGAGTAAAGCATGATACGAAGATGGAAGTAGATATTCACAGCCTCAACGAGGCCGTTCCAAAGGTCAGCTTCAAGGGGCCAACACTCGTTGGCTAGAATGATAGACGGGCTGAGGGACACTTGCTGATAATCAGTGGACAGCGTGAGCAGACTCAGTGATGTCGTCGGCAATCATTGCACGTCACCTATAGAATACTTACTGCTCAGTGCAAGGCGAGTAAGCAGGCAACTGTTTGACCTCGCGGCAAGGCCTCGTACAAGTGGGCGAGGCAACATCCGCGTGCGAGATACCAGTGTGAATGAGTACACGACGAGCTCGCTGTCACTTGATCATTGGACCACATCGAGAGTTGCCTATTGGTAGAACCTGCGTGTTTGAAGACCCTTCTTCTCACTTGCGCGTCTTGGCCTGGCGTGAACGCGTGAATCGTTGGCATCGCCCACACCACCTCCCTCTTTGGAAGCAGTCGTCATCCTATAGCACCGGGCACGCTGGTGCTTGAACAGGTCCGCGTACCACACGTGTGAGTCGCCGGGGACTTTTGTTCTTTCCAGTTTCTGGCCAAGAAGCTGGATGCCTATTCGTCACGTTCACCGGTGACTCGGTTGCCAGTTGTGATGAAACGACGTCCATAAGGTATGTGGGATGAGGAGCTACCCCGCCGACAGATGCAGATCTGAATTCCACACGTTGGATTATGAGCCATTTCGGTGCAGCTTGCGGCCAACGATTTGAGTTTGTGAGCTAAGGAAGCTGTATTTTGATGCAGTCGTGCAAGGCAAGATTGCTGGCAGGCGGACTGGCGACCAGGCAGGTAGGGGGGTTTGCAGAGGCACTCGGCCAGGCAGTGATATCGCGAATGGAAGCGTGCAGATAAGAGGCGACAGTTTGCAGACAGGCGGGTGACCGATGTTATGTGCAATCCGAGCGAATTGCAGACTACGATGATACACTCAGCAACGGGAATAGGAAGGAGAGGAAGTTGATGTGGCCATGGACGTGAGAGTGGAAAGTGGGGTTGTGATGAGGAGAAGGGAACGGAGATGAGCCTCTGGCCTCAACTCCTGAGGCCAACTTTTTGATGCCTTAAGCCTGTGACAGCCCAGGATAACACCACCAAGCAGTTGATCGTGATGAATGCAGTGGAGGTTGAGTAAAATTCGAGATACATACAAGGTAGATTGAGAACTCACAGTTGAAGGCCGCGACTAGTCTTTCTTCATGGCATGGTGAGCCTGGAGTTGTGAGGTTGAAGCAAGGCTCGACCACTCGAAATTACCCCACCATCCATTTCGGCGTGTACGTTACCTACATAGTATGGCCACCACCATTTGGTTTCTACCATCTTAGCTACCAATCGAAACAGCTATCTCGATGTACCATTCTCACGCTGCCCAGACTCGTGTGTGTTTCCTATGGACACTCGTTTGTACAGATATAGAACGTACTCCATGCTGTAGAATCTTCTCTTCCGAGGACTACCTCAGACTTTGACATTTCAACAGACGCTTGGACTCTAGCCAAATCGCTCCTTTTCCGCCGTTCTTTGTCGGGGACTGGACCCAGTCAACTGCGGCTTTACCATTCCTGGTCTGAACCGTTCCCGTCGACTCATGTCGCTGTGGTCCGACTTGGAGCCGGTGTCACGGCGCTACGATTGGACTGGCTCTAGTGACCGAGTCCGGAGCTCGGAACTTGTGGGCTTCGCTGCGGTCCACCGACAATCTGAGGTAATGGCACCGCACACACCGCAAACTGAGGTGCACGCTGATCCTGCTACCCAGGGTGGAGCGCCATTTTTGTTGGGCGAGAACGGCCCATCAGAGAGTGAGAACTGAGAAGGAGCTCTCTGAGAGCAAAATGCCTCCCTTGGGTCCCTTGGGAGACTGCCCGCCGAGATCTGCTAGTGCAGCTAAGGTACCTTAGGCAAGCAAGAACCACCTATGGACAACGGCCCTAGCTGTCTCCTCGGAGGTATCCACTACCAGCTCCGATGTCCCCCCTCAACCCGTCTCGGCAAGTGACGCCTTAAAAATGCCTGTGATACCCGCTCGCCCTGAACACCAAAAACTTCACCACCCTCGATCATCATCGCGAAGCCCCTGCTTGTTGTGCGACGTTTGCCGTGGCTCCAGAGACGCACACTGCCAGCCAGACAACGAGAGCCCGTTGAGACCCTTTTCATCACCGGTCTGTAAGAGTGGCCAGAAAAAGACTCGTAGCAAGCACTCCCATTGCTTCGTAGTCAAGTATGGCTCACATACACGGGGAGGCGCGTGACGCCGATGACAAACTGCCCAACGAGTACAGCACGCCCGCTGGCTCATCCAATATGGAATCAGCGGTCGAGCCATCTCACCAGGAACAGGAAGAATACGACGTCGAAACGGTCGAGAGGGTCTACAGGTATACACGCCCTCGACCGCTGTCAGTTACGTCCGTCCGACGATGAAGCTGACGACCATCTAGGAAGCTAGACCTTCGAATCATTCCAGGTAATAATCTCATCTTATTCACCAACAAGAACATGGTTCTAACAGACGATAGCATTTTGGGCGCTCTACTTCCTCTGCTCGGCCATTAGGTCCAACATTGGTATCGCGCAGACCATGAATGCCGCCCAAGGTCACGATTTGATGTCGGTACTTGGTCTGACAGCCAAAGATACCTCGACCGCCTTGGCTCTCTTTTATGTGGCCTATGTCATCTTCGACTGCCCCTCCAACCTGGTCATGGCCAAGCTGAGCCCTCGCATCTGGATGGCACGCATTGTCATCGCCACCGGTATCATTGGAACCTGCTTTGCCGCCGTCCAGAGCGCCTGGAGCGTCAAGTATGTCAAGCGCAATGATATTCGTGGTAGAAGCTAACCTTTCTAACAGGCTTCTGCGCTTCTTACTTGGTGTTGTGATTGCGGGCATGTGGCCTGGAATGTCGTACTACCTGACCTTGTTCTACCCGCCTTCTCGAACGGGTAAGCGAATCGGCATGTACTTCACTGCTGCCCAGCTCTCTGCTGCCGTAGTTGGTCTTGTGTCTGCTGGGTTCCAACTCATGGATGGCTTGGGAGGCCTCGTTGGTTTCCGCTGGATGTTTCTCATTTACGGTCTGGTAGCTGTAGTGCTTGGCTTCTCTCTGCTTTGGTGGCTTCCCGACCGCCCTCTCCCTCCAGGACAGAGGCGCCAACGCTCAAGCTGGTTGAAATGGCTCCCGGCAACCCCAGAAGCGCTTTCCGGCCAGGACGCTGTCATTCACTACCATGACCTCCGACGTGTCTACCATCCTCGGCCGTGGACTTTGCGGGATCTGGTGCTGGTGCTTATCGACTGGCGCCTGTGGCCCTTGACCTTCATGTACTTTGGCGTCGTTGGCGTTGGAATCGGTACTCAGCTTTACGGATCCGTCATCATCCGCTCCATTGTGCCTACAGCAACGAGCATCCAAGTCAGCTTGCTCTTTGCTCCGATCTGGATCGTAAGTCCCTTGCATCTCCTTGCATGAACGCCAATTGACAAGATGCAGATGGATTTGATTGCAATTCTGTTGATGATGCCAATCTCCGACCGATTCCATGGCTATCGACCGTTCATCTTCTCGGCTGCGGTTTGCCTTCAAATCGCCGGCCTGCTCGTCGTGACCTTCGCCCTGGACAACGGATGGGCTCGGTACGGCGGACTTCTGATGGTTGGATTCGGCCTTGGCCCAACCGTCCCCAACTGCATGACATGGACAAACGAAATCTTCCAGCGCCGCCACGGCGAAGTCGGTGTTGCGGCTGCAACTGCTCTCGTATCCGGCCTTGGCAACCTCGGGAGCATCGTCACGACCTACGCTCTGTACACCGGATGGCCAGAGGATGCCGCCAAGGGCCGCTATCAGTACCGTCGCAGCAATTACGCAATGATCGGGATCCTCTGTCTGAGCATCGTCAGCAGCTTCTCCATGTTCTTCTTGCTCAAGGTTTTCGGCAACAAGCCTGTGAACAAGATCTCGAATCTCGACTCCTCCAGTGAGATTGAGGACGGCGCCGCAAGACGTGAAGCCCGGCAACGAGGCTTTGGAAAGTTGTTCCCCGGTTCCAACCAGAACCAGGAAGCCTAAACGGTTCTTCCTCCGGGGGCGTTGGGCCGATAACCACCGGAAACACAATCGGCTCCAGAAGTTTCAACAACCACTCGCGGCTCCTATTGATAATTCACACAACGCCCCGCCTATGAGGCAGCTCAACCTGCTGTTTTCTTCCTGTGCCATTTATAGGCATTTAATTCTGATACGTCTTTCATATTCGAGGATTTACGACACAACACCCACACAAAGTTTATATATGCTTTCCATCCGAGGAAAGGCCTTGGTTCACCGCGCTGCAGGCGAAGAGCGGCGGGAAATGAGGCTGGATTTTCGACGGCGACAGTGCTTCTACGCCATCGCTGGGGAACGGCGTACGGGACTGGAGACGATGACCGGCGACAATGCTGCTGCGCTATCGCAATTTGGTCCGTCTTATGGGAAGCAAAAAAAAGAGGCAGGAGAAAGGAGATGAGGAGATCTGGGTTTGAGAACAAACGCAACGATGTTGTGGTGGAAGGAGATTTCTGTTTATTTTTCTTTTTGCATTTTGATGATACCCCATACGTGTTTGGATACGCTGTCGTTCGAGATATTCGCCACTCGACCGCGAAAGTGCTGCTACGCCATCGCCGGGACTGCGTGTTGAACCGAGGCAGTGACGACGACAATGCTTCTGCGCTATCGCCTGTCCTGCCTTGTGGGCGCGCTTTGCGAATTCGAATTTGATACACGATGTACAATGCTTTTCCCAGCTACGAGCTCCCGGGCTCAGATGCTGCAGGACGAAGGGAATGAAAATGGCTACCAGTTCATTCATAGTACAGAATTGAGTCTCATTTCCCTCACCCGTTCTCCGACTCCGTCTATGCAAGTTACCGCCGACGGCTCATTCCGTCGCTTTTCACACGGGTAGGCACGGTAGGACAGAGAGGCCCACGAGGCTCGCACGCGGGTTGACAACGTGTGTAACCCACATCACCAAGCATTACGAGTCACCACATGGCGCTCGTCAACGTTTGGATGTCGCAACAGTTGTGCTTGGGACATGGATACGAGGTTCATCTAGATTGAATCATGGACGCTCAGCAGAGAAACATCATTCAGGGAGGCACGCTCGAAGGAGACAAAATAAACGAGTCTTCAGCCGCCACAATTTTTGGGGCATGCTATACGCTCCCCGGATCACAAGTTTTCCGAACGACGATGGAGACATCTGCATCTGCGTCCTGCAAGAACCGTTACGCAAGGCGAAGTTCGTCGCCTGCAATGAAGGTTCGAAAAGCCTCGCACCGATCACTTCTCGTCGGTCTGAAGTCGGCAATCCGCATAATCGTGCCTATCAGAAACGTAATTGTCAGCCTGTCCGTACGGAGAACCAGGAACGGTGCTCCGTCTCTGGCAAGCCTCCTCGCCCCCTTATTATTCCCGCTTCGCGCTTCGCTCGTTCCTTGCAGTTATCTATATAGTACTCACGCCGTGTCTGGTTACGCGATCGGATTGGGCGCTTCCCCCCCCTGTCTTCGTTCAACGTTGCGTTGGAAATTTCTGAATGGGCTGGACGGCAAGAATTGTTATCCTTTGTTGAGAGCCCACCCTCCATCCGCCCAAGCAACATTGGAAGCTGATGCGAAGCTGACGTTGGACTTTTCCCATTCGCTCGGCATCAGCCCACGAAAACGAAAGGTTGCAAGTCCAGCCCGACATGGCAGGGATTCTCTCCCTCTCTGTCTCTCTTCTTGCAGATCGAACTCTTGGGATGGGCAAATTCTCGATATGGCTGTTGGGCCTAGTAGTCTTCCACTTCTTACTTGTGCTCTCTTTTCCTCTTTGGTACTTTCCGGGTCGCGCGCCGGGGTTCTTGGTATTCGATGCACGTCATTCTTGAAGAAGTTTCTATGGGAAATGAAGCCTTGGCGATGTCCGGGCGAGTGCGAGAAAACGGCCCCCACGATAAATCTCGTAAAGCCACCAACCAGGACCAAAAGTCCGGAACTTTTTCTAATTGCTGCGGTTGAGGCTGACCAAGGAATGGGGAGTGTGGCTCCCGCGCATGCGCCGTGCAGCCACACATGTTCCAACGGCCTCTCTGCCACCCTGCGTCGATGCCCTCGCATGCACAATGTGGGTCGTAGCAAGGCAGCCAAAAGTCCGGCGTATTAGGAGCTCCTTCCTATTCATGTCGAAGGAACCTGCGTTCCGTGAATGGCAGCGCGGCGCGGGCCATAAGGCTGTGCCGCAGAGCCACTGGCATCGGCAAATCCACAACCTGTAGGGCCTTGGTGTCCTCTGAAGGGTTCAAGTATGTATATGAGGCCCGTCCCGCGTTGTGGTGGTGGAAGTGGCGCTCGTTGAGGGTAGCATGTCGTGTACCCGAACAAACAAGGTATCTCGCTGTTCACGATGGCGGGTGAAGTAGACAGCTATTCTCACGACAGAGAGCCACGCAACGACCAAGATGGAAGAGGAGAAGAAGAAGTAGGAGGGGTAGGAGAAGTGCGGGAGAAACACAGCGTCGACGACCATGGGCAAGGCAGCATCACGACGGCAGACACCAAGATATCCCCTGACCGTACCCGGGCCCAGACCGTCATCCTGATGCTCGCGCTCTGCATGGCCGTCTTCCTCGCGGCTCTCGACGCCGTCATCATCACTACCGCCCTCCCGACAATCGCGCGGGAGATTGGCTCCTCGGACTCGGGGTTCGCGTGGATCGGCGCGAGCTACCTGCTAGCCAACGCCGCCTCGGTGCCATTCTGGGGCAAAGTCAGCGACATTTTCGGGCGCAAGCCGATCCTCGTCATCGCCAACGTCGTCTTCATGGTCGGCAGCCTCGTCTCGGCGCTCGCGGGGACGCTGACGATGCTGGTCGCCGGGAGAGCGGTGCAGGGGCTCGGGGCCGGCGGGCTGATGGCGCTGGTCAACATCACCGTCGGGGACCTCTTCAGCCCGAGGGAGAGGGGCGCGTACTTTGGCATGGTCGGTGCCGTTTGGGGTCTCGCCAGCGGTATTGGACCGCTCATCGGCGGCGGGTTGACGGAGAACGTTTCGTGGAGGTGGTGTTTCTGGGTCAACCTGCCCATCTCGGGCGCGTCTCTCCTCGCCCTGGTCTTCTTTCTACGCATCCACACGCCCCAGACGCCGCTGCTCAAGGGCCTGGCGGCGATTGACTGGCTCGGCACGTTGACGTTCACGGGGGCGACGTTGATGCTCCTCCTCGGACTGCAGTTTGGCGGGCTGCGGAACCCGTGGGACTCTCCCACGGTCATCTGCCTCATCCTCTTCGGCTGCGTCACCTACGCCGTCTTCGCGCTCGTCGAGCGCTCCGCAAAGTACCCGCTGATGCCGGCCTCGCTGTTCCGCGACACGTCGGTCGTCTTCTGCTACGTGGCCAACTTCTGCCACGGGCTAGGGTTCGCGGCCATTGCCTTCTTCTTGCCGCTCTACTTCCAGGCGGTGCTGGGGGCGGGGCCTATCCAGTCCGGGGTGTGGCTTCTCGCCACGGCGCTGCCGCTGGCGGTCTGCACCATTGGCGTCGGGGTGACGATCAAGAAGACGGGGCGGTATGTCGAGATTGTGCGCGTGTCGATGGCGCTGACGGCCATTGCGTTTGGACTATTCATCACGCTGCCGTCAGGGCGAGACTGGCCGCGGTTGATCCTCTTCCAGGTGCTGGCGGCGCTGGGGATCTCGCCGAACTTGCAGGCGCTGCTGATTGCGCTGCAGGCGCTGGTGAGGCAGCGGGACGTGGCGGCGGGGACGGCGACGTTTGCGTTTGTGAGGCACGTTGCGCTGGGCGTCGGGGTCGTTGTCGGGCAGGTCATCTTCCAGAGCGTACTAGGGCGGCACGAGGGCCGGTTGTTGGCGGCCGGGGTGCCGGCGGAGGTGGCGGAGAAGTTTGGGAGCGGGTCGGCGATTGCCGCGGCGGCGCACGGGGTGATGGAGGGGTTGAGCGCGGGGCAGAGGCGGGTTGTGAGGGCTGCGGTGACGGATGGGTTGAGTAAGCTGTGGATCTTCTTTTGTGTCATGTCCGGTGTCGGGTTTGTGGCTACGTTTTTTATCAGGCAGGTTGAGTTGAGTGAGATGCATACGGAGACGAAGACTGGCTTGGAGGCGGAAGAGGCCAAAGTTGGTGAAGGGAATGGGGAACGAGATGAGCAGGTTTAGGGGTACTGTGATTTGGAAAAAGAGGCGCGGGTTTGTTGATATCAAGAGCATTATAACAGTACTCTTGATACATGTGGGGTTTGTATAGAATGAAGGGGGAGGTTTCCTTCGAAAGCAGTTTGGCCCTCGAACATTAGCCCTTTTCGATGGATATGGTCTTGGAGTTTGAAAATTTCTTGTCATTACCACGACAAGACTTGTCCAGCAGTCTCCCTCGCCAGCTCCATCGACTGCATGAGGAATGAGGCATTCAACTGCGTACCGTGTCCTTGCACGGAAAGACGGCACTGCAAGTCTCGACCTAGAGTTAGCACTTGACAAGGCAAGAGACGAAGGAAGCCTGGAGGTCATCTCGTCCGATTTGAGCCACCGCCGCAACCAGGCATCCAAGCCCCGGGACTACCTTACTACGGGGTACCGAGCGATCAATGCACAGGGAACTCCCCGAGCGGCCAATCGGCGCCGTGAGATTATCCCCGCACTAGGTAGGCACTTACATCCGGCACAGGCACCCGCGCCTCGGTCTCCATCTCATCCATAACTCTCTGCAAGACATGCAAGGCAGATGTCGAGGCATTCTCCTGAAACTTCAAGTGGGCATTTCATGACACGCTTGGTATTTCGGCTTTCTGTGGCTTTCTGTACGGATATGCTTTGTCGAATAAAGTAGTCTGGCGCGTTTTTGGTTTAGAGGACAAGTGTCGGCTTCCTGTTTGACTTTCCATCCAACTGAGGCCAATCCGTACACCGCCACCTTTTTATTCACCTACACACCACCGACTCACCAACGTACGAGGCGAAGCCCAGCGCTTGCGCCTTGACGCTATTATTTTCAGGCAGTCGAATTCTGTCCTTTTGTAAATATTCGCTCAAGTGTCACATATAGAAAAGAGGTGGTTCCTTGTATCTTGCTTCTTTACGCTTCGTGTACTTGGTGGAACCCACATATCAAGCACCGCCCAACGTCCGACGACAAACACCAGCAACAGTCACCACAACAACAATAAACACCAATAACGACAGCCAACCAACATCAGAAACCATAACCAAACCTCACAAAGCCTCCCATCAGCCAGCCCTGTGAAACCCTCCAAACCCTCCAAGGGATTATCTCACACAATGCCCCTCTCCGATCTTATCCCCACGGTTCTCAAGCCCAAACCCCCCAAACCAGCGCGCCACAGACCCCAACAAACATCCTACATCTCCAACGACGTGCCCATCCCAGCCGACTTCCTCTCCGTCCCTCTCCCAGAGGATGCACCCGCCGTGACCCTCACAAAACTAGACTGGTCAAAGACGGCCCTCCCTGAAAACGGACCCCTCTACGCCGTGGTCCTCGACAACGTCCTCACGCCGGCGGAATGCGCGCAGCTGCTCCGCATGGCCGAGGCCTCTGTGGTCACGCTGCCGGATGGCGAGGGCGAGGGCGGGAACGAGGACGGGGGCAAGTGGCGGCCTGCCATGGTGAATATGGGGCCCGGGTGGGAGATCCTAGAGCCCGAGTACCGCAACAGCGACCGTATCATCTGGGACCAGCAGGAGGTCGTTGACCGGCTGTGGGGCCGGTGTCGGCTTGCACCCGGGCTGGAGGCGCAGCTGGCTGGGATGGAGGGGGTAAAAAGGCCTGAGAGGGAGTTGGAGACGAGGTGGGTGTTTAAGAGGTTTAATAAGAGGATGAGGTTCTTAAAGTATCAAAAGGGGCAGTTTTTTAGACGTGAGTTTGAACCCATCCCCCACCCCCTTCCCTTTTTTCTCTTTCTCGGGGTTTCACTCTTTGGAGATTGAGTATGCCTCCAGTCCTCTTGGAGATCAAACCGGCTGACGTTGATGACGACGGAAATAGCGCACTGCGATGGGCCTTACGGCGAAGAAGCGGAAGACGGGACCGTTATCCGGACGCATTATACCGTCCACTTGTACCTCAACGACTCCGTCGCTGAGGTGGGCACGGAGGGCGGTGCTGATTTAGTTGGTGGCGCGACGTCATTTTTGTCGAGCGACGAGAAGAGGAAGGTCGACGTTGATCCCAAGGCGGGACGTGTGCTCATCTTCCAGCACAGTCGGCTGTACCACTCTGGCGACGACGTTGTTGCGGGGACAAAGTATACGATGAGGACGGATATTTTGTACGAGATGGTCAAGACGAAGACGAGGGGTGAGGAGGGAACAACGGCTTGAGTTAGGGTGGGTGGTTGATTGTTTGCAAGGGGCTTCGACGGGGAAGGGAGGGCGCAGCAGGAACTGTGAGTTTTGGCCTTTCTGGTGCTTATCTAGCAATGCATACAGTGTTTATTCTTTGTATGTTATGCGGGCCGTGAAATCATCAAAAGGGAATGCGACCCCGACAACATCTATCTCATCCAACAATTGACTGCGCATCGTCTCTCTGAGTGCCTAGTCCGCAGCGTTTCCCTCTAGTCTCGAACGTCAAAGTTTTGCCTACTTAGCGTGTTATACAAGATATCGTAATTCTGCAACAATGACAGAGAGGAGGATGTATGTAGTAAGGAGCATGTAAAAAAGTTGGGAAAGATGCACCAATCAGCCAAAATAATACAATGCCTTTCATATAGACGTCAAAAGAGAACAAAACAAAACAAATGCCTCGTGGCGGAATCGAACCGCCGATCTTCTCATGTCACTAGTACTAGTGAGACGCTATACCACTTAGCCAACAAGGCCTATCATTGGTTGAAAGTCCCGACAGAATGGCAGTACAATAAGCGCACAGTCTCCACTCCCTTGAGTTAGTTAGTGCTTGCGGCATGCTGACGCCGTTCGCGCTCATTTCGCTGCTGGTTTGCTCCAGTTCCGAAAATGAGAGATTTTCTGAGTTGGAATCTGTAAAGCGTACGAATCATCCAAGTCACAGCCCTTGTGTACGTACCTATGCGACACCTGGATTTAGAACTCTCCCAAAGTCGTCTCTCGTTCCAGTGTTATCTCCATGGGGAGCTCTAGGAAGGGTCTCTGGGGACGGAACGCTGCTGCCGATTCGTGGTGGAGCATGGGGGGCGTTGCAGAGTCGGCTTCGGTTGACAAAAATTGGAGAACTGATGTTGTCGAGAGGACCGTATCGGGTTCTTCATTAGCGGAATGCCACAGGTGACAGGAAGTCCGAGACTCCAAGACTTTCGAGCGACGGGAGGGCGCATAGGCAGTCTTGGCGACAGGGAGATCTCGAGATGATTGGGATAGACGAGTTCAGCCCTACTGGGCTTCATCGAAGAAGCCGGATTGGCTTGGCAAGAAATGTTCCATGCTGATTGTTATTTGTCAAGATGAGGTATCAAGTAGGCGTATGAGCCGTCGCTGAAGAGAATCAGTTTGGTGAAGTGAGGTCAGTGAGCCAGCGAGGTAGCCAGCCTCTCTTCGCCTGTTAGCATGGGAGAGGTGCAGAAGCTTTGGCTGTTGGGTCCTGTGGCGGCAGCAAAGCCATGCTGTCGGTGCGCGCAGATGTTGGCTTCGCTCCCTGTGTGCTTGCCGCCATCCGAGGTTCGCTGCATGCAAGCATATCCTCTGATGGAATATGAGCATTCTAGAAGGGTGCATGGACCCAGCATGAGTCTTCGAGTCTTCAGCCAGCTTGCGATGAGCAAACTTTTCCTACATCAGGGACTGGGAGGCCCTGTCATCCGTCACCCGTGCCAGAGCCTGTACTTTGTACTCATAGGAGGAAGGGCGCGTTGGATGGTCCCAGCGCCGCCTTCTGTAATTTTCTTGCCAAGGGACTGCCCAGGCGCGTAGATCGCGGGAGGGCGGCCATTGGGACATGGGCAACACGAGGGGGGCGGTGCTGGGCAGCAAGGGAGCTAGCAGAGCCAAGCACTCAAGAGGAGCGATCTGGTTGACGAAAAGCTTGTTCTCTGGTTTGAATGTCCTTGGCGGCTGGAGGCTGCGTTTGTGATGGTTTGTGCTTCCTGAAAAGGAGTGATTCGCTGGAAGGGAGATGGAATTTTGAGGAGCGCCGCGGCGACAGTAATGGCATGCCGGGTAGAATATGCCCGGCGCCATGGATGTAACGGCAATGACGGAGACAGCATCAACTCAAAAAAGGCACTCTATTTCCATCCGCCTATGACCACCTTAGGACCAGGCGAGGCCCGTAATTCATCACTAGGGAAAAAGGGGGGCCACACATTGAAGGCCGCGCACTCCACTGTCAAGTGGTGAAGCCAATTGGCCAGAGGAAAAATCATGTGATTATACTCGTGACCTTGAATCAGGGGTATTCCCCCCTTGGGCGTGTTGTCCTGCCACGGGGGGAAGTTGGCGGCGCGCCATCGCTCCCTCTCACAACGCCGTCCATTTCGCTGGAAGTACCGGTACTTATCTAGCATCGTATGGATACGAGATTGAACCGAAAAGAGCACACTCGCCCATCCAAGATGTGCCATAATGTCTCTCCAATACCTATACGCTTATATAGGGAGAACCTTCCATGAGGAAACTAACAAACTCCTTGCGAGCGGCCAAGACAAGCAGATTCGCCTGACGCAGTGCGGGAGCTTTGCGCTACAGGTGCTGCCATACCTTCGTACCCCCAGTTTCTTGGCATTCGGGCCCTGTCCCTGGATCGCCAAGACCACGGGACAAGACGCTGGAAACTTGGAATTTGCTTGTTTTCCACGCTGACGACTTGGCGCGCTTGGGCGAGGCGTGGTCTGCACGAATTGCTGTTGCGAAAGCACAGGAATAGACACTACGAATGGGTGTATCCGTACGAATACGCGACGTCTCAAGGAGGTCATATCGGTGCAGCCCACCAGTCAACGCTCGGCAATGGACGAGGGGGGCGTTGGCCATTGTTTTCCATCTGCATTCCTGCAACAACGAGGACCTGAGTTGGTGCTGCCGATTTATTCCCGCTGCCGCTGCCCTACTTACTACTTTGATATAGGTAATGCCGCTCTCTGCTTCGCACTAAATGCCCTGGCATGCAGATAAATGTAAATGTACCGGGACCTGGCGCGACCCTTGCCCAGGCCACCCCAACTGCCCGTCCTCACTTCCCCCGGTACAGCCACCATCCCGGCATCTCTTCCATTTCTCGCACTTGCACCCGCCCGGCGTCCCTGCTACCTGACTTTAGCACACCACACAACCACCACACCCCTTCGCTGTCACTCCTTCTTCCCCGACCCTGCCTCCCTCCGTCTTCCTCTCTCAACGTCCCTGTTCACCTCCTTTCACTTCTCCTTCAACCCTCGTTTTGCCTGTTCTCAGAAACCCACACCGACGACATCCAGCGATATTCGACGGCTGGCACTTTTATAGCCCTCCGCCCACTGTTCTCGTTCGACCTATTTCGAAATACTCGCATGATACGACCTTAGTCCGATCGCGCCGCACCGAGGGAATTGACTTTCTTGCCCAATCTCCCGTCCATTTTCCTCCGTCTCTCTCAGTCGCTCGCTTCAAATCCACGCAGACGTCGCTCGACGATAACGACCATGAAATCTTCTCTCATCGCCCGCGCTGCGGCAGCGCTCCTCGCCTCGAGCGGTTTCGCCAGCGCCGCTTACTCCATCGCTTCCGACGGTACATTCATCCCTGGCAGCTCGAGCCCTCGACACGCCCCGGTCTCCCGACTTACTAACGCCGTGCCCAGATGACATCAAGACCACGACCCAGGGTCTCGCCTACGATCTTATGAGCTTTTACGATGGCAACTTGACTGGCCACACGCCCGGTATCCTGCCTGGTCCTCCACCAGCTGGTGATTACTACTGGTGGGAAGCTGGTGCCTTGTGGGGAACCATGATCGACTACTGGCACTTGACTGGCGATTCCACCTACAACGACGTTGTGATGCAGGCCATGCTACACCAGGTGGGACCGGACCGCGATTACATGCCTCCTAATTACACTGCCTCACTGGGTAACGACGACCAAGGATTCTGGGGCATGTCTGCCATGACTGCTGCCGAAGACGGCTTCCCTAACCCACCCGCGGATCAGGCCCAGTGGTTGGCCCTCGCCCAAGCCGTCTTCAACACCATGGCTAGTCCCGACAGACACGACAACACTTGCGGAGGCGGACTCCGTTGGCAGATTCCTCTATCTAACAACGGATACAACTACAAGAATAGTAATGCTGACGCTCACACCCGCTCACGAACTTGGTACTGATCGATTCTAGGTATCGCGAACGGCTGCTTCTTCAACATCGGTGCTAGACTGGCTCGTTACACAAAGAACCAAACTTACGCCGACTGGGCCGAGAAGACCTGGGACTGGATGACTTCTGTCGGTTTCATCGATGCCGAATACAACATTTACGACGGTGGCCACGTTGAGCAGAACTGTACCGACATCAACAAAGCTCAGTTCTCATACAACAATGGTGTTTTCATTCTCGGTGCTGCCATGATGTACAATTACGTAAGTGGCTTCTCTGCGATAACCCGAATGAGCTTGAATTTAACATGGACTTAGACGGATGGCTCCGCCGCGTGGAAGACGCGCCTGGACGGTCTTATTGAAGGCACACTGAAAATTTTCTTCCCCAACAACATTGCATTCGAGATTGCTTGCGAGGAGCACAACACCTGCACAACCGACATGTTAAGTTTCAAGGGCTACGTCGCTCGATGGATGTCGGTCGCGACGCAGATTGCACCCTATACTGCCGAGAAAATTCTCCCGATTCTCAAGACGTCAGCGGAAGCGGCTATCAAGCAGTGCACAGGGCAGGCTAATCAGCGGACCTGTGGCTTCAAATGGAGCACAGGCGTATACGACGGCACCAAGGGAGCCGGTCAGCAGATGAACGTGCTCGGCGCCGTGTCGTCTCTACTCATCGGCTCTGTCAAGGGACCAGTAACAAATACCACTGGTGGTATCTCCAAGGGAGATCCCAACGCCGGTAGTCACTCGGACAACCTCCTCGGCACGGAATCGCCAGTCACAACAGCAGATAAGGCCGGCGCCGGCATCCTCACCTTCCTGGTGCTAGGATGTGCGGCTGGCACTTTTGGCTGGATGAGTTTCGGAGCGTAAACGGATGGGAGCGCAACATGACGACTTGAATTTTCTGCGCCATTTTCTTGACATGTAGCAGCACCACGGTCCTGCTGGCGAGTCATCCTCGCAATAGGGATATACCGGCGTCGAGGCCAAGGACGGCCTGGGATTGTATTTACTTGGCGTTGACGTTTGTATATTTGCCCTAAAACGAACATCGGGTAATGCGGCTGTTGGATTTTGTTCCACTCTTCACACTACCCTGCGGCAGTAGTGGGCACTGCAGAGCTCATGATAGTGAGGGGTCACTATAGTCTATAATGTAGCTATACTAAGGTACGACACACATAGGTTCCTAGAATAAACATTTTGTTGGCACCAAGAGAAACATCGCGCAGTCCCCCGTGTAGTTGATCAGAACAACCAGCCAGCAAGTCGTCTCTGGCATGTTCTGAAACTGGTTGCATGGAAGTCCACCAACGCCACAACGCCATCTCATCCGAAGTCGCGGCTGTTGCTTGGCTCAGACGCAGAACCTGTCATCTGCACACAAGAACCTTCTGCGCTGGGGCACTGCTACTTCGTACACGGGCAGGCATATCGGACGGTTTTCATCTCCCCTTGGACCAGACGTCACAGCCTACGTCATCTTAAAAGCTGTCGTCCTGTCCTGCAGCGGCAGTCGTTTCAGTAAAAGTAGCGATGGCATAACAGTCGACTATACTAGGTGCCTCGTCTAGATGTTCGAGAAGGTTTTGGGAACAATGCCCAGTCCGGGTTCGTTCTGGCCGACTTTTCTCCGGTTCGTCATTTTCTGGTGAGTGTTTTACAACATGGTGTTTGAAGTTTCTCCACTAACACGGACCCAGCCAATCACGACGCCGGAGAAACTTATGGACGATCCCTCTCTCAGTCCAATCAATCTCACACGCCCACCAATCAATCGTTCACTCACACAGTCTCACTCATCTAGCCTCTCACTGAACCGTTCTCGACCATAATTCCAACTGAAGCTCATTCAGGCCTCTCCTTCCTCATATTGATTGGACATCAAACTGTCCCTTCTTCATTTGGTCTCATTCCATTCCACGTTATCCCTGCTCCATTGTGCCAAAAATCCGAGACAAAAGCCCGTAATCATGCCGATCCCGGACTTTGCCAACGAGGCAATCTTCCCAATCTTCGAGGGCCTCCCCATCGAGGAAGCCGGCGCCGCCGATCCACCCTCCTACGCCGCATCGTCGGAGCCGCCCTCCTACGCGCCGCCGGCGCTCGCGCCCTCCGACCCGCCTTCCTACACGGATTCCCAATCCGGCTCCGGCTCCGCCAAAACCTCCGCCTCTTCCTCCACGACGACGGCCGTCACGCGACCAATGCCCTCCTCCCACGACGCGCGGGAAGAATGGTTCCTCATCGCGCAGGTGAAGCAAAACATGACAATCACCAAACCGACCCTCGTCGTCGTCGACCGTCAGGGCACAGAGTTCGCCGTGACGTTTGAGGACCGCGGGATCGATTTGCGGCCCGTTCGGTCGGGCTGGACGATTGTTGTGCCGCGCGGGGTGAGGACGGCGCCCAAGGGCGGGAAGAGGGGGTTCGTGAGGGTTCCGGAGGGCAGGGGCACGGGGGTCAAGTATATACCCGGCGGGCTGGAGCAGATTGGGGAGGTGGGGGCGAGGGTGAGGGAAGATGGCGGGGCGTGGTTGCGGGCTTGTGCTGGGTGTGGGAAGGGCGTTGGGGAGGAGGGGACGGCGTTGAAGAGTTGTACTGCGTGTTGTGTTGCGAGGTATTGTGGCAAGGTAAATCTTTTCCTCCCCCCTTTTTTTTTTTTTTTGACGATTTTGTGTGTTGTTGTTTTAGAGAGGGGGTATTGAGGAGGTTTCTTTTCTTCCCTCTTCTCTTTTTTCTTATGCACTTTGTGGAAACTGATTTGATATTGCCGATGCACTGACCATGGTGGACGATGTAGGAATGCCAAAAGGAGGATTGGAAGACGCACAAGGGGGATTGCAAGGTTCTGAAGGGCATGGCGAACGCGTGGGGGATATGACGCTGCGGGATGAGGGGAGTTTCAGGCGTCAAGAAGGGCCAAAGAAGATGCCCACATCTTGGCGATGTAGATTTGGACTTCGTGCATAGGGTCTTGTGAATAGAATTCACCGTGAAAGGCTCTGGGTAGACGTTTGGAATGGCAGTCACTGTTCAGCACTGACGGAGAGGATGTGAACCAGTTTGGAAAAGGAGGTGGAACCTTGGAAATGTTGAGACACTCGCACACCGATACTGCCCTGGATTTGGTAACATGCAGAGAACCAAACGCTGTTTTTGTTGTGAGACGTCACTCAAAAAGGCGGGTAATGTTGATGGAAACAAGTAGATGGGTATGGTAATTTCACGTAATGCCTTGTAGACTTGTGAAGTTGTGAAGCGATCATTCAGCAGCGAATATCATCGTATTCTAATAAAGTTTGTGATCAAAAGCATAATTAATACCTATTTCTGCAACACAAACCTAGACTCGATCTTCTCCGGCAAATATGGATATGTGGCAAGAAGGTTAATGAGCGAAGAAGAAGAGAAGATGTCACCACCCCCTTGTCATACTGTTTCCCACCCTTACCACCGTAGTTCCAAGAAGGAAAACAGTAAGCTTAGGAGTAATAGATTCGAGCACCAGAAACCTGTGTATTCCACGACACGTGGTCATTGTCGGAGACGCCAACAAGCTCGAGCCCCTGAACGGTACCCGTAGCATTGCAATCCGTCGGCGCGGTGAGATACGCCTTGTACGTCGCGTCCCAGGTCGCAAAGCCGGCCCAGACGGCGGAGAGCCGCCCAATGTTGACGTCCCTCTGGTTTCCCGGCCCGCCGGCGCCCCAGCCGGAGGACCCGCTGGAAGGCGCGGGCTTGATGGAGGTGAAGACGTCGAGCTTGCCGCTGCCCGAGACACTGGAGGTGGGGCCGTCGAGGTAAAAGTAGAGTTGGCATTTTTTGCCGGCGGTGTCGGGCGGGTAGGTGAAGGTGAGGAGGGCGGTGAGGTCGTTGCCTCCGTCGGAGGTGGATTTGGACACGACGCCGGTGCCGGAGGAGGGGGTGATGGCGCCCGTTCCGACGTTGTAGGTGTAAGTTGCTGAGGGGTTGAAGTAGGTTGATCCCTGGCGGATTTGGAGGGGGAAGGCGAGGGCGGAGGTTGCGGCTAGAAGGACGGCGAGGATTTTCTTGGGGAACATTGTGATGAGGGGATGAAGAGGACTTATGGTTGATGTTTGCGGGATGGGATAGAGGATTGTTGGATCTGGTGTTTGGGCAATTAACGATGAGCTGGAGACGATGATGAGAACTGGACAGACACCGAGGATATTCAGAGGGCCTTTATATCTTCTTCTATACGATGGCGGCCTCAACGGGGCACTTAATCTAACTACTTTCATGCAACCAAAAGGTATCAGGCGAACTATCGTGGCGTTCCCCAACTCTGGCCACTCTCACCCAGCGTGGTCAAAGACTATAAACTTAGACCCACCCACGACTTCCCCCCCCCTTCTTACACCCATTCTCACCGACAAGTCTTCGTAAAATGACACAGCCCGACTTGGCTTTCCACATTCAGCCTTCGGTTGAGGTCCCGTCAGCCTACCTCAATTACTGCTGCGAAAGGTGCTCCCGCACAAGTCAACCCAGACCTGGTCAGCTTGACTTGAGGAGCGGTACAGGAATAACAGCCACTAAGACAAGAACGTTAAAGAAGCCTACCTCATCGCACGACGATGTTGAGAAAAGGTCTCCGTGAGGCGTTGACTTGCCGTCGATTAAGGTTGGGGTTTGACGAGCGTTGTGTGGAGGAGGCCCAGCTCGAAGAGCTGAAACCTCTGGGCCAATCAGCATAGTTGGAGTGAGAAGGAGGCGCCCTATCAGAGTATCGTGGGCATGCGTCGTGGTGGCTTCATGACCTAGGTACTCAGAGGTGGTGGCACGGGTCGAGCGCGGTTTGGCTGAGCTTGCATCGGCGTGACCCAAGATGTGCTTTATCTAGGCCCTTGAATTGGGGAAGACATCGTATCTTTAGGGTTCATTTTGAGACAGCCGTTCGTCGTGGAGGTTCATTGGACTGAGTCGATGGGAATGTGAGACCGATGGTCTCAGATGAAGCTATTTGAGTAGTAAGCTTCGGGGCAACAAAAAAGTGCAACTTCTCGAGTCTACTTTACCTTGTGCTAGCTGCGCAAGGGGTTCGAGGAGGCAGCGTAAGACCATTTGAAGAATCCAGGCAATGCAGCATCTCGCCATAGTCGACCCTTCGTCCTTCGAGAGGCCATATAGCTGCTGAGGCTTTTCTACATCACTACAAGGAGACTGTTTCTAAACCTCAACAGGTAGAAGAGTCTGCTCACTTCTCTTCAAGGATATGATGTAAGTGGGACATATACCACATCTCGAACACGTAGCCGCGGCTGACGTGAAGTTTCCGGATGCGAAAGGCACTGATTACTCCCTTGGAGTCTGTGGAGTCTCGCTCTCAAAGCCAGAGGCAAACCTGGTGCAAACTATGCCATCCACGAAGCCGTGTGCGACTCCAAGTGACTGCTGGACTGCCTCGTCTCTTTGTGTCGTTTCCAGGCTGATGTAACATCAAGGGATGCTTCATTGTAGCTATTGTCAAAGACACCAGACACAAAAGATGCTGCGCGATAAACCCTTGAGTTGACCATTGGACCAAATCAAATAAGACCGTGGTGCCGGTCAAGAATTTTCGTCTTGGTTCTTCCATTCCATTGCGTAAATAGTTCCTAGACCACTCATTTCTAAACAAGTCACCATTATTGCAATGTTGGTTCTCGGCCCATTCATCTATCCCGTCGTCTTTGCCTGCCTCGTCACCGCAGCCGATCCCTCTATGACGTCCATGATCAAACGTTCGCATGCTCCTCTGTACAAGGAAGAGCATTGGAACAATCTAATACCCTCATCGTCGATCGCGGACGTCTCAGGAAACCCAACAGCCGGACTTCCAACAATTAGCCTCGGAGTAGCGAACGAGAAGCGAGAGGATCAATCTTGCGTCTCTGTTCATCTTTGTACCGAAAAGGACTGGAAAGGAGACTGCTGGTGGGCCTGCTTCCGAGACGGCCTGGAGACATACCCTAACTGGGACTGGGGTAGTCATGTCAAGTCCGCTCGGCCAGGCGAAGATGCCAAGTGCAAGTTCTTTTTGTAAGTGTCCAAACCTCTGAATTTCCTCATGTCACGGAGGTGAATCAGCACTAACATGACGTTAAGTGGCCCCGACTGTAGCATGCGATCGAAGAAACAAGATATGGAATGGCCCGGGGGAAACTTTGAGCGCTTGGGTGATTTTGGCATAGGGTGCTTCTATTGCATGATGAAGGGATCGAAGAAGTCATACTTGAAATCGGATTGAGTCATGTCAGGCAGGGTTCAAACATAGTAACAAGCAACCTTGGGGCCAACGTAGAAAATTCGGACTAGTCTGCTATTTGAACCCTAGGTATGAGCACAGGTCAACATGAAGAGAGACCACCTTTTTTTACCCTGAGACTCCCTGATCTCTAGTTTTCAATTTCTTTTGCTGCTCCTTGAGTCTCTCCTCGATGGAATTTCCTTCCTCTAGCAAAATGTCATAGTCGTCATCCCTTGGGTCTATGCCGCGCAGGGAAGCACATGCAAGTCAGCCATCCGATGGAGTAGAAGCAATAACGCACTAGTTGACTTACCACGGACGTCGATATTGAACTTTGCAGTTCTCACAGAGATCTCGGCATCATCCAAGTCCATAATTCTGGTGGTAGTAGAATTAGACAAAAGATCATCTCCGTCGGCAAGAAGGAGCACTCTGCGGTCCGGCCAGATGACCGTCTTGCTGAGTGATTCAACAAGGACCAATCGAGTTTTGAAAGGATAATCTACGTTACGGAAGCCGCGAACATCGTCTTTGAAATCTCGGAAGCCCCGAGGGTTATCGGCAAACTCAAAAGTCAAGCAGAGAGACGCGTCATGCCTGAGCGGATTGGAAGATGACTTTCCTGCGATGGCCGTCTTGAGGGACTTGGGTAGCGAAACATCTCGGACTCTCCATATGAATTGCTCCGAAGTTGTGATGCAGGGAAGAAAGATCCCTGACGAAGTTCGGAGAACGGAGAGGAACCTTTGCGTATCACGCCCGGAGCGAATTGTGACCATGGAGCCGTCAACCAGTTGCGATCGGCCTTGACAACATACCCTAGCGTTCAGTACTGGAGCTATGGTCCATATGCCATCCTGATCGTCCCATTCAGATTCGTAGGGTTCGACCCGAGGGCCCTGGAATCTTACAATGGTACCCGTGTCAGTGAATGTCACAACATCCAACATTGCGGTGTGACGCCTTACTTTTCTGGCATTACCATTCGTTCACCCGTCGATTTGAGCTCGACGAGTTTCTGAATGTCATGACGAAGATAGTGCGTCGTTTCCTTATTCGTACTTTTCGTCTTAAATCGAAACTGCGTAATAATTTTCGCACTTTTCGGGATATCAATGAATTTCGATACCGGAACGTGAGGTGTGGGATTGAACACTGTCGCAGCACTATGATATTGAGGATTCCCGCTTTCGACCAACGAGTCGAGGATCAACTTCATATCCGATCTCTATAATACGTCAGAAAAAAAGAATAGTACGCGGACAATGGGAGATTTTCCTACCCCGATAACTCGCCAATTGTTGTGGTCCCCAACAGTTTCGCACCACTGCTGTGGGCTTTAGACGCGTCAGATTATCAACATGGAATTCCAGAGAAAGGGCCTTATACCTTGAAGCTAAGATGGTGTTCCCACCTACCGCCTCGAATACCACGCTGTCATTGCTGTCTCTGTAGCTGCGATTGGCGCTTTGATCATTACCCGAGGTGCTTTCCTTCTTTGATTCCGCACCAAGAACGACTTTGACCGGCTACGGTACCTTGTCAGTTGCCATGGCAGTTGCTGGGTGGGCGATTGCGGAGAGGGTGCGTACAGAGGAAACACTTAATCCGATGGCGTGCTTGAAGCCAATGCGCTCCTGTTCTTCCTCGAGAGTTTCGTTGCCAACCAGAGTCTTGGTCGAAACCAGCATCCCCCCGAGAATGACCTCATGGCAGAAGAATTGTCCTGTGAGGGTTCAGTAACATTGCTCATGACAAGCAAATGAAGAACGTTGGGCCATGGGCCGCGACGTACCAAATCGTTCGTAGAATTTGCGGACGTCCGTCGGGTCCGTATGCTCCTGCCCCTTAATCTTTTCGACGTTGTCTATGAATTCTTGGGTCGGAACGAGATCGTCCGCATTGAGGAATAGAGTGACTCGGGGAAGCTTGGAGGGGAGGTTATAAGCATGGGGTAAGTTGTCAAAAGTTGCTGCTGTTAGCTTACCTTGTATCTGCCAATCATGTTCTTGATGGATTTCTTGTTCTCCGACGACTTCCCACGCTGGGAGTCGAGGGAAGATCCGACAGACATGTTCACGCCCAGTCCTGAGTAGCCAATGGCGATTTTGCTATCCATGGAAGACTTGTCAAAACTGTTGCGAACAAGAGAATGCCGGATATCGCTCTCAACAGTGACGACATCAATTTTGGAGCCATCAGTGACGCCATAGTTGGGAATGGCATCTATAGCAGCGGCTCCCATGGCTTTCTGCACATTGACTGCGCCGTCTGATGTATACATGTAGCCTAGGTTCAGACCTGGCCTAAGACGGAATGCTAGACAGCTGTCAGAAGAAGCTCGCACGACCAAACGTCGATAACAAACCTGGCTTTGGTGCCATCTTGATCTCGTTGGTTGCGGGTTCAAGGTACCAGCCGTGCATGACTTGACAGTTCTTCATGACCAGATTCCATTGCAATTCATCCAGAGATGATGGTGAGCTATTAGAATCAAGGGTTTGAATGGTAAGAAGATGCGAATTGAGTTTGATGTCGAAGCTGTTTACTTACCTAGAACTCTGTGGATTGGAACCGCCTCAGTAAATCATCCAATTTGCAATCTTTAAATGTCTTACCTCAGACTTTGGGGCTTGTTTGTTTCCCCCTGAAGCTGCCAGGGCTGGATTTGACTTGGATTCATCGATGAGAGATGAAGCGTCCCTGAACCTGAGGGTGATTGATGGCACGCTATCCTCATAAGGACAGACCTCGTCCTTGAGTTGACATATGAATCAACAAAGCTTCGAGAGGTTACATGAAGAAATCGCGGGCTCACAAGAAGATCGACGTATTCTCCGAACGCGGTGGTATCAGGGAGAGGGGTTTCATCGGGTAGGCAGAACTGGTGTTTGGTGATGAGCTGCGACCTTGAATGAGGCGTTAGATATGATTATATGGAACGGAAGACAGAGAGAGACTTGCATTGTAATAATTCCATTTCTGAAGTGCCCGAGTGTTTGAGAGCGCAGGCAGCCTACAACAAGAATGTCGCTGCTCGCATCTTCTGGACGCGACTTCATCACTCTGAAAGATTGGACAGCCTGAGTTTTGTCTTTCTTGATCTGGACCACCTTGATGACGAAATTCCCCGACTTGTAGATATCTTGGATTGTCTGCTGATCATGATCCTTTTTGAGTCCGTAGTAGATTCTCACGTCCAACTCGGGCTCTTTCGTTAGCTTTGATACGTGATCCACGTACTCCAAGAGGGTGAGATCATCATCAAGGAGCCTAGAGGAAGGGGAGCTCCAGAAGTCAAACTCCTTGGCCAGACCAATAGCAATCATACCCTCTTTGATCATGGCCATGGAAACATCATCCATACCAACGTTGGCGCTGATACCACATTTCTTTAACAGCACGGCCAACCCGATGGTCCCCACAGAGCTCCCTAGACCTGGGACTGATGTTTTATTGGCTTCTTCATCAGTATTTGACGCTATAATAGCTTTATCGATTCGCTGAAACGTAATAATTATGCCCGAGTCAGGCGGTTTTTTCGTCGCGTCGCTGAATGTTTTGGCACCCGCTGAAGACGGGGGGGTAATGTAAACGCCTTCCATGCCAAGTAAGCGCAATGAAGAAGTTGAAAGAAAGTAGCTGAATAGGATGATGGTGCTCCAGGCCCGCGGTAGCGTCTCAGTGTCTGTTTTGTATCAGGAACACAGCCCTCGGCCAATTCCTCCGACACCAGGCTTTAATTTTCGTTTCCATGGTCGCGTGCGTACCTTCCGGAACCACGAGTACTTCATACCCGAAACGGCCTGGATAGACTCCTTGCCATCGTTTGTCTCACTATGGCTCAGCCGCATGGTGTTAGAGACGGCCTGCTCCCTTGGCGCACTCGGTTCAGCTGGACGAATGCAGGTTGTCTTACCCTGGACTTTGATCACTTCTTAGCTAGACCAGTATAACGAGAGAAACTAGAAGGGCTGCAGCAGACACGAGAGCATCTATATAGCTCTGTCTCGAAGCTCGAGTTATGGCACATTCCTCACTTGCGACAGCATTTCTGATTGATCTTTGACGTGCCGCATTGCAATCATGGCTGTGGGACCTCTAACGGACCTGAGAAATCCTTTGCAGATCAGCCTGCGGGCTCTGGAGGAAAAGTACCCTCAATACCACATTGTGCTTTGGGCTTCCGATGGAGGATCTCCAGAGCTTATGCCCGGAACGCGATGGTTCCGACGAGATAGTGAACTCATCTCGACCAATAACCGCGGCTTCTGGGGCTTCAGTAATGGCACACATCACTACGAATACTACCTCATCATTGAAGGAATCTTTACATATAAAAATAATAAGATGAACTCAAGCAAGTAAGTTTGCATTCTTCGAGTCATAAGCTCTGGTGGCTCAAGCTGATCGTCGATAGTTATTCGACTTTCGTGGCCTCAACTGCCGGATTTGACTTTGAGAAGAAGGAATGCATCATGAAAACCATGTGAGCACAGTATTCTTGACCTCTAGAGTGATTTTTCTCCATCTGATTTGCATTCAGACCCGAATTTTCCAACTCCTGGATGAGCCGTCTCTCCCCGGACATGTGCTTGAAGGATTTGACCTTACCGGGAACTCGGTCCAGCAGTGCCTCGACATATTGGATCAACGATGCCGCGAACCTCAATATTGAGCCGGAGATCCATGACAAGAGGCTGAAGTTGAAGTTGCTCGGTATGCACAAGTTTCACAAGGATAGCGTCCGCGCTCAACTGAATAGCGGCATTCGTTTGCTTGATCTACGTTGTGATGAGGAACGCAGACTACGACACGGTCCAATAGTTCTGGATAAGCAACTCGACGACGTACTCGACCATGTCAAGGAATTCTTGACAGTGAATACGAAGGAGGCGGTCATGATCATGCTCAGTTTCTCGTCCGCGTCCGTGGAGTACGACGACAGCAAGCCTTGGTCCGAGGGTTACAGCATCAAGAACGACGAGGTGCCCAAGAACTTTAACAGGGAGTTGAAGAGGGATATGATTAAAGACGACTTCTTGTACACGGGGAAAGAATGGCCTAAGCTTAGCGACGTCCGCGGAAAGGCGGTCATCTTCCGAGAGTGGGATGTGGAGTCTGATCAAGATCGATGGGGACTGGATTGCCGCTTGCCAAAATGGGAGGCTGTGCGTTGTTCTGGATCATCCACCAAGGCCTGTGATCTCGCTGCTAAGAGATGGAAGGAGCTGAAGAGAGATTTCAGCAGCCGAGACTCGCTTATATCGATCGTGCTGGGGGCTTGCCTGCGTCACGACCCGACGGACGAGGAGAGTTGGGTTCTTCCGCTGGAGACTGCACCCCTTCTTCAGAAGAAGGCAGAAGAATACGTCAAGAAACAGAAGACGAAGTTGAAGCACTTGTGGGTCTATGGCGATGACATGAAGGAAGAAACGAGTATGGCCATTGCGAAGCTGAACTTTTGGGGTTCGGGCGATCAGAAACCCAGTCGGCCAGAGTCGGCCCCTGCTTAGTTGATTACAACTCAGTAATTTGGATTGCCCATGCTGAACTAGAAGTAGCATGAGATTGCTTGATTAATTCTAATACTGTTGCACAATAATCTCTACTAACTTCCCTGAAGGGACGCGACAGGTTGCCAAGATTTTACTCAGCCAGACAAAAACATGGGGGGAAAATGACGGGTTTCACAGAAAAAGGCACACTAGCTCCCGGCAGTTACAGGACGGTTTCTCCAGCAAGGGACCGGACCGATCCCGCCGCGGTATACACTGCTAGGAGGAAACGACACTCTCGAGCGCCATATGAAGCAGGCATCTTGCCAATGCTTGAGGAATGTGCTATGAAGTGTTGAGGACCGCTTGCGGCATGGCTCCATCTGCCGGTGGCAGGGCTGAAGTGAGACCCATTCCTTTTGTCCCCCAGCAGGCGTTCGGTGGCGATGAACGATTTATAAAGACACGGTAAAATAGTCTCTTTACGGCAACTAGGGCCGAATTTGATTATTAATGGGGTTTGTTTTCGGGTACTTATTTTAAGTTCCGAAGTTCATGAGCGAGACCAGTCTGTCAAAGGTGGAATTCGGTCTTGGAATGGTTCGCACGAAGTTTTGAATCAGTGGACTGAGGATCGCCAAAACAGCCAGCCTGAAGTATTACGAGCTGACAGTCGATTACGGCCAACTGCGAAAGCGTCTAGTGCCACCAGATCTAGAACGACTTAAAATTGATATTTCTATACCGAGTTTATATACCCCGCTGACGATCTTTTGTTCGAGGCCTCGTTAGTCCAGCCATACTCATCGCTTTGTCTATCTTGACCTGAGCTGGCCAAGGCAAAGGTCTTGGCCTAGCTCCATTGAATCACGGGTTTGATGACCTTTTTCCACATTATTAGCTTTGGAGACGCGGGGTAGATCGGGTGAACGGCTCAGACGACGTACCTTTCCGGCAGCCATGTCTTGGATGGCCTGGTTCAACTGTGATGCCGGGTAAAACCCAGCTAACTTGTCGATGGGGAACCTGCCTTCATGGTGCATGGAGATCAGTCTGGGAATGATTTCCGAAGGTATCGAATCTCCCTCGATGACGCCAACATATCTCTTGTTGCCAATCAGGAACTCTTGCGGGTCAAGCTTGATTGCGGCTCCAGGAGGCGGTACCCCGACCTGGACGGCTATGCCCAAGGGACCGACGCACGCAATCGTGTCTTCAATGACTTTCAAAATGCCAGTGCATTCCAGAGCGAAAGTTGGACCGCCGTTGCTGATCTTTTTGATGTCCTGTACCACGTTGCTACTCTCTTTCGAGTTTATCGTGTGGGTGGCCCCGAGCTCCTTTGCCAGCTCGAGGCGTTGGGGGACAATGTCGACGGCAATGATTTGTCCGGTCTCGAGGTAGCGGGCAGCCATCAGCGCCGCTAGACCCACACTTCCGAGCCCGAAGATAACAATGGAGTCTTCTTTCCCCGGCTTGACTACGTTCAAGACTGTCCCGGCGCCGGTCTGAAGCCCGCACCCGAGCGGAGCATACAAGCCCATGTGCTCGACCGCCGCCGGCGGGCACCGGACAATTGATTTCTCATTGACGACGGACACTTCGCAGAACGACGACTGCCCAAAAAACTGGCTCCGGACAGGACGGCCATCCGAAGCTAGCCGAGCTGGAGTGCTGCGGTCGCCTACGCGTACCGAGTTGATGTTGATCATTGATGAGTCCGGACAGAACGCAGAATGACCGCTCGTGCAATTTTTGCAAGATCCGCAATAATTGAAGGAGAGGAGAACTGCATCACCAACTGCTAGGTCTTTGATTGTGACGTCTCTGCCAATGTCACGGACGATGCCGGCTCCTTCGTGACCGAAGATGGCTGGGAATTCAATAAAGGGGAGACCGCCTTGCTGGGTAACAATATCCGTGTGGCCTGTGATGTTATCAATAGCCAAGACAACAGATGGGCCACTGGAGTTTTGCTAGGTTTGACGTACACACTCCGCTGTACTTCATCTCGACAAGCACTTCATTTGGCCGAATCTCGTCAAGAATGATTGGGACCAGCTGGAAATCAGCGTTCACTTTGTCCACCACATATGCTTGCGTCTCGATGTTTTTCAGCCCAAGCAAACTCGTCTTGAGGCCTGCAGAGGTGTCTTTTACGTGCTCGATATGTTCGACATGTTCAGTCGCCTTCTTCAGGCCTTGGGGAATGCCCAGGGTCAACCCGAGCGCGGGTTCTTGCGAGATAGTCGTCATCTTTTTTGGCGAATGAGGCTAGCAAACTGATGAGGGTATGAATGAAGGTGCTCATATTATATGTATACGTCGGGTTCGGTATTTATGCGGATTCCGATAAGGGCGTCCGGAAATCATAGACCCGCAGGAAAGGGGAACATTTGCCGCATTTGTCTTGTTATCCAGAAACCTGATGCCGAACACACCCTCGGACAGAGTTCCGCTAAGAAGCACCCCGCATGCTACGTGGTCCGCGCTGCAAGCTTGGCTCAACGGTTGTTACAGTCGGGACTTGTAAATACGGCAGTCCCAGACTCGAACTCCAAACTGCCTATCTTCACAGCTTAGCACAATGCGGGGTACGTGTGGGGAGTGAGGGGAGACTGGGCTTGTGTGGGGGAGCCGTTGAAGTCAGAGGGTGTGGTTTCGCCAACAAAAAAGGGTGAAACTACCAATGGAGTTCATGGGATGAGACCTAAGACCCACGCCTTTGTTTTGTTGATCGAAGGAGGCAGCCCAAAACGTTCCTAGAACATAGATGTGTTGGAATGAACAGCAACTCCCTGTATCCTTTTCATGTTCCGTTCGGAAGCTGGGTTCGGAAGCGACTGTGAGAGTGGGTTCAGGAAACCTGAGTCGGCGCATCTGACACGTGCCGCATCTTTTTTACTTGCCACAGTCCTACAACAAGATCTACGATGTTTCGCTTTTGGGGATGATTGCGATTGTCCAGAACGCGTGAACTTGATACCCTGCATTCGGCAGTCGGACTGTTCAGCACCACAAAGCTTTATTGCTAAGATCTGTTATTCAGCCGATGCCTTAGGTCATGCTCCCCAGTCCCCAATCAACCAATGTTTTGATCAATAATATCCTCTTCTGAATTAGCTATACGTACTCGGGAATTAGTTCCATGTGAATATCAGAATAAGCTTAGATACATACCAATCTCGACCAAAGCGACCGTAGTCTTTTCTGTGTATCGCTCAGAATATTCTGCCGATGGCTTACGAAGGTGCAGAGGGCTAAAAATACTTGCTGTATAGTAAAGAGGCCACTGTGGAAATATCCTGCCAAAAGTGGTTTCCCGTAGTAGCCGAGCTTCGTACTTTCAAGATTGTGACTTCAAAGAATACGTATGTTGCTTGTGGAACTTTCTACCCGAAATTACTGTTACACAATCAGCGAACGGTGTTCCTTAATCTAGCCTCGAGGTAGTTTAATGACCTATTGAGTGTTCAAGAATCAAGATGAAAGGGGCGCTGAGCAGTTGACAAGATGCATTGGTTTCCAATCTCCAAGCAACACGACAGTATGCACCAATCAAATTGTCATTCGTTTTAGCTTTTGTTGATATCAGTACGGCCTGTGGCAGTTGTACTTATAGGTCTTAAAAGGGATAGCCGAGTTGTGAAGTGCTTCGCCTGACCGTGCCGTGGCGGCAAACGGAATTCGTTGCCCGGCGTGCTAGCCCCCGCACCTCCCCGCCTCCTTATGATGCAATTAGCTTATGGTCTCAGTGTGAAAGCCATGCGTTGGTACAACCTCTACGGCTACTTAAGTGAGGGGTTATAATCAAGACATGTTACAAAAGTGGTTGAATCTAGTAAAGGTACAACCTGTATCGGTAGTTCTGATTGACAATAGCAGAAGTTTCATCAACATTGGAACATTTGTGACGGAGAAGCAGCCAACATGAGCGACACTAAGACAGGATCAAGACTTGCCGGCAAGGTCGCCATCATTACCGGTAAGAGCATCCGCACCTCGAATTATACATGTAGTGTTGAGCGTCATGTCCTGACAACCCCCTAGGCGGAGGGCATGGCTTCGGTGAGGGCATTGCCAGGAAATTCGCCCAAGAAGGAGCCAAAGTCCTCATTACCGACATCAATGAGACCGACGGACAAAGAGTGGCGCAAGATGCGCCCGACTCGATTTCCTTCTTCAAGGCAGACGTTACGAGTGCCGAGGACTGGGAGAAGTTGATGGAGGCCGCACAGTCGCGCTATGGACGAGTCGATTGTCTTGTAAATAACGCCGGGACGACGTACCAAAACAAGGTATGATATGCTTCTATCTTTCTCGCAACTCAGCTGCGGGTGGGGAGGGAAGGTACACTGACTTTTGGACACAGCCGACACTCGAGGTAACAGAGAGCGAGTTCGACAGGGTCTTCAACGTCAATGTGAAGGGCATCTTCCTCGGAACCGCGGCTTTCATGCCTCGAGTCATCAAGCAAGGCGAAGGTGGCGTTATGCTAAACATCTCCTCAATCGGAGCTCTGCGCCCGCGGCCTGGACTCGTGTGGTACAATGCCTCCAAGGGAGCCGTCTGCAATGTACACAGAAAATGACTAGTAAGAGGAAATGACAACCTTGACTAATAAGACTACAGGCAACCAAGGGACTGGCGGCTGAATACGGTGCGCACAAGATTCGTGTCAACTCCATCTGCCCTCTTTTGACTGGCACTGGCCTGTAAGTTTGGGTTTCTTGACTCTTTGAAGCCGCTGTTTACATGCTCACAACCATAGATTCGAATCCTTCATTGGTATGAAGGACACGCCGGAAAACCGGCAGAAGTTCATTGGCAACGTTCCCTTGCAGCGATTGGGTGAGATTGAGGACGTAGTAGATGCCTCTTTATTCTTGGCTTCGGACGAGAGCAAGTTTATCACTGGTGTCAATTTGGAGGTCGATGGCGGTAGAGCTATATAATTACACACAAATCTACGCTATATTGGCCACAGGCTCACAGGGGCTGCATCAAAGACAGGCGGGTAGACTTCTGGGGTTTTAAGAGGCCAAACCCAGCAGGTGCCGCGACCAATTGCGTCCGCAATTGCAGTATCATGAACGATAATAGGCCCGGACCAGCATCCGCCTTATCAGGAAGATCATGAAGAGGCTAAGCCTAGACCTGTCTGTTCGAACTTCGGATGTCTAGATCAATTAAGCGATCACAGTCAAGATGTGCCTCTGTTGCTATTACATTCAGCCGATAAGGTCAAGTAGCTCAATTGTGATTGTAAACGTAACTTGAGCGAGGAAGTCAAAGAAGCTGTCTTTAATTGGACATTGCAAGTATTAAATTGCGACAAATTCAGCAGCGTTGCTTTCGCCTTCACCTAGTGACCATAGGAGGAGGGGATATAGCCGATGTAGCTGACTACGCGCAACCTTCGGCTATTTGCCACCCCACAAAGCCGACCTCAACATCGCTAGCTGCTCTTTGTTTAGATGACGTACCTGATAATTTCGGTCATATTTTGAGTGGTTACCTTGCTGTGAAATCGCATCGGTCAAATTTCAGAGGAGTTACTCCTGTTTCGTAGTCGATATTGAAGGTTCAATCTGCAATTGATTTCAACATGGCACCCCGAAGTCTGATGGCGACATTCTGGAGGAGGAATGCAAACGTAGGTCGACCTCCTCACATAGAAACACAGATTGCTAACTTGCTCCCCAGCTGTTGTCGAAGCAACAGTCACGAAAGCTCACCTTGCATGAATATCAATCGCAAAGCATTTTGAAGGAGGCAAGTCTTACTCTTAATCTTCCGAGAGAGACATACCAGCTGAAAGTAAGTCGCTAATGTATCTCTGTTAGTCCGGCATCACAGTACCCCGAGGACACCTTGCACGAACACCGGCCGAAGCTGCAGTGATCGCCAAAGAGCTTGGTAATTACTTATTCCCTCATTCAGACCCTATACTTGGTCCTGACAGGATTAGGCGGAACTTGTGTGCTCAAGTCACAAATACTGAGGGGCGACGGCGAAAATGGAACGTTTGACAATGGTTCAGGAGCTGGCATCCAGTTGGTCAACGACGCAGAAAGCGCCGAGAAAACCGCCAATCGCATGCTCGGACACTATTTGAGAACCGAAAAGTCTATAGGAAACGGCACCTTAATCAACAAACTTCATGTCACGGAGGCTCTCAAGTCTGAAAAGAAGTGGTATTTGGCCATCACGTTCGATCGCGAAAACTACTGTCCGATACTCATCGTGTCCAAACGCGGAGGGCTCGACGTCGAAACGATAGCAACACAGCATCCGAATGAGCTTCATACATTCGCGATTGGGTTCACGGAAGGCATCACACCAGGAATCACTAGAAATGTCTCAAAATGTCTAGAAGCCTCGGCGAAAGAGGCGGAAGATCTGGAGGACATCCTGCGCAGGCTTTACAAGATTTTTAAAACCAAAGACGCCACTTTTCTCGAGATCAAGACGCTAGCCAGCTCGTCCGAGGGAGGGCTGACTTGCATGGATGCCAGCTTCTCCTTCGACGATGCCGCAGCCAAGCGGCAAAAGGCGCTTTTCGCAGAGCGCGACACGGAGCATGAAATCCCTGAAGAGGTCGAAGCTGAAAAGTACGGGTTGGTCTACGTTCGTATGGACGGTGATATTGGTAACGTGGTCAACGGCGCCGGGCTCGCGATGGCGACCAACGATGCCATTGCGCTGCATGGAGGCGCTAGTGCCAACTTTCTTGATGCGGGTGGGCAAGCGACGAAGGAGACCATGGTCAAGGCCTTTGAGATTATTCTGAGGGACCAGAGGGTGAAGACGATACTCGTCAACATCTATGGCGGTGAGCTAGCTGTGAAACCCCCGCTTGGTGTTTGGTTCTCTGGCTGACAATTGTTTTTTTCCAGGAATCACCAGAGGCGACATGATTGCAGAGTCTATTCTTGGTGCGGCGAAAGAGTTGGGTCCGCTTAAAGTCCCCCTGGTGGTTCGACTTCAGGGTACGAACTCTGAGCTGGGGCTGAAAATTGTGAGTTGTTCCCTGACCAATTTGGTGGTATGTCGAGAATGCTGACGAGGACGCGCAGTTGGAGGAGGCAAATTTGGGATTACATACGGAGGCAGATTTTGGGAAAGCCGCGCAAAAGGCAGTAGAATTGGCGCGAGAGGCAAAACCGGTGTCTCTGAATTCGTGAATGACTTTGGATATTTGTGATGGCTCCTGACGACCACTACACACGAATAGAGTCTTGCCATTCCCTCCGAGGATTAAACTGACATTCTCAGATACGTGACCGTAGCGACATGACAATGTATGTTGAAGTTTCAACTTGTTCTCTTCGAAACGCAAAGCTCCTCCATGGATCTCACGGTTTCAGGCTTTGATATCTGATATTACCGACGGCCATCCGAGGCTCCTCTATGCCGCCACGTGCTCAGTTGCCTTCGAAGCTGCGTTTGAAGCTCCCTTTGAAGTCACTAGCTCCGATGGCGCCATTTACAAAGATAACCATCATGTTTGAAAAGCCTTCGAAAGGATAATCCTGTAAAATTTAACTCATATAAAAATTGATTGCTGAAACGGCCACGGACCTAGAGCCTTTAGCCACATTCTAAAGAGCATCTTTTTCGGATTTTCTCTACGTTAACCGAGTCCAGATCGTTCAGACGACTTCGACTGCCAAGGAAAGCATGCCCAAAGTCGTTGATTTCACACTATTTCGATGTTCTCCCTTGCGATGAAGGTTTTCGCTTGCTCGCTTATGGTTGGAGTGCCATACACTTGACCTTAGCTGCGCTGACTACTGCAGGACAAAATCACTCATGCAGCCTATCCAAGCTATAGTTTCACACAACTGAGACTTTGACAACCTCTGTCAGCACCATGCTAGCTCCTTGAGGCATCGAGAGGCATCCCCCGATTGGATCCCGTCGTTTGAGCCAGAAAAGCCGCTGACTCGTTCGTTTGTGATTAATCATTTTTCTACCCGAGACTCACGGCCCTTCCAGCCCTTCAATCTTCAACCGCATATGTCACACCAATTTGGGCTTTGTACCGTAAAAGGTGGATTCTTATCGATTCTAATAGCTTCTCAATGAAATCGTCCTTGGACTTGCGCTCGAGCTTGATCCTTTTGCGTCAAGACGACTGACGCTCGGCCAGCCTAGTGATGACGCTGCAGCTTGAGTATTCTTTGGGAGGTTCAACATACATGCTGAGAAAGTCATTCAATCGCATAAATTTGCCGTCCCAGCCCATGACTTACTGATTCGATTGAAGCGAAGGATCCTCCACATCCCGACGGTTGCGTACAGCCCAGCCACAACACTACCTCTAAGGCGGCATGACGGGGAAGCCGGAAACTCTTGCGGTTGAGCATTTCAAGAGAGAAGTTTTCCATCGACGTCACAAAATTCCCTCATGTATGTCTCTTTCTCTCTCTCTCTCTCCACAACCCGCTTGAGACGGATGCCGGCTTCTGCCTCCCGTCCCGTCATTGCATTGCCTAGCTTAGCCGCTAGGCCGCGCGGTACCGAAGAGGTTTAAGTGATAGACAGTGGCTTGCCATGATGGAGGGAAAAAAAAAACTTTTTTGTCGAAGCTAATGCTGCCTCTCCCACTTCCGTAGTGAGACCCAGACGTGCCCCCTCCCGAGTAGGACGTCAGAATTGAGTTGGCTGGGTGGTTGCGGACGACGGACGACAAACCCTTTTGGGACGGGGAGCGATGGTGTGCTACACACGATTCAACGTTGGACAAGGGGTCAGTGGATGGTGTCGTGCAGTAGAGGGGAGCTATCTACGCGTTCCCACCGTATCCCACGTTGTCCAAGTCCTAACGTGGTTTCGCGCGGAGGGGCTGGCTGGGAAGGGTCGGTGTTAAAAGGTTGACCTTGGAAAAAGCCATCTTTCAAACGGGCATACGGGCTGATGACAGCATCGACCTAGAGCAAACTAAATATGCAAAGTCTGAAGCGATGGCGAAAAGCTGCGTTTGTGATTGGTGTGGCAGCACCAAGACACCATGCAGGAACAGGAAAACGGGGAGGCATGCGTGATTCAAGGCGGCGAAGGAGGACAAAAAAAAAGAAAAGAAGGGTTCTCGGTAAGCCGAAAAAAAAGCGAGAGGGGATCCCTGTCTAGTCTTCCCTGCGTCTGTCGCCAATCGGCAGGCCTTCAAGGGGGGGGACACAGGAGGGCCTCATCACGTCTGGTTCGTTTGTCGGCCCATGCTTTTGTGATTGAATCGACTTGGATCTCCTCGCGAACCCGATTCATGTAGAAATGACACGCGGTCGATATCTGTGCTTTTGGGGGTACTGGGGTCAGATGTCGGGTACGGGTAACACGACAGCTTCTTCAGGCAGGCTGATATGAGCATCCTTGCGAGAGGCAGGGCCAAGTCCATAACTTCACGAAGTAAGTAAATATGTAGGCACATATTAGTTCAGGCAAGTTATCGGAATCGCTCTCACTGAAGAGAGACAGAGAGGACGTCTTGCATCGACGATGGATCGTGAGGAAGAATCTCGTCATTTTCTTCCATCATATTTTACAAATTTAGCATCGCCCATTTCCATCATTTTGTTTGCTGACATCCACTTTTTCCATCCCGCTAAAGCACGACGCAACGCAGCCATCACACCTCCAGCCCATTTCTTAGCCTGATTCTGGCAGGTTGGAAAAGTCTGGGCATTTCTGTTATTTTCCTCGACTCTCCTACGTGCTCGCGTGGCTGTAAGGTGGGCACTGGTGGCCACACCAAGACCCCTCTCCTTTCCTCTTGGGGGAATTCTGGTGAAGTAGTCAGCTGTCCGGACCCCTGTCGTTACTGCACTGCGTCTGCACGACGGTCGATAAGGTATGCAGCTTGTCATTCTGGTGGCCATGTCTAGGAGAAAAAGCAAACAAAACCACCACCTCGGGGCTATTGGGTGACCTGATGTGTCCCGCCCCAAAAAGAAAAGAGAGAGAGAGAGATCTGTGGTTCCAGTCCCTGGACCGTTGGGAATGGGGAGGAGCCTCGCGAGTTACAAAAATGAAGCGGCTTGCTCCACGAGGTTTGCTTGGGAGTTTGTGAATTCTTTGTCCCACCTCGCTCCCGCATAATCCACAGCACGTATCACGTGTGGATGACAAGGTCAAGGTCGCGTATCCTCTTTCATCGCAGTCTACCGGGACGACAATATGGCGGCATCACCAACACCGGCGAAGCCGACGATGGGAGACAAGGTGGTGATTTTCCCGTTGGAGAATGCGGACCAGGTCTCTGTGGTTGCGGTGTCCATTGCCTTCATCATCATACCGACGGTGATGGTGATCCTTCGCCTCATCGCCAGGCGCATGGCGCACAGAGACATGGATGCAAGTGATTGGTGTATCATTGCGGCATGTGTGAGTTGCAATGAGGGCTTACGGCCGGCAATTTCAGATGAGAGGCTCTTACTCACTCTTTTCTGCTAGGTCTTCTCCAATGCCCTGCAAGCCGTCTCTATAGTCGGTGTGATACAATGCGGTGTCGGCGTACATAATGCTGCCATCATACCCAAGTATGGGGTCGGTCCAATCATCAAGTTCCTCAAGGTTCGCATCACCTTTTTCCATCGATCAAGCCTGTCTTGTTTCAAAATGTGAAGCCTGGTGGAGTTGCTAACGCATCTCTCTCTAGGTCCTCGTCGCTCAGCAAATCCTTTGGGCCATCAGTCTCAGCCTCTGCAAGATATCCATTCTCCTACTCTATTCAAAGATCTTCAGCACCAAATTTATGATATTATCAGCGAGGATACTGGCCGCCTTCACCATGATGTGGACCGTGGTCACGGTGCTGATCGCCTTCTTCATCTGCATCCCTCTCTCGGACAACTGGCTGCTCGATCTCAGGAACCGGCACTGCGGGAATCAGCCAGCGGCAGATGGCACGATGGGGGTCTTGAACATAATTACCGACATCATCATCCTCGTTATGCCGATTTCTCACTTGTGGGGTCTGCGATTAGAGATGTACAAGAAGGTAGCCCTCATCATCGCCTTCTCGCTAGGGGTCTTGTAAGTCATGCCTCCACCACCAGAAACATCGTTTTGAACTAATCGTCATTGCCAACCATAGCACTTGCATTGTGTCGGCTCTACGCCTGTACTACCTGGCCAACCTCGTCTATCTCGACGTGACGTTCAACATTCCCAGCGCCCTCATCTTCAGTGCGCTAGAGCCTGGCGTCGGCATTACCCTCGCGTGCATCCCCTTCCTCCGGCCTCTGCTGGGCCGTTCCCAGTACTCGCCAAAGGGTACCGCCAACTACTACAGCTCGAATGGCAAATCCAACGGCATCTCAAATAGGAGGAGCGGCCGCCAAAGCGACGGGTTCGTACTTGTAGAACACCTGTCCGAATCTCAGCAACAACTACAGGGTTACGAGCAGAGGGATGCGGCTCCCACGATGCCCGGCAAGGTCACGTATAGTAGAGGGAGCAGCAGCGTTCGAGATGTAGAGTAGCGTGTGGACATCAAAATGAAGCTTCAATGTTCTCTGGAAAAGACGTTGGGATCGCGACACAATTTTGGCAAAAAAGTGAGACTTTGCTCGGTGAATGAGATTGCATCATTACCGTGTCAAATACTTCCACGAGTGGAAAGCTTGCTCGTCTCCAGAAAACGAATCTCCTGTCCTAGCTTCCTGCTCACTCGATCAGTCTAGGCGGCTCCTTTACATCTTCCGGAAGCTTGCTCCATCGGCTCGTGTAGACCCTGCCATCCTTGATCACAGCCAAAACGTTCTTCTCCGGCTCGTCCAATATCGAGACGTCATCCAGTGGGTTCCCGTTGAGGATCAGCAAGTCCGCCACAAACTTCTCCCTGACCTGACCGAGCACACCCTCCTGCCGAAGCATCCTGGCAGCGTTGACCGTGGCAGATTGAATCACGTGCTTGTTGCTGAGAGCCCGCTGGCGGATGCCAAACTCCCTGCTCTGCTCGGCCTGCAAGGGGCCGAGCAAGTCGGACCCGTGGCAGATGGTGACGCCCGCCTCGGCGGCAATCCTCAACGACTGTAGACCTCGTTTCAAGACCTCCTGGTTCTTGCGCTGGTTCTCCGGGGGCAGAAACCCCCTGTACTTGTCCGACCCCATCGCGTCGTACGTGACCAGCGTAGGGGTCAGCCACACGGCCCTTTCGGCCATGAACTCGGCCGTCTCCTTGTCAATGAAGTTGCCGTGCTCGATGCCCGTCACGCCGTTCTCGACCGCGTGGCGGATCGCCCGCGGGGTATAGGCGTGGGCCGTGACCCAGGTGCCGTAGCTCCGGGCGACCTCGCTAATGGCCCTGATCTCGTCCGCCGTGAACTGCGTGTTCTCGATCCTGTCCGTCGGCGACGCGACGCCGCCGCCGACCATGATCTTGATAAAGTCCGCACCCGTCCTCAGCTGCTCCCTGGTCGCCCTGATACACTCCGGCACGCCGTCGACAACGTTGGAGAGCCCCGATGGGCCTCCGCAGCAGAGCCCCGAGTGGTCGTGGGCACCCCTGCGGTCGCCGTGGCCTCCCGTCTGCGACAAGGCTTGGTTGGCGATGAACAAGCGGGGCCCGGGGAAGACGCCGTCCTGGATCGCCTCCTTCAGGGCGAGAGTGGCGCCGCCGGTATCGCGGACCGTGGTGAAGCCCTTGCTCAGGATGCGACCGCAGACAAACGACTGCCGCAGGTGAGAGACGGTGGCATCCATGTCGAAGCCGCCGTTGAGGCCGGCCTCGCCGGGCACGGAGCTGACGTGGACGTGGCAGTCGATGAGACCAGGGGACAGGTATTTGCCCTGTAGATCGACCACAATGGCATCATCATGATCGCCTGCAACGTCCGCCGGGCTTCCACCGACGCTTTCAATCAAGCCATTCGAGATCTTGACGGTCGTGTTCTCGATGATGACGCCTTTGGCAGTATCCACGACGTTGGCGTGGACAAAGAGGTAGGTGTTTTGCTGCGGGAGTTTCCACGGCTTGATGAGCTTCTCCGGGATCGCATCCGCGGAGTCGGCCGCCCACCGCCGCGGCGAAGTGCGCCGTCGCAGCTCCATGGCGGGTCCGGTGAGGACGGGAGCTTTGCGGACTGTCATGGCCTGGTAGCGGCTGTGGAGGAACACTTGTGAACACACTCTGGTGTGAAGGGAAAGCTCGAAGAATAACAATCCTAACACAATTTCAAGTTTCAATGGCCTGGATATGGTTCATTTTGACGAGAGTTGGAGGGGGGTCGGGCGACGGTGCCGTGGCCGATAAGCGCGTCGGGGCAGTTTGCCGGTGCGGAGTCGGCGATGGATGAGGGAAGCATCCCTGATGTTGGCGATCAGTGCGCGGGAATGTACCTTCCCGAAATGGATGAAGGATTTGACTGTTTGCTCTGCATAACCGGGGTTAGGATCATCAGCCCTTCATGTTGTCACTAAGACGGAAACAAAAAAGGCACGGTTCCTGGTCGAGTCTGGGGTTACCGTGCGAAGATGCAACTGAAGGGACCACGAGCAGATGTATTTCACCTGTTTGGTTCTTAAAGTACTTGTTTGGCATAGGGAAAACAGCTTTGGCTCTCGATAACTCGGTCGGCACCCATGAGGCATGGCAGATATTGTCAATAAAGAAAAGACAGACAATCCTCGACTAACCAACTGACTGCCCGATCAGAAAAAGACAATGAGCGAAATGGAAGTTGACAGTATTGAGGGAAAAAGACAAAAAGAAACTCCTCGACGGGGAATTGAACCCCGGTCCCCTGCGAATCGCTGAAACTCAATGACAAGCAGATATCCTCACCACTAGACTATCGGGGATTGGTGGATGTGTTCATCCAGTGATAGTTGGTTGGGTGGGGAAGCCAGTGGGAAGTAGATAAAGCATAGTCCTCCCGCGAAACAGCTGCGTGTTTTGCGTGCGCTCATCTCATGAGTGCTCAGCCAGTATCGAACAAGGGCTCAAAGTTCTTGTTTAGAGAATTGAAAGGATTTATTAACCTCTTTACAATACCGAGGTTTGAGAAAGGAACTGCGGGTAGCAATCACTGGCAGCTAAAACTGCTGAGTTTGAGAAGCGACGATTTACACATTCGGGCAGAGTTCGCGATGCGCTATGGTCGCTGACATGTTCCAACGCAGCCCATCCTTGGTGAACGTGATTGAAAACCGATCAGGATAAATGGACGAGATGGCAATACACGAACGATACTGTCAGGATAAGAATCGCACAAGTGCGACAACAGGAGAGATACTGCCGTCCTGAACTGTGGTACGATCAATCATTGGCCTTTGGCACAGCTCAAGTTCACTAAGAAGAAATTATTTCTGTAATCAACCACTAGAACGAAGAGTAGCTCAAGTGCTGACTGTGCCACGACAGATCTACAATCAACTTCCTCTGACATCATTTGTCATTCCCAGCATAGCCGCTTCAGAATCTGGCTGCCTAATGGACGAGTGGCATGTTCAGCCGTTTGCCAATTCGTCATAAGCGCGACGACTGCCGATGCGGAGCAAACCTCAACGTCTTGCGCCCCCGAGATATCAATTCTCACATCACCAGCACCTCCACCATGAGCATCTCAAACGCCAACAGCATCAATCCAGAATGTCAACAGCTGCAATTCGCCTTGCCACCGGCCGGTGCAGCTGTCCGCGACTTCATCGCTGCCCACCCCGAAGCCGAGGCGCAACTTTCACCCCTGGCAGAGGAACTCCTCCTACTACCCGATGTGGTCGTCGCACTTTTGCGGAGTGAGGCGAGTTGCGCCGGGGAGGATCGGCTACTGAACGAAACTCGACAGGTTCCGGCTTTTTGCATCGAGGTCGTCGGCCAGATTGTAGGGGTTGTTTCTGATACTGGCCCTGAAAAGAGCCGATGGTCCCTCGTGCGACGTGGAGACGATGCGTGGAGGAGTGCTGCCAGTCACGCCGCGGCCCTGGGCTCGTATCTGGCCTCGGGAAGGAGGACAATGAGTCTGGCTGTCGATGCACTCGACCTGTAAGCTTGCCTGCGTTTTAAGAATTTGAGATGGTTGTGAGATACTGACATGAGACACCATGGCAGAGCCCAGCATCTTCAAAGGGCAGAGGAGGCTGGTGAATCCCCTCCTTATGCTGCCAGTGCAACATTGCAGGAGATCAACTCCATCAAAGAGATCCTCAACCGCCAACCCGCATCAGAGCAGAGGCTGTCGCTGCACAAGCTCGCCGGGTTCCTCAGCTTCCTTCGGACGTACATTGACAACCAGTCCACCACGGTCCCGGCATCGGAAATGGCGAGACTGACCGTCACCGCCGATAACGCCGGCGCTTCAACCTACTCTATGTCCGCCGCGCCGAGCGTCGACGGTGACATGAACACAGGCCCGGCCCTTCTCGCGGCCTCGCCCGCCCACGTCTCATTCCGACACGTCGGCAAGATCACAATGAACCTAGAGAAAGAACCCCTCGACATCCGCTTCACCTCCAACGCGGACCCGACATCCTTCGCCGTCTCCAATTTCTTCAAAGACATTAGCCTCTTCGATGCCGCATCGGGGGAGCGCAGGCGCACCATCAAAGTCAAAGGCGTGCACATGGTCTTCTCCCCCTTTTGGGACCTGGTCGCCGTGACGACGGAGCATCACGACGAATACGTCCACCGATTCCCCAAGCCCATCCCAACGACGCACGACATGATCCATTTTGAGAGGCCGGCTCTGTACGTCGTCGACTGGGCCAATGACAATAGCCCCACGGCGCGCAAGTTCGCCCTGCAGTGGCACGGCATCCGCGCATTCTCCTTCAGCCCGGACGGCCAGCTCCTGGCGATCAAGGGCGTCCGGAACCGCGTCGAGATCGTCACGGGGGCCAAGGGGCAAGGGTACAGCGTCATCCGCAGCCACACGGACGAGGTCACGCACGCGGAGTGGACGGCGGACGGCACCAGGCTCGTGACCGCGTCGCGGGATGGGACGCTGCGGGTCACGAATGTCGAGACGGGCCGGACCGTTGCCAAGATGGAGATGGAGGACTGGAGGAATCCGCTGCAGCTCGCCGTCGGTCCGATGGGGGCGATTGCGTCCATTTGGGGCCGGACGGTGACGATGTGGGACTATGAGAGCGGCGCGATGAACAGTTATAACCTCGAGACTGCCAAGGGCAGCGAAGGCATCCCGTTGGCGATTTCGCCCGACCTGCGATGGGTTGCGTACCGGTCCGATGACGGTGCCGATGTCACCGACCTGGCGACTGGCAGAGTAGTCTACTCGGCACGGCTGGAGTCTGGGTTCGCCGTTTCTGCTGCCTTCTCCGGGAACGGGCAGTACATGGTTGTCGGGCGGTGTTTGCATGGACATCACGCCCGGAACGATTCCGGCATCCTCAACGTGTGGGAAGTTCAGACTTGACGCGAGGTTTATGAGCAACAGAGATACCATTCATTCTATGACAGTGCAAAATGCATATCGTGGAGCCAAAGGTGTTGGGCTGCTCAGCTCGTTCGTGTGTGAGAGCAGCACCTTTCGAGAGACAGAAAACAGGTTGGTTTTGATGCGCAGCGATGAGGAGACTACGTTCATTTGTACTAATTATAAAGTCTTTCCAATCGTCAAAGACACTGTGAAAGCAGCCAACAGTTTCTTCGCAAGCTCTGGACATCTCATGTTACCATCCGGGAGGAGGGAAGCTATCGGCGGCAGCATCGTCGCGCTTCCACCCGGGAGGAGGGAAGCTATCGGCGGCAGCATCGTCGCGCTTCCACCCGGGAGGAGGGAAGCTATCGGCGGCAGCATCGTCGCGCTTCCACCCGGGAGGAGGGAAGCTATCGGCGGCAGCATCGTCAGGGACCTATAGTTTGAACAGATATCAGATCACGAAGAACTTGATTGAAGAGCGGTACGTACCGGCGCAGTCATGCCCAAGGAAACAACAGCCGCCAGAGCGAGCAAGCTGAACTTCATCTTGGCGGGTTCGATATCGTAAAAAGGGTAGATCAAGATGTGATGTCGTACTGATGGGCAGCCAAGTTGCTCAAAGTAGTAGCTTATAAGGGGGAAGTTAGGGAGGAATCTAGTGACAGAGTAGGCTGATTCTGATGGCCTGCTTTTATAGACTCGTCGGACAAAATTCAATGCCATTCAGCTGTGCTCAAAAGTCTAGGTCTTTCGAAGCCATCGTCAACCTCCGCCCGTGTCCTTACACGTAGGCTGGCGGAGTTCCACCTTGGAGCCCGAGTGGCTCACTCAGCGTCCTGCATCCTCTGCCACATTAGAGATTTCACATTCCAAATGCGGACCTTTCCTACTTCCTGAGCGCAGGAATTGCTCTGAGGACGACAACAGCCTCTCAAGGCGACTCGGCCCGACGCTCCTGTAGTCCAAAGTTGGAATCACCGGATACGAGGCTCATGCCATCCTTAGTGCCGCGACAACCTGGATCAACACCAACGACAGCGAGGGATTTGATGGATTTGATTAGGACAAGATGTGTTGTCTCCAAGTATGGTGATGCTTATTCAGGCTTGCTAGCGTGGACCAAATCAATAGAGTTAAAAGAGAGAGATGTCGAGCCAGTCGGAACCGCTCAAGCCTTTGGTTTCAGGGGCTTCTGTCCCCAGACTGCTCTTTGGCGGTAGTAACCGTGAAGCTTGCCAGACCGGATCTCGCGACGCAGCTGCGCTGCGTAAATGTGGATTTCCTCGCGCGACCACGTCGACATGACGTTGGCCATGAAGAGGACGTAGCCCTCAATATCCGAAAGGAGCGTCAGCTGACCCCACTCGCCGAGTTCCTTCTTCACCTCATCCTTTGGCCAGTTGCCGAGAGGGGCCTATCATTTTCCACAGTCAGTCTTTTTTTCTTCTTCTTTTTCTTTTTCCATAAACCTCCCCCATATGCAAATCACTCGTCGAGGCTCTCCAAGTTACCTTGTTGTTCCATTCTGTAATGCTCTCAAAGCCGGCGATCTCCATCGAAGTCGTTTGCAAATTCTCGTCGAGGACCCGGAACGTCCGGCCCATCTTCCGGCCGCCCTCCTCGAAGAACTTGCCCCATTGGCCGAGGGCGCTCGTCTCGGGGACGGTCCCGTCGTCGCTCATGATGGCCGGCGAGACCTCGAAACTCTCGAGGTAGCCGCCCGGCTTCAGGGCCCTGTACGCCTGCTTGAAGAGCGCGGGCCAGTCCGCGATGCTGCCGACCAGGAAGCGGATGTGGACGTAGTCGAAAGACTCTGGTTCAAATGTCCATTCGCGTGTGCAGTCGTCGATCTCACTGTGCGGGGGGGTTGTCAGTGTCGGGAATGAGATGGGTCATTGGATGTTGAGTGACGACTGTGCACATGTACTCACAACTTTAGATTAGGAGGAACCCAGCTAGGTTGAATGGGGGAAATGTCCGTCCCAATGACTTCACATTCGGGATTCTCGTCGGCAAAATCACTTTTTATAAGGTTCAGCCTCTTGGATCACATCCTCGTGCCAACGTCGCGCGTACTCACATAGCCCAGATACCTGCGCGCAGATTAGCCCCGAACCCTTACGCCCAAGTATGACATAACAATCGTCGCTCACCTGTTCCTGTTCCAATGTCCAACGCTTTATTCAGCTGGTCAGGGTGTAGTTAGCCCAGATCGATGAGCAAGCCACGCCAAAGTGCTCTCAACCTACCTTGCTTTTATCGAGCGGTGCCAAGTGAAGCCTGTCACCCATCGATAAGGTGAGCAAGTGATGGCTATCGAGCGTCAGCTTCGAGACTCTCTGTCGTTGCTCTTCATGAAGTCTTTTTTTGTCTCACTTGATGTCCCAAGCCTCATTCTGCTGCTCATCGTTGCTCCCCCTTCACGAACCTGTCAGCGAGACCGTCAAACGCTCAAATCCCCGCCCAGGAGTGCGGCTACCAATACTGGGCGTCGCCAACCTCGCCGTGAAACGTCCTCCCGTGAATCTTCCGGTACTGCAGAATCGTAGAGGTGATTGACGCCGTAGAACTGGCGGCGTCGTCGCCTAGCGCCGAGTCGGCGTCGTCTTCAGTAGTAGCATCCTAGCGGCCTGTCAATCATGGGAAAATTCGTGCGCCGTCGTGGCTGGCCGCCGTTTGACGGTTGAGCCCAAGGGCGGGAATGGCGTCGGACTGACTCGTGCCGCTTGCACCCAGTGCTCAGCTGGGAGGATTCCTGCCGCCGCATTCGCCGTGGTCTCTTGCTGCGCCGTGGCGGCCGTGGCCGCCGTCTGCTCCTCGTCTGGCTCGGGACACATTTGTCGGATGGCGGATCGATGTGGTTGCGCGCGCGATGTGAAGCTGTATTTCCGGTACTCCCGTGCTGTTCCAGATTCCGGGTTCCTGTGCTCGAATCCCTGGGAGAAAAGGGAGAGAGAGAGAGTCTGAGAGATTGATTGCTTGAACGGTAGCGGGAAAAGGTGGAAACGATGCCCACGAGTCACGACAGCATCCCCGGTCCATGTTCCATTCTTTACGGGCTCGGATACCCCACAGCGGGCGGGCAAAGCGTGTGGGTGGTGGTGTGGGCGTGCGCACGGCCTCTCGTTTTCTCTCTAATTCTTCAGTTGATCAGTCAGATCCCCTTCACCGCATCAACCATCCCACAGGCCACAGGGAGGAGGAGGAGGAGGAGGAGGGGGGCGGGCGATTTGTGGCCCTCTCCTTCGCTTCTCCAACGGTTGGAGAGGATCTCCTCATCTGCCGATTATCAGTTTCAAGTCAGCTGCTGCCGGTCTTTGAAGCTCTATTCTGTGCCATGGGCCGTGGTAACGTGTCAGGCGTCGCGCCAAGGCCGCTGACTAGAGGTGTAGAATGTTACCATATCCGGCCCTCATCACCAGAAACGACCGGCAGAGATACCGGGGATCGTCAGCGGGTAGGCCAACCAGATGAGGTTCGCGGCATTTGCCAGTGGATCCTACATGCAAGAGCCTGTAAGGGGTAATCATTCAAGACCTGGGTCTCCGCGTTGCTGCGACTTTGGCAGAATTCTTACACGAGTAGTATTACGAAGTCCGCCGCTAGAAACCAGGCACAAGTGCTAGCCGAAGGGGAGGGGGGCCTGGACTTATTGGGGGAAAACAAGCGTGGTATTTGCTAGGCGCAGAGATAAACAGGATTCTTCGTCGGCCCCGGCCTTCTTTCAATACGTTGCATTCAGTCGCATCTCGATATACTCGCGACTGTTTATCGGCTCGTACTTCTTTGGCCTGCCGGGGCCGTAGCAGCCAGGAACGCAGTCCACCGTCGTCTCCTGATCAGCGCCGATAAAGTAGGGAATCGAGTACCGCGCCCGGGTAACGCGGTCACCGCCCTCGTTCGCCTCCAGCAGCAGCGGCGGCGCTCGCACGCGGTGCACGGTGGACCGGAGCGTGTCGTTGCTCCATCGCTGCATGAAGTCGCCAATGTTGACCACGATCGTCCCCGGGATGGACGATACGGGCAAGAACCGGCCCTCCTCGTTGGGGTCCTCCACCTCCAGGCCGCCGACCTCGTCCTGGAAGAGGAGCGTCATGGAGCCAAAATCCGAGTGCGCTCCCAGCCGCTCGACCTCGCCGGCGCGCAGGAGCTTCTCCTCGACCGGCGGGTAGTGGAGGAGGCGGATCTGGTTGTCCCTCTTCACGTGGTACGACCGGAAGAAGTCCTCGTCCAGGCCCATGCCGAGCGCCATGGCGCGGAGCAGGTGGAGTTCGAGCCGGTAGCAGACTTCGTAGAAATTGTTGAAAAATGATCGAAATCCGGGGAGCGACGTCTCCGGGACCCAGATATTGGGCAGGTGATCGTTGTCCTCGCGCCCAATCTCGTATGATTCCTTAAAGTCTGGTATTTTCCGCAGCTCGCTGATTTGCTCGGCGTCAAACACCATTTGCGACACCTTTTCGCGGCCGATGCCGGAATAGCCGCGATGCCACCATCCCTCGCGTGGGTGCGGTGCCTTGTCCTTTTCGGACTGCGGGAGGGAAAAGAACTTCTCGCTCTAGGCGACGACGACAGCGATGATTAGCAAGGACAGAGAGCTGAAGAGAGATCAATCCCCATAGACGAACCCACTGGAAGGCGGACTCGATGGTCTTCTCGGGGATTCCGTGGTTCTTCACATGCGCGAACCCTGATACTCTGAAAGCTTCAACGAGATTATTGCCGGCTTTCAGCGCTGCTTCAGGATTGGCGTTGTCTTCTATCAAAGCGCCCAGGTCAATCAGTGGAATGTTGGACTTTCCGGCCGCTCGAGCAGCGGAGGCTTCATTGAACGACGAGGTGGACTGCGACATGGTCTGTACAACTCTAATTCGTGAGGGGATAGAGTTTTCAATGGTTGAAATGAGCATGCGCTGACGGATTTTTTAATCATCGATAAGACTTGTTCCCCGCCTCCTGCAGGATGACGGAATGACGTCGATCGGCGCACGAGGTTATTCACATGCGGAATTGAGGTACCGTGCGTGGCTTGATTAGTGATTCCACCAAATGGGAGTTCGCTGAGCCAACTTTCTGGTGCAAATTTGAGCAAACTCATAGTCCATTTCCTCTTCTACTGAGCACGTTTCGAAAATAGACGTTAAAAAAATCAGCTAATTGAATTCATAAAACACTCGAGGTGTATAAAGAATTAAGAAAATCAAGGTGGTTTCAAGGAGTTGTCTTTGCGTATGTCCAACACAAGGTGCACGTACTTGGGTGTTCTCGTTGAAAAGTATGAATGTCGATATGCATGAGCCGAATTGCTTTCATTTTTCTACCATTATCAGAGTCTATACCGTCAACCTGTATCTACTAAATCTTATCAACCTCTAGAGTCTCAGCTTGTAAAAAGAAAAAGAAAAAAAAGAAAGATGTTGATCACTTCACTCCGCACAAGGACTCAAAGCGCTCCAAGGCCAAAGCCTGCGGTAAGGTTCAAGGACTCACTGCCCAACACTGAGCTGGCCAACCATCCTCTAGGTGGCAGGCTTCCGCCACCTCGACCAATGCCTGCCATCAATTCGCACCGGCTCAAGCTGTCATAGTCCGTTTCCATGTCCTCCGGGAGAGGCGGAAGCAGCGTGAAGTCCCGGGTCGCAGCAATATATAAAATAGCCTGCTGGAACTTGCTGCCATACGTGCTGTGGTAGGTCGCAAGCACCCGCTCATTTTCACAGTTAAGATTTTTGTTGCGATACTCGTTGAGCGTATGATTTATTGGCTTCCTGTTGTATCTATCGATGTAGAATTCGATTTGCACCTTGATGAGCATTGGCGTGTCTGTGGTAACGAGATCAAGCAGACTAAAGCTGAATCCGACGTCGGTGACGTTGCTGGTTTGTTCGCCATTGGGCCAGTATCTGATCTGAGGTTGTTCCGGATTTGTCATATGCGCGTGGTATTCTTCGCATCAGCTGACCCAATATAATCTATGACGTGGTTTGTACGGAAACACTGCTGGTATCAGAATTCAAGCCATTCATAGGCGAGATCTGTAGAGGAGGCTGTGGGAGCTGCAGAAGGTGCATTGAGCATGTAAAAGGCGGCAAAGAGGTCTGGGTGCCAGATAGACGTCCATGTACGATGGACCACAACTCCGCCAAAGTCGTGTCCGCCGAGGATGCTGCGCGACAGACCAAGTTGGCTTGCAAATGTCGCTATATCGTCTGCGGCGCGCTTCCATGGACGATGTGAGCTCCTCAGATGTCGCATTCTCACAGGTTCAAGACACAGTCGGCTACTTGAAGCGTAGTGACTTAGTAGAACTTGACGTCCTCGGTCGTATCAATACCTACACATCCCATCTTGTCTAACGCCACAACACTGAGACCCTTGGAGAGGAGGAAGGGCATGCGGTTTGCCCACCCAAGACCCCAGGCCCAAGTCGGGCCATCCGTGGGCGGGGAAAATAGTACCAACAGATTTTGCGGGATATGGATCTGCACGAATATATCTGTATTGGATGCTATTGAGATCGACGGTCTTGGAATGGAGCCTACGGTCTAAGGTGCCAAGAACATCCATCCTGTAGGTTATGGGGCTTGGTCAGTTATTGACGAAATCAAAAATGGTGGTCAAGTTGGAGTTGGAATAGACAGTGTTAATGGAATGAAGGCTCCAGGAAGCACCGACAATCTTTATATATTCGTTCACATTTGATGTAGATTATCTCATTGTAAGCTTTTCACAATGGCGCGGTCGTTCTAGAGTCAGCCAGACCGGGTATTCGGTACGCTTAGTGAGTTTCTCGACTCGCCCGGCAAGGGTAGTACCCAAATTTGCCCGCAATCCCGAGAGCTCCTCACGAGTATCCGTCATCCGGAACCCCCTGCCAGACGGCTGGGAGGCATCGTAAACAGTAAAGTCAGTGGAACAAGTATATTGTCGATGCAACTCGCTCAGCGGGAACAAATCCAAAGCGACCACAGCAGCATAGAAACGGCCTTGTCCTTGAGTTTTCCCTCGCTGTAACAATCTGATTACTATCGACTCACATCTTTTTAAAATTGAAATACACCGACAGATTTATTACGGGAATATGCTTCGGCATAAACTAAGGTATGTGACGCTGTTAACACCCATGCTCAAGCCCATAGTGTCGTTTCCACTTATTCGCTGTCTAAGGAAGAGTGTAATTAGTATCAAATCGCCTCGAATTACCCCGAAGGATGTACTGGGAACAAGGTAGGGTACTAAATACTTGATATACCGCTGTCATCGCTCATACAAAGGTGGACCGCGACCCCCCGTGCCATTGAACTTGACAAATCAGCCATGGCTGAAGTACACCTTCATATTGCAAACACTCGACGACAACTGTTCGAGAAGAAATTCAAGGGCATTGATCAGAACTTATGTCCAAATGAACAAGATTGATGATCGTTTTACTTACGGATAGAGACCCCTCAAAGTACGGACCCGATATAGTAAGATGATACTCTTCGTCTTAGAAGGTGCCCTTAGGGAATAGATCTTTTGCAGAACCCACTTGAGCATAAAAATAATGACGTGAGGTTTTGATCGGGAGTGGGGTCATTCCTAGAGGTTCCGGACTTAGAACATAGTGGAAACTAGAGTGCAGTACTGGCGAGCTTGACGTGAATCTGAGTCAGGGTTCGTTTTTCCTAATAGCGAGTTAACACTCAGCCAACGGCAATCTTCGTATACTGTCTATCTAAAACTGCGGAAGTGTCCATAGTTCATGGGGAAGGTCACGCCGTAGCTAGCAAAGCAACTTCTGCGGTGGGCATTGTCTCCTTGTACTCTAGGCATATTTTACTCGATGAAATACTATTTTTATGAAACGACCATACGAGTTGATTTGAATAGGTACTATTTGGTCTTCAATTCAAGTTGAAAACCATCGACAGAGTCTAGGTATGAGAATCTATCATCTCATTCTCATCTCATATCAAAGTCTACAGTCAGCCCTTTAACAACTGGTATATACAACGGAGTAAAAGGCTGATATGAATTAATGAAGAATTATCATATGATGTCGAAATTGATCTCAATCGGCTTCTAAAGTATCTATAGCTGTCATTACACGTTAAAGGCGTCAAGTCCTTTCATTGCACGAATGATCCCGGCGGCCCGACCCCCCATCAACTACTTCCCATAAGCCCAGTCCTGCCTTTCCAAATCATCCCTGCTCTCCAGAGCAGTGGCTGCCTCTAGGGTATAGTTTGCCTCTTTAACGCATGTCGATGAACTGCTCCCAACCTCTCCGAGCTTGATAGGCTTTTGCGGAGAGTTGGCGGCGGAAGATGGCACGCTGGAAGCGTTTGACACATTAGATTTCATGTTTGGCGTCGAGGATTCGCCATGTGACTTCTTTCGATGTGAGCCGCTTCGCACGGTCGATTTGATAGTTGTGAAGACGATGGACATTTTCCTGAAAATAGGCTTTAATGCTGGAAGGCTGCCGCAGATGATGGCTAGGTTGAGCTCGACGGACGACCAGATTACTACGTCGACATTATCCCCTTGACATGGCAGTCAGCACCAGGGCCGCAACATTGGTCTCATGTCTATGGCTGCATGTACTTACAAGTAGAGTCAAACGTGTTGGCAAAGAACACCAAATATCTCAGTCGGATCATACTCGCAATGCATGCACTGCGTTGATGTGTCAGCATTCATCTATCTTCTTCAGCAATCGACATATCCGAGACTTACAAGGAGCCAAGAGCAAACATGAAGACCAGAGCCCATCTCTTCTTTTGCCCCAACTGGAGCTTCAAAAGCGCTGGGATGGGTATGATGATCAAAACAAGATCCTCGAGGATGCTGCAGGCGGCGCCTCCGTAGCTGATAGCGGAGACGTTGAGACACCGGCCCTGGATGGATCGATCCCAGATCGACTGGATTGGTAGACACTGAAACACGAGCAGAAGTAGAAACATGAAGCCGTGGGTGATGAGAAAGACCACGAAGAGCTTGACTGCTAGGAGGAACGATGGGTAGGTGAATATGCGGGAGTAGAAGCAGGCGATGGAGGCCTTGGCAAAAACTCTGACGAATCGTTAGCCGCGGTCGTCCCGTGTATAGAATCGCTGCTCATGAACGTACTGGATGAAGATGTATAGCATTTGCAGCACATAAAAAATCTGCAGAATGTTATGTCAGTAAGCTTCGCAGATATCGATTGCACGTCGTCTGATTACGGACCTGCAAAATCGTCTTGCCGTTTACGGGGTCGATATCCCAATAGTGAAGACCGAATCCCATTGTAGAATCTTACGAGCAATACAAGTTAGCACCAAATTCATAAGACTTTGGAACTGGCGAAAATGATAGGGCACATACTTGCGTAGCCGAGGCCAGACATGACTATCAGAAGTGCCTGCCATCGTCAGTCGATCAGTCCTGATAAGATGACATTGTCGTGTGTCTTACCAAGGCTATCAGTGCCGTCCAATCATCCCACCACAGTTGCTTGGTGACTTGTAACCGGGCTATACATCGGAGGGCTACGGTGATGGTCGTGATGATGGGTAGACCGATGGAAAAGACTTTTGCGGTTTGTCTTCGCTCTGGAATAGGATAGCCTTCACATAATTGCTGCGAGATGCGGGCAGTGACTTCAAAGTAAATGTTAGCGATAGTGGAGGTTACAAGAACAACGGTCTTTGGAAAAAAAAAACACACCAACTTGGTCGGCGAACTCGCACGCCTGTTGTACACATGCCGAAACGCCGGCTTGTAGAGGAATATTGGTGCACACACAGTCCGTCAAGGAGGCGTCGAGGGTGCAATTGCCAGTGTGAATTCCATCGATGAAGCATGGCATCTAAACAAAAAGCAGCGTCAGTTGGATCTATACCGCTACATGTAGGCTTGTCGTCGTGGTGAGGTAGCTCAGAGCATCCTGCGTGCCCGAGTATCACGGCCGAGATTGATGAGAATATCTTACCGCACAAGTAGGCGTCGTAGCGAGCAGCTTTGTGATCTCAGTTGCGCTCAAGCTGGAGCCAGTCGCCGCAGCCTGGGCCGCCGCGCCAACTAGCAGGAGTATTCTAACCCGCATGGTGTGCTTCATTCTCCAAAACGACGCGCCAGCATGCAGTGTGTGGTTGATCCCAATCGTTGCATGTGCATGGAGAAGACACAACGGCGAACAAAAAACCTCCCCCGTCAACAAGACCCGGCACACGCGGAGTGAGGGAAGCTTCTTCTATAAGAACTGGGCCTTTGAAGACACCAAGCCTGGATCGCCACTCAGCCGCCACCGCAAAACAATAGCCACCGAATGGACGAAAGCGGCAAACTCGGATTGGTCTCGATGTCGGGCAGTCGGGGACGCTTCCAGATCTCGTCACCAGCGTCTGGGCGACCGGACTTGCGGATTATGCATCCAGCCCAGTTGCTTTGGTGAGAGCGCCACGGGGCGTTTTCTGTGCACATCACCATGTGCGGCTATGGGGCTTCTTTCAAAACGACGAATAGGTAGACGGCAACGCCTGATGTCTTTCCTTTTTCCCCCTCCCGCTTGTGACCGCTTGTGAGAGTGAGATAACGAGGACCTCGCAACGGCGGCGGGCTGTTTGCGTGTCTGTCTGTCCCTTGTTATCGATTTAGTACGTGCATCACGCTACATTTCTTCTTCGAACCCCTATCACCTACCTAAACGTCATGAGCGGAAATATGGCAAATGTGCGTTTGGCCGAATGACCCTTCATGTGAGCCGCATCACTAACCCGTTTCTTTGGATCTCGACGGCTCTAATTAAGCCGGTGGGATCCTTCGCTGCATTGGGGTCGTTGCAAGTTGTGAGACTATTTACATGCTGTACCGCAATAGGCTTGGAGCGACGTCGGTTTTCTTTGGCAGCGGAAATGGAGCTAACCGGGTTCCGTAGCCAGGCTTTGGCAGGGGACAACAAGTAAGCAAGACAGGGCAGAATGAAAGGGGCTCGGGTTTCCAGCGAAGAGTGCGAGATTCAGCTGGGCGGGCAGTAGAGGCGGAACAAACAAAATATCAGCCCAGAGGTGGCATGATTCATGCCTCTGTGGGCTTCCTCCCACCTCGCTTGTTATTGAAGTCATGGAACGAACAATGCTAAGCGCAGAATTGCGAGAGTCGGCCGGTTCATCCAACACGTATGTCCCTGCGCGTACCTTGGGGATAGACACATGGGATAAGCATAAAGCAAAGAAAACCTTGGAAGTTTAAAAAAGTCGGAGCTTTGACAGCAACGCGTATAAACATTACCCCCGGACTAGTCCAGCCATGCAGATAGATATCTGGCCATGATTCCGTTCGATATTTAGACCAATGTCTCCCTCCAATGCCGAGCTACCCCCCGCATAACCATGTCCTTGTGCTTGGCGCTCCGAGATGCATCGGATAGCTTTCCCAAATCAAGACCTCCCGCAGCACAATCTCATTTAAAGCAGCCCCCCGCGGCAGTCATGCCAAGCTCACGCCCGCTGCGCAATGCAACGCTGTCCCCCCCTGGCGTCCTCCTCACCTTAATCGCCCTCCCGCTCGTGTTCCCACATGACCAGCATCATTCTCAGATTCTCTCCCGTGCGCATCCCAGGGGCAGCCTCCACGTCCTTCCCTAATCATCCTTTCGGTCGACGATGGTAGGCTGGGCGCCATCAGATGCGCGACTCTGGGTGGGAGGGTTGCCACGTAAAGCATCGCCTCCATTGATCACCGCCACATACTAGGAAAGAAGCAGGTCACATCCGCGATGGGGAGGCGACACGACGGACAGCGACATGTCTAATCAAACGGAAGGGGCGTTGCGACTTTTTCCACGTCGCCATCAGGCGCATCGCGTCGAGGAGGAGGACATGGAGGCTTCCTGGAGCAAGTTCTTAAGGGAGATATGCGCCTCGGCAGGCAGAGACCTTTTCGCGACGGGCGTTTCTTTTTGAGTTGCTTGGTGCTGCGACCTCCCCAAAATCACCAGTTCTAGAGGCTTTCCCCTCCGAGATGCATTGGTGTCTGCGGGTCACAAAGGTGCTGCTCGGCTACATCGTGGCCACGGCCTCTGCCGTGTGAGTTTGACCTAGCCCGACCCTTGAGAAGCGAGTTACGCAACGGATAAACGCGGTTGACTGACGTGGATACGACAATGATAGCCCGAGCCAGAACTTTGTCCCACGGCAATCTACCGACATCCTCGCGTCCTATGAGTACGTCGTTGTCGGTTCCGGGCCGGGTGGTGGCCCACTTGCTGCCCGGCTCGCCCTCGCCGGGAAGAGGGTCCTGCTCATCGACGCCGGCGACGACCAGGGAGATTCCGTTCCGTACAAGGTACCCGCGCTGAACCTTCAGTCGACAGAGTATGGCCCGATGAGATGGGACTACTACGTCCAGCACTTTGCCGATCTCGAGGCGCAGAAGAAGGACTCCAAGATGACATATCGGCTCGCAAACGGGGAGCTCTACGTCGGACTCAAGCCGCCCGCTGGCGCTGAACCACTCGGCATCTTGTATCCCAGAGCTGGTACGCTTGGTGGCTGCGGCAGTCACAACGCGTTGATCACAGTCTACCCGCACAGGTCAGACTGGGACGGCATCGCGAGCTTGACCGGGGACACCACCTGGGCGGCCTCCAATATGCGCAAGTATTTCCAGCGTCTAGAAAACGCAGAGTATTTGCCCAACGGCATAGTCGGCCATGGATTCGACGGCTGGCTCACCACCTCTGTGACGGATCTGGGACTCGTCGTCAAGGACGTCAAGCTGCTGACGGTCATCCTGTCCGCCGCGTCCGCCATGGGCAAGAGTCTCCTCGGTTTGATCTTGTCGACGATCCAGGGCCTCGGCGAGGTTCTCCTGCGTGATCTCAACGTCGACCTGCCCGGCCGCGACTCGGCCGAGGGCCTCTACCAGGTCCCCATCGCCGTCGACAGCGGCGTGCGCGTGGGTCCGCGGGAGTTCGTCCTGGACACGGCCAACGCGAAGAACGCGGACGGTTCTAGGAAGTACCACCTCGACATCAAGCTCAACACCCTCGTGACCAAGGTGCGCTTCGACCAGAGCGGCGCGAAGCCTCGGGCGGTGGGAGTAGACTTTGTCGCGGGACAGAGCCTCTACCGCGCGGACCCCCGATCCGGCGAGGCCGGCGAGGGCGTCGCCGGATCCGTAAACGCCACGGCCGAAGTCATCTTGTCAGCCGGCGCTTTCAATACCCCACAGCTGCTCAAGCTCAGTGGCGTTGGCCCCAAGGAGGAGCTATCCTCTTTCGGTATTCCCTCCATTGTCGATCTGCCTGGCGTCGGCACCAACCTACAAGACCGTGAGTATTTTTTTTCTTCTTTTTTCTTCTCCCGCGACTTACTGCTGGGAGAGAAAATCAATCCGTGTACAGCGGTTTTGACTGATCATCGCACAACAGGCTACGAGACGTCCGTTATTGGCGAAACGCCGACAGACTTTCAAATCACCGAAGGCTGCACCTTTATCCGTCCTGGCACAGACGATCCCTGCTTGAAGAAGTGGGAGGAGGGCACCGCGACCGGGCAGCGGGGGATTTATGGCTCCAACGGCATCAGCCTCGGTATCGTCAAGAAGTCGACAGTAGCAGAGGGAGACCCGGACCTCTTTATCGCGGGCGCACCGGTCGCCTTCCCCGGCTACTATCCCGGCTACGCCGCCCAAGGCACTGCGGACCAGAGACACTGGACGTGGATCACCCTGAAAGCCCACAGCCGCAACCGGGCCGGAACCGTCACGCTGCGTTCAGCCGACCCGCGGGACGTGCCCCAGATTGACTTCCATTCGTTCCAGGACGAGGCCGATGGCGCCCGGGACATCCAGGCCGTGGTGGAGGGCATGAAGCTCTCGCGCAAAATGTTGGAGAGCGTCGTGCCCCTTACGGGAGGCTTCACCGAGGTCTGGCCCGGGAAGAACGTCACCGATGCGGACTTGCCCGCGTTCGTCAGGAATGAAGCCTGGGGCCACCATGCCAGCTGTACGTGCCCCATTGGAAAGGACGGCGATGCGACGGCTGTCTTGGATGCAAAGTTTACGGTGAGAGGGACCGAGGGTCTGCGGGTGGTTGACGCGAGCGTGTTCCCCACGATACCTGGGTATTACATCGCGTCGGCGGTGTATATGATTAGCGAGAAGGCGGCCGATGTAATTCTTGGGGTATAGATATGTACTCTCTATGTCTGTTTTCCATCTACGGTTACGGCTACACCAGGCGGGCGAGAAAAGTGCGCCGTGGGATTTTGAAGTGTGACCAAGAAGCTGGGTCTCTGACGTTCCCGTAATTACGCACCTGCTGCATACTAAACAACGTTAAAATTGATGAATCTACTACACTACTGCCTGAAATTGAGTTCAATCTGCTGGCTCTGCGACGTTAGTGAAAGCAACGCTAGCTGAAGGCCATAGCTGAGTTGAGCAGGGGATCGAAATATGGGCGATGCTGAAAAGAGGCGGCAGATATCCGTACAAGCCGCAACGTCTGTACTCTGTACAGGCATTTCAGGAGACAGACCCTGTAGGAAAAGTCAATGCAGAATGGTTGCTGCCGAGCGCGAGGCGTCTCCTGAAGGCGCCTGTCTCACTCCTTATATCACACGAGCTGATCAGTGGATCCGTCAAAGTCCATCACTTTGCGGAAAACTACCGCTGTTCCTAGACTCGGCACAAGACGGGGTGTACACTGAGGAGAAGCCAGAAAAATCGTTTTTATTTCCCTTCCCGTGGACATCGGGGGAGAAACAGGAAGAGAGCGGCGCCAGGAGGTGATACTCAAGGGATCGAGGTTCTTCAATGCGCATCTCCCGAGCGATAGCCTACTGGAACACGGGGATAAGCCATGGCGAGGCGCAGAGCCGTAGTGCTACGCTATGAGAGGCTGGCTGTAGCACGAAACCAGGGGAATCTTTCAGATGGCAGAAGCAAGAAGAAGAGGAAAAAAAGGGGGCAGGGACCATTCCACGTGGTTTTTTGATGGAAGTTGCCAGGCTTGCCAACCCAGGATCAGTAGCGGCAGCGAGATTGCAAATGTTCAGCCGTCTGCCAGCATAACCTCCCGAGCGCGAACATGTTGCATGCGTTGGTGTGCTAACGGGGAACCATGCCGGCATAGGTTGGGTGGAAGTATGTCGGCAGTTGTGATTTAGGACAAACCGCGATAGAAAAAGTCCCTTGAAAGTTGGCAAGTTATTATTCTACAGGCAGTAAGTACGTTGGGAGTAGCGGCAAAATAGAAATTATGCAAAGCTGCGTTGAGACGGACGCTTGCGAGCAACACCACACGCTCCTCCTACTCCTCTACCCTCTTGCTTTGCGCCGCCTGGATGGAAGCAGCCATGGCGAACCGAGGTAGGTGTTGGTTTGGTCGCGTAGACCCGGCCCGGCCAAAGTCTAATACTGCCGCTATTTGATCTGGCAAAGTGACAGTTGACCTAGTCGGCCAGTCAAAGGCCGGCGGCAGAGTGATGGCAAAGAGTAGGGGCAAAGAGTACACTACATGTAGGTAGACCAGACGACGGACGTGGGCAGGGGGGGGGGGGGGGGGGGGGCGGGGGTGGGGGGGGGGGGGGAGGAGACAGGAGGGGAGAGGGAGGGGGGGGGGGGGGGGGGGGGGGGGGGGGGGGGGGGGGGGGGGGGGGGGGGGGGGATGGTCGCGAGGAGATTTCGAGGAGATTTCGGCTTCCTCTGGCGTTGGCGTTGGAAAATCCGTTGGTGTGGTACCCCGACAGCATCGACATGCCGATAGGACTCAAAGAGGCGTTCGGGGAATCCTTCTAGGAAGCAAGCGAGTCTTTTCTGTGGCTTTTTGTGTCCGCTTGGCTTTGCCTTTGATCTTGCCTCTTGTTGGGGGTGCCTTTTGCAAAATACTCGTAACTCGCGGTGCCATTCCACCCCCTCCTTTTACCTCGTCCTCGAAGCTGGCAGCTGGGCCGAGTCCCCCAGCTCAGCTCTCGAATCTGGTGGAAATGCAAATTGCCAATGCAATTTGGACGTAGCTAGCCGTTTGGCTGTCGAGGGGTCCCGACTCCCGGCACAGCCAGAGTGCTCCAGGCCATGCATCCACCACCACCACATCAGGTCTCTCTTAGTCTCCAATACGTTGGTATCCGTACGGCGTCCGTACCGTGTTTTTTCTAGATGAATCTTCGTCTTAGCAACCCACCCTAGCCAGTAAGCCCGAAATGAGGACGCGACGCGGACCTGGCCTGGCCAAGGTGTGGTGTGGAGAACGTCTTACCCATTTAGAATTCTCTGGCGAACAGTGGCACGGCAGATTGAGAAGTCTGGACGACACGAGCGTCTGTGCAAAGAAGAACGATCAAATGTCTCGGGGGCTCATGTCTTGGAAGTTAGGCGGCCGGCATCCCCCCTCCCGCTGCGGCGTCGCTCTCCTCCTCATAATAGTCATCACATAGTTAAGGTAGACTACCTACCACACACCATCACGACGACAACCACCACCACCACCATCTCCAACGTAGTGCCTCGGGGGAGACAGGGACTCCCGCCCAGCCAGTGTGGACCGCAGATTCTCATCGCGGCGATCAAGACGCACGGTTAACCTTCCCCCTCCCAGTTCGCAAGCACGTCCCGTGCCCATTGGAACGGGGCACAAACAGCTTATTCCCCGCGACCCAGGGTCGCAGGCGCGCGATAATCCTTCCTGGGCTTTGCGATTGTTGTCTTGTCGTCCTCTTTGCCTGCCTGCTTGCAATCACTATGACCCCCTGGCCCCAAAACCCTGGCAACGAACCAAGGCACGCAGCTTCAGCTAATCCAGCCAAAAGCCAAAGCACGCAGGGTTTGATGGACAACGGTGTACCATTGCACTCGTTCGGGAAGCACGCTACACATGGGTGACACGGTGATTTGATGGGCTTTGCACCCTTTCTGGCTCCCCTTGCCCAGGGCATCACGAACGTCCGGTCCCGCAGTTCGCTGATCAATCCAAACGACACTGGACTGAAGCTGGTCTAGGCCGCCGTAAACTAATTTGATTCCGATAGCAGACGCGCAGGAAAAAAGTCATGTACCGAGGATGAACAGACCTCCTTTCGTCCCTCTTGGAGACTTTGACACACCCATGGCTCCGCACCGCTTCATGGGCGGTCTCGAGTCAAGCAACACCCACCAGTGACCACCACCACACCCCCCGGCAAAACGTCACATTGGGAGCGGCAAGCACAGATGGCAGATATCCGTATCTCAAATGCGCACTTGCCGAATGCAAGATTTACTGCCGATATTCTAGAGATTTGCAATGGGCATGACGTCCCAGGCATCCCCCTACACTGCCGAATCCAATGACTTATCTGCGCCCCCCTCCTCTCCAATCCATCAGCAACAAAGGACAATAGCAAGATGGGGGCTTGATCGGCAACGACCGAACCGGTTCGTGGAGTTCGGTTCGCTTGCTTCCCCGGAAAGCCTTTTCTTGCAAAATGGATCGGTCACAACTCACAAAGCAGCCTCCCAAGGCTCTCCCGCCTCGAGGCGGGAGATTTGAGAAGAAGAAAAACTCTGCTAGATCTGTTTGCCGGGTGGGGAGCAGAGGGCAGGAGGGGGGGGGGGCCAGGAGAAGAGGGGTGGGAAACACAGAGAGACACAGAAACACTGTGTGTGAGGCATCGGAATGTCAGCCAGGACTCTTCCTCACGTGGCGAGACCGTTCTCAGCTCCCCACGCCACCAGCGCTAAGACGAACATGGGTTGGAAGCGGACACTGTATCTCAGAGCGACCTGGGCGTGGGTGTGGGAGTGAGGGTGTAAGCCTCACTCTATTTTCTCCCGAGTAGACACACTGGCATGCTCGCTTTTCTCTTCTTTTCTCATCTCGTAATCGTCTCCGTCTTTCGTCTGGTCCCAAGAAAGAAAAAAAGATTATTCCTTTTCTCCTGAAGATTTCGGGCCAGGGGGGGTCTAACGCTGACCCGGTGCCAGCTAGTGGTGGCATATGTCAGTCTCTTGTCTTGAATGGCCCGGCCGCACTGGCTTTCCTGTCTGATTTCCGGCCCTTTATGTCAAAGCGGACGGCCTAGCGCAGGTCGTCTCTGGGGTTAACTGCTCTAGCGTTGACTTGGTGCTTGGAACCTCCCTTGTACCTGGCACTACGGCATCTTCATCGTCCAATGTAGACGCCGTGTTTGTCTCTCTTGGGTACAATCACGATTCAGGCTCCGAGCTGGGACAATGCCTGCTTCTCCCAATAAACCCCATTTTGGCGTGGTCGGTGGCTTGCCGCTTGATTCTTGTCTCTATTCATGGCCGTAGACTAGGCCTCGACCTGTCCGAGAGCTCTTTGGAGGAGGGGAGAAACTCGGCTGGACAAGCAATCACCTAGGTGAGGTTCAGCTTTGCCCACCGTACCGGGAAGAACAGATAAACAGCTGAGCTCCCACGTTGGTTGCTCCATGAGCGGAGAGAAAGAGAGAGACCTGTTTCTGCATCATCTTCCCGCCTTTATTAGCAGCATTGACCATATCGCGTCGTGTGCAGGTCAAATACAAGGCTACCCTCGATAATATATCCCAGAGCCTCTCAGTTCCAACACCACGGCCTGATAACAACCTCATGTCTTTACAGCCGAACGCGGCACAAAGACGAGGCACTATGACCGCTGCCATGTATGGCAAGCCAAAGCCCAAGGAGTCCGTCCTGGACCTATGCACGAGGGCGACGCTCCTCGGAAACAACATCTCGGTGCGCATGCTCGAGTTCCTCACCAATGTCAAGCACCAACCGCACGGCTTCCGGGAGCTCGCCAATGACTTCCTCGACATTTGCCGGATACTGTGGTCCATCGAGGCCGGCCTCGCTGAGGCGGCTCGCACCCACCAGGAGTTCCCCGCCGACATGATCAAGGAGCTCGACATGAAGTTCCGTTCGACCAACTCCGACTTCCAGGTTCTCGACCACATGATGTTTGAGTTCCTCGAGTACGAGAAGAAGGGTGCCATGGGCAGGATCCAGCGTGGCTGGCGCATGATGTTTGCCGACAAGGAGATCCTGAGGATGAGGGAGTCGATACGCAAGGCAAGAGATGCGCTGAGGATGAGTGCCCTCGTTTTCCAGTGGTCTCTCGGAAACTCAAAGACGGATGACGCTGTTGGGAACGGCTATGCTGGCCTCGCCGCCGCGTTGGACCGCATCAGCAACCACAAATCTACGGTGCGGATATCCAAGTCCAAGTCGTTCGAAATCCAGTCGACGACACCACCAGATCGCTCAGACGAGAGATCCCCTCCCCTCCCTCCCCTTCCCGCTCTCCCATCCCAAGCCCCCCACATTCCCCCTCCTTCTTTGGTAGAAAAGATGTCGGCAGACTTCGTTCTTCAGGAGGTGAGGCTATCACCAGACCCACGTCGTCGCACGTCCATCTCCAACAGGAGTCATCACAGCTCCTCAGAGAACGGACATTCTACCAGAATCCCCGACCGCAGAATCGGCCGCGACGATATCACCATCTCAGAGCACGGTCATTACGACGTCCACCCTGTCAGCACAAGAATCAACATGGAGAGGAGATCAGCACGGGACGATGTGACCATTTCGGACCGTGGCATGTCAGACCGTGGCATGTCGGATCGCGATACGTACGACGCTCCCAGTCGCATCTCAGACAGGAGGAACCTGCGTGACTCAGACAACACCATGTCGCCGTCGTCATCAGGTACAGACACACTCATCGGCGAGCTCCAGAGCATCGCCGACAGCATTCCAACCAAGGTCGTTCGCTTAAAGGCCGATCCCATGACGATGCCTCGCTGGACACCGCGCCACAACGCTGACGGCAACCCATCGCTCAAGACCTCCCTCATTGCTGCTGTGCAGGGCAAGAACCACAAGCTCGTCGAGCAGCTCCTGGACCGCGGAGTCTCACCCGACACCGGCCCAGACCAGCACGTCCTGGTTGACGCGGTATTGTGCCAAGATCATGAGGCAGTCCGCCTGCTTCTTCTATTTGGTGCCGATCCCAACTCTGCCGACAAGGATGGCATCACTCCTCTCTTTGCAGCTGTAGAGATGAACTCTCTCGACATCACCAAGATGCTTCTCAAGTACGGCGGGGACCCCAACCTGTCCGCCGGGCCTTCACAAGAGTCCCCTCTTGCCATCGCCGTTATCGATGTCAAGACCGACTTTGTTCACATCCTCCTCACTTATGGCGGTGACCCCAATCACATCATGGCCAATGGCAACACTGTCCTGATCGCTTCCATGAACAAGACGACACCAAAGAAGTTGGTCGACCTTATGCTCGACTATGGCTCCGATCCCAATGTCAAGAACAGAGAAGGCAAGACTGCGCTGTTCGAGACAATCATGGCTGCGAGAGTAGATCTCCTCACTGCTCTCCTGGACCATGGCGCCAACCCCAACCTTCCCGGTCCCAAGCACATGCTTTGGCCCGCCACCTACCAGGCGCCTTGCTTAAAGGTCCTCCTGGCCCGCGGCGCCGACAGCAAGAGGGCCCCCGGTAACATGGAACTCGCAGTCAGCATCAATAACATCGAGTCCGTCCGCGTCCTGCTTTCTGCCGGCGTCTCGCCCAACACCAAGAAGGACGGCATCTACACACCCTTGTGCACCTCCATCCGCGATAACCGCGCAGACATCTTTGAACTCCTCCTCACCAGCGGCGCCGACCCCAACCTCAACTCCGCCGAGTACCCCGCGTTCAAGTGCGTCACGCACTTCCGCACACACTTCCTCCCTCGCCTGGTCGCCGCCGGCAACGACCTGCACAACCCCAAGGGCATCATCGAGATGGCCGTCAAGGTCAACAACATGGAGGCCCTCAACTGGCTTCTCGACCAGGGCGTCAGCCCCAACGACAAGGGCGACGACGGCAACACCCCTCTGACGACAGCCATCAAGGAGGGCCGCATGGAGATGCTCGACGAGCTGCTCACGCACGGCGCGGACCCCAACGTCCGCGGCAGCGACTGGCCCATTGTCATGTCCGTCATGCACCCCGAGGTCCTCGAGAAGCTCCTCCCCGCCGTCCCCGACATCCGCTCCTTCAAGGGCCTGATGGAGCGCGCCGTCGTCGCCAACCAGCTCGAGAGCGTCAAGCTCCTCCTCAAGGCCGGCGTGTCCGTCGAGGACAAGAACGGCGGCGTCTTTTCGCCGCTGACCTCGGCCATCCGCGAGGACAATAAGGAGATCACCCGGTTCCTCATCGAGGAAGGAGGCGCCGACATCAACGCGCCCGGCGAGCACTTGCCCATCGTCAAGGCGGTCCGTCGGTGCCGCGGCGACGACACGGACATTATCGAGATGCTGCTCCGCAAGGGCGCCGACGTGAACAAGATTTACCGCGGGTGGAACGCCATCTTCCAGGCGGTTGAGAATGGCGACGCCAAGGTCCTCAAGCTTCTCGTCGAGGCTGGCGGCGTCGACCTTGATGCCAAGGACGATGCTGGCCGCACCGTCATGGAGATTGCCGCCGGTCGCGGTTGGGAAGAGTCGGTTGGTATCATCCTCTGGGATGGTAAGAACAAGGCGTGATTCCCCCTTGACCTACCGACCCTTTTCACGCTTTCAATTTTTTTTCCCTCTCTCTCTCTCACGTGTAATTGACTCAATGCCGAGAAATGGCGAAAAAATTTAATTTCTTTTTGTTCATGTCCATGTACGAGATACGGAGGGATGGGGTGGGGGTAACTGAAGTTTTTGTCATGGAACATGGCGGGGCTTTCTGATATCAGATTGATTTGTTCTTCTAATGCGCCTCGATATCATCTTGTCTTTGTTCACTTCTATACCTCACTGCTTAGACTCTAGATATTTCAATACCTGATTACCCAATTGAATTTCATTACCAATTTACTCGACTGTTGTGTACATGTCATTGGTGCATAAGACGCGCGCAACCTCTGAACTTGGACTTGTGAAATAGATGGTGGAAAACGGCCAAGCCCTGGTTCAATTCTTTATTAATTCGGTTATGAAACCATTCTTCCACGAATTTTGTGCATCCAGTGCCAATCTTGAATGAAGAGAGTCAAATCGTTTCACGCACTGGCAACCAAACAGCATCAGTCAAAGCCAAAAAGCAAGCGATTTGCCTCATGCCTGAATCGAACAGGCGATCTTCTCATTACTAGTGAGACGCTATACCACTTAGCCAATGAGGCCGATTGCGATGCGTCGCTTGTGTACTTGCTGACGGCGAGGGGCCAACGGCAGATTCATTTCTCGAGATTGTTCGTGTTGTGGGTTGGGAAGGGCGGGTGCGTTCGTCCCACCAGCCCACTCGGTTCGCGATGGAGACACTTGAGGGGAGCAAGGGTTCGACTTCGCGGTAGGCCCCCCACAGAGCAGGAGCGGTCTTTCGCGTGGAACCCTTTGATCTCGAACGTAGAAAGCTTTTGATATGACGTGAGCGAAGTGTTGAGCTTGCCTGGACGTTGTAGTATTGCGTAAATCCAACGAGTTCCAGGACATCATCATCAACCCCAAGTATTGTGGCTTCTGCATGTGTGCATCAATAGCTTCCTTGCTTGTTGCACATATTTAGAAACTGTGGATCATGGTGGCTGATCTGAGAGATGTTCTTTCGTATATTACTCTATTTCAGTCTAATAAGGTACGCATAGTCTATGGTTGGAAAAAAGGAACGTCGTGTGTGTAATAATCGGTTGGCTTACGCCGCAAAAGGAAACGAAGTTTGGAATTGCATGTCTCGGTCGAGACGGAGACGGCAAACATGATTGCAATCCTCGGAACATCCAAGTTGATGAAATGCATGTAGCTCTTGAGGAAGAAAACTTGCTTGGCGGCTACAGCCCTTTCGACGCCATTCGATGATGTAAGATGAGTCAAAACTTTCAAAAATTAGAACAGACGTCAATATTTTCATGATCACCAGGTACTTACGTCTCTAGCTTGAAAAGCCATCACACCATGTAGCACGTCTAAGCGGCGATTCAAGACCTGGAGGCAGCGGTCTTGGGACGTTGGCATTTTGCGCAGGTCGAAGCCGTCGATGGTGACGAGCTTGCAGGACACTGGCACATCTTGGAGGGATCTGACAGCGCAGTGATGCCTGTGGCCGGAACGATTGGACCAGGCATGTTGACTTGTGCGTTTGTAAACGGTGGTCTGGTTCGGAAAGAAAAATATTGTAAACAAGAATGGAAAGTCTTGACGTAGTGATGTTATGAATGAGTCGTGCTGCTTGATGCTCGTTGAGATCTAGGTGAAAGAGCAATCGCCTTTGCATATATATATATATACAATCATTTATAAGTAGATTGCCTTAAACTCCAGTCGTTACATGAGCGTTGCAATATGGCCAGCCACACGCTGTCAAAACAGAGCATGGCAGAGCTGACAAACAGGTTTTGTTTCGTGGACCGAACATGAAGACATGAGACTACGCTTTTAGGAAATAATAGAGAGTCAAAGGGATCCTTAGCCCTACAAGGCATGCTACACCAACACATGATGTATCCACAGCCTCGGTTTGAGCAATCCTTTTCCCTTGGACCCGGGTGGCTGGTATAGGCAGTCATCAATTCAGGTCGTACAAACTCATCCATGTGAAGGGTTGACGAAGGTTTAGAAAAGGGCCCAGTCGTGGCCATTAGCCGAGAGGCAGCAAGATTGGCTAGCATAGTATGGCTGGAGATAGGATAATGTAGGATCTCAGACCAGTCGGGCCGTTTGAACACGGTCGGTTGTCGAGGCTAGCCTCTAAGCTCGGCACATTGTTAGGAGATACTGAGTATTCATCGTTATTGTAAAGGCACATGAAAGCTCGCCAACAGCGAATCATAAGGACGAGCAGGCAAAACTCTGCTCCAGGAATGTGCCGCAAAAGTGGATGACTCTCATCCCTAAATCTTAGTTCAGCTTTAGTTGGCTCTTCTATCATATTGAAATCGACAATGCACCCCCTCTCCGCGGCCCGCGTTGTATTGCTAAGCTCACGAAGTTTCAATCTTGAGTGTTGATTACCCTTTTGGGAAAATCTACGTTGACTCGTTGAGCCGCAGGCTTAGGGCCAAGAGAAAAGAGGCAGTTTCCCGAACAGGAAACTGTACGTCGCTAAGCACAGCCAAGCCGCGATTGCGCATTGTGATTCGTTACTTGGGGGGGCGGCGTACTTGAGGAGGCTGATTTAAGCGTCTTACTCATTCTCCAAAGAGTCGGGCATGGGGGCGAAAAACGAATCAGTCTGACAGATTACGGCTCTACGGGCCAGGCACCAGGTCTCATGTCGTTTTACAGACTTGCCTTTCGGCTGACACGCGTAGGGCTGAGCTGAGATTTTATCACGAGGCAGATTGCATGGCAAAGATCGATCATGCACGATGAATTTCCTAATGGGATAGAGAGATGTTGGCGGTACCGATGGCAAGACGCTACTGTTTCCGAGACTACCGACAGGCAGGCAACTCGGCCGAGGGGCGGGAGAAGAGGGTGGGGGAAAGGGGAGGGAATATCGTCTGAGACACCGTCGCTGCCATCAATGCTATCGTAACTCTTGGAAGTACCGGGTGACCAGGATTGTTCATGTTCTTGCTTTCCGTTCTGAATTTATCTGCCCTAATTCCAAGTTGCGAGAGACAGAAAATAAGGAAGGGTTGCGGGACCTTTGCAGACATTTTTTTCGACGGCGCCTCTCCATCAATATTTGCATTTTTAAGGAGTAGAATCGTTCTGGACTCATCCAGTCACAAGATAAACATATGAATGAAAGCCTCGAGTCTCTGAGTCTGTAAGCCACCTCCGCAGGCCCACAAATCGCTACACGACTAAGCATGGCGGGCTGAGACATTTCTGTAAAGGACTTTTTCTTCGTATCCTGGCCATTAATGATTCACTCTCACTGCACTGCGATCACCAGGTCCGTTTCCGTGCGGCAGAATAACGTGGGAGCCTGGGATTTGCGCCTAAGGCAGTACAACTTGAAAGATAGTGAGCGAACCCCTCATTTAGGCCGGCCAATTCCAACCTCGGTCACCGTCACCGCATCGGAGCCATCAGCATCCTACTCACTGAAATCAGTGCACATTCGATACCTAGCCCACGTTGCTCACCTGGTCCCACGCATATTACTTTTTTTCCCCCACAGACTTGTGTGTTATCTTTATAGCAAACTTCTAGCGAAAGTTCGAGGCTACTCCAGGGGACATTCGCACCGCCTTGTTTCTCAGACAGGCATCTCGTCCGTTGAACCAGCCCCCAATAGGTGTTATCTCTACCACCGGAAGTTAGGCAGCGCCTAGATACGAATTATTTGCAAATGAAGTTGTATATTTCTTCAGTGGCTGCTTTAATCCGAAAACCTGATAGCGTAGGTGGGCTCAGGGTGAGCAGGGTGAGAGTGGGACTTAAGGAGTTTCTTTCGGCCTAGTATAAAGGCAAACGACGGTGAATCTAGAAAGCCGTTCTACTCAGTACGTGAAGGTGAAACTTTGAATCACTGGATTAATTTGTGATAATTAACAAGTAATATTAAGCCTGTCTATGCCTATACCAACTCGATTCAGCTTCTCTTTGCATCTGTACTAAAGATACTGGATGGACCACCTCCAAGGGTAAGTCTAGGAGCTCGATGGCATGAGCATGAGAGTCGATGCTTGTTAAAATGAGGGGTTCTGGGATGACTTGAAGGTCATGCTTAGTATTCTTATCCGCAACCCTCTGCCAATTGCGTATTACACCAGGTTTCAGCTTTAAATCCCATGTTCCACGCCACCCAATACAAGCATAAGTGGACCTTACGTGATAGAAAATCTTGAAAGCTTCGCCCTTGCGACCATTCCATATTACCATTGTATGTAAATGTGGTATTAAAAGTGCACTTATAGCAGCACTTCTCATGAGCTTGTTTATTTCGAGATTTTCTGTTTGGGTAAGTATCCTTGATGTAAGAGTGAGGGATCTCATGTGGCTCCAAACCCAGTCTTGCTGGCATGAACGAAAGAAGTCCAAAGCATCAATCATGAATGTAACGGAGAGCTGCTCGAGACCAAGACTCCTTTTTGCGAAGGCAGCACTGACCGTAGGTGATGTGATCCGGATTATGCCAGGCTTAGTGATTTGTAACCCGCCTCGAAGCAACGTAATATACTCTTCGTTGGTCTCTTCAAATACTGATATTTGCTGGAGTGTTTGTGGTAAATGAGATTCGATAAGGTTGAAGTATTCTGTGGCGCAAGTAGTCAGTAGATATAATGGACAGGTATAATTATTTTATCTTACCGTGATCCCAAATAAAATCTTGTGCCAACTTATCCCAGCTTTGCCATGGCTCATAGATTAATGACTGTAATCGAGGAAGTTTATCGAAAAGAGATCCCATCACTCGAGGTTCAATCTTTCTTCGACATTGTCGACGAAGTACAAATTGTGTCACCGCTTTAACTTGAGGGAGGTCTTCCTTGAATTTGAAATAGAGAGGCTCGAAGATTCGTAATAAAGCCATTGCTTTAGGGGCATCGACCTGACGTCCATTCACCCAGCCATGCTGAGAGTCGTGAAACGAATGCTTTGAGTCGAGGTTATGTGATTGATGACCAGACCGGTCGAATTCCAAATCAGCATCCTCGCCACCACCTCCAAAATAGAGGTTCTTAAAACAATGCTCCCTATCACTAGGAGATTGGATGCTGAGCTCCAGTGTCAGCTTTGCTCCTTCTACCACTGGCCATCGAGACAAGATCCAAAAAAGCTTCGCGATTCCTTCTCTAACCACTTTATTATTTCCGCAAATCCATGAATAACTTTCAGTGTTCTGACAACTTCGACATGTATATGACTTTAGCTCGATATTCAGCCAGATATGTCTGACAAGCTGTGCTTGTTTTACACCAATCATAGCTTCCATATCAGCTAAGCATGGTACTTGTAACTTCAGCTGGCGAAAGCTTTCTTTCTCTAGTATAGCTTGCCACTCCTTACAAACAGAAGCGCAGGCGCCCCAACCAGAAGTTTGTCTCATAATGATTTCAAGTATCATATACCGTAGTTCCCATGGCAGAGAACCCCACGTTGGTGCATATGTCGGTGCGGTGTTATGGGGCTTAGAGCCCGACATTGGAGCCGGCTGCATCAGCACGGTCATTAGGGTGTCAAGAAGGAACTGAAGGTTGAGCGGTTAGGCAATCAAAACATCGACTGAGCGAAGTCTGGAAAGGGGAAATACCTCAGGAGATAAACCTGGCGTAGATGATAAATGAATGTGTTGTATAATTTGACTTCTTCATTTGTTTCGTTAAAGTTACGTCTGAAGGTGTGATGCTGGACGATTGAGGGATCCAAAACGGCGGCCAAAAGCGTCAGGGGTATTCATTCATATACGAGAAAATTTCCATCTGACCAGCAGGGTAAAGACCATAATGGTGTTCCCCCCCCCCTCCCCCCCCCAATTCCTGAAACAAACAGAACTTTCAAAAAAACCGTAAACCTTAGGCTTCGCGATAGTTCCTGCAAATGCTTAATTGCTGAAAATATATTCAATCTGAAGGCATCCTACATGACGATGAAACTGTGGCTAACGAAACGGCCGCCGGGGACACATCACATCTCTGAGACGCTTAAAGCAATTCTACAGAGCCTTTCCACCTTTCTAGGAACCAGAACCAAACACATTGTCACTGCTATACCTGCAGTCAGAATCCCAACTATACGTCTCTTACTCTTGACCATCCACCTCTGATACAGGGCCGGGGCAGAGGGCCGGGCGGCGTGGCTTTGAGAGCTTGATAACGGGTGTTGGATGTCCCTCAGGTTAGCTACACATCCGGCTTCTAAATGCACGCCGAAGTTCCGAAGCCGGTGACCCCAGACACTAAGAAGATTGTGGACAAGAACGATAAGAGCAGACTTTTGGCAAAGACTCGCCGTGTATATTAGGCCAGAATATTTCCAAGGCTGGGGAGTTGTCCCTGGGGAGCTCGCGGGTGACTCTGCTATTGGGGTGCTTAATTTGTAGTGAATGACAATCCAACAGGGCAATGGCCAACGAATCCACGATGGTTGTGTTGGGGAGCTCGCAAGACGTAATCCTTCTTAGTGATAAGCCGCTCTGTGATGGATATATGCAAATCCCCGATAGTCTAGTGGTGAGGATATCTGCTTGTCATTGAATTTCAGCGATTCGCAGGGGACCGGGGTTCAATTCCCCGTCGAGGAGTTTCATTTTTCGACTCCACGTGGTCGATCAAGCCTTTTGTCCTTTTCGTACTCCAGGTTGCTGTGCTTTAATTGTGTCTGATGGCATAGATCCATGGAATATGTTTGATCGGGGCTGTAATTGATTAAACTTCAAGTACTGACTAAGGTATGTAGATCAACAGTTACCTACCCCACTCCCGTGCAATTCTTATACAAGAAGTTACTAACACAACCCTTTTAATGCTAGTATTAATCCTCCGCCGTTCAAAATTGTTACGCAGCTGGGCTTGGGTAAATCTTCTTCCGCATCTCTCGCCTCCTCCTTCAAGCCCTGTTCCAAAGTAGCGTCTCCAAAAGCCATGAACCAATTTAGTACTGAATGCTGAATACATTCTTGGCAGTGAATCCAATACTTTGGTCCCTGTTTCCTCTCAATCTTGAGTGCATTGGCGACCCCCTTGGACTTGATGCCAGCGCCGGTCTCGTTGAGCGGGCGCGTCATTGCAAGTACGCTTGCGTCGGGGTTCATCTCCATGGCGGCGTCTACGATACCGGGATCTACTCCGTGCGGGCTGTACAGAATGACCTCGTTCTTATCATTTGAAACTGCACTCTTGATGACGATTGCACGGTATAGATGCGGATACTTCTTGGTCTCGTCCTGAAGCCGGAAGACGGACAGCCACCCGGGCATCTCTGGCGTGACGGGCCACGCCTGGTCGCGAGCAAAATCCGGGAGGTCAGCGACACTGTCAAAATGCTTCATTGCGGAGATGGTAGCAGCAGCGTCTTCCACGGTGAAGACCCTCATTGACGGATCAATGGTTCGCAGCGTCTCTGCACGCAGGTGATCCGGGTTGGTATGGGTGACGACAACCGCATCGAGGCAGTGCTCGGTGTCCTCCTTCAAGGCTCCTTGGAGCCCTCAGCCGTCTCCTCAATTTCCCGGACCAGATCTTTGCAGCACAGGCCTCGATGCCGTCTAGTGCCGACTTTTCTTTGAGCTGCATCCGCAAGAGATAGGCGGTGAAAACATCGTTGATGCCACCGAGCCAAGGGTCTTGCAGGATGTGGTAGAATGCCTTATTTCCAGTCGTTCCGGGAGGCTTGGGAATGGAGACGAGCCATGCATTGTCGCAGTTTGCTAGAGTCACTATCGATCGTTTCGGTGGTTGCTTTGCCGAGGCAAGTGCGGCGATGAGATTTGCGCGGCCCACGGCGGGAGCTTGCACAGAATATAGATAATGTTGTGCACTGCAGCAGGGAAAGGTAATGATGATATCAATCCATACCTTGATCATTGATGATAAATGATCTTGATCAGCACTGCGCGGCGCGAAGTGTCTCTAGATTCAGTAAGGGACTTGGTAAATCCGACCAATGTTGAGGTTTGGGCTGAGCCTGTCAGATTTTAGCTTTAGCTTCACATGCCAGCACTGTGCTCTCATGGAATTCATACATCTCTGCGCCTACTCCTATCCCTCATAAGGGCCAATTACTCAATATTGCATATCCATGTATAACACGCTTACAGCATCCACTAATTGCTGGTTGACACTTTTTAAGACAATGGAATTCAAACATATCCAATGCAGTTGCTTTGAAAGATTCGTCTATGAATTGCTGATGTTAACTGGGATGATTTTGATTGGCAGTCCTTATCGCTAAGCACTGAGAATATGGCAATTCTGCTGATGCCGAGAACTCAGGATTCACGGTTCGCGGCTAGAAATTACAAATCACGCTAATAGTGCTGATTACACAGGGGGGATGTCTAAGTGCCGTTCATTGACGCTCAACAACAAGAAACCTTGGGGGCCGGGGTGGTAAGCTAAGAGCCTGGCCTTCTCCCACGTCCCGCATTTTCTAGGTAGCTAATAGGTGCCTAAGTCCCTATGTTGGATTGGGAAGGGTAGCACCTGAGGTAGGCAAGCCAGCATCAGTGGATAGAAGCTTGGCAGAGTCTAGACTGTATCGCATCCCAAGAATTCGGGACCAACCGAGATGAAAGCAATTATTACATGTTGCCAAAAATACAGATAAGCCAAATAAGCACAAGTCAATACACATCGACAGCATCGCTGACTCATCTGGGCCCTTGCTATTGGACACAGAGGACTCCGGACGGGCTCCACTTGCCGCCTAATTACCTAGTCGTCGGAACCGGATGAAAGCGGAGCACACAAAAGCAAGACATTCACGCTGCCAGCTGCCATTTTGGCGCGAGTAAGGAGTCGTCATTTTTCCTAATTTGGTCAAGTCCAGTCGCGCTCCTCTTCCCACCTACATGCACCTACATGTACACATCACTCAGATTGATGTCAGCGACCTGTCTCATCTCATCCCACCGGGCATCAAATTCTGACATTACATTTGCCTGTCGGGAGGGACTGGAGATTTCTATGAACTTCACACGTAGCACAAAAAAACCCCGCAATTCAAAACCCGGCCAATACCTGGGCCTATGGCTGGTCAAACTCACAGACGCTCTCGCAACGGTTCGTCAACCCACTTCGATGAGGCTCTCGCAGTCGCGATCAAGTCTCACCGCGCTTGGCCCCTGCTACTGTCCGCTTGGTGTAGAATCTAACTTTTCTCTTTTCTCGACACAGGATGTGGGACATGCCGAACGGCCCGTATCAAATGCGACGAGGCGCGCCCATTCTGCAAGCAGTGCGAGCGCCGTGGTATTGTATGTACCGGGTACCAGATCAATTTGAAATGGGTTGAGATCAGCGATATCGGCCCGGGGAGCCAAGCTGCTCCAAGCAAAAGCGTTATCAAGCCGCGAAGCTCCTTGACGATTTGCCCATCAAAGAAGTCGACCGCTTGTAGGAAAAGACCCAGCCCCCCGACATCCGTAGCTATAGCACGCAGTCTGTCAGTCGGGCCAAAACTTCATTCCTCGTCGGATGCCTTCATATTCAAACACTGGGCCGATTCCTTACCAGAACTTGTGTATCCTAACCCAGAAGGCTACGACAGCATACGACAGCCCTATCTCGCCTTCATTTGGAAGGAGAACTCTATCCTTCTCCCAGCTATTTTGGCCGCCGGGTCTTCTCACCTCTATGCTCTTGGGAAAATCAGACAAGCGGAAGTACTCGAGAGGAAGCAAAAGGCGCTCTCCACCATGGTGGCCTGCGTGAAACAGCCAAGACCAATCTTGAGCGGCCAGGGCCAGAACCAGACGTCATTCCCAGTGTATCTAAGTGAAGAGGCAATCGCAGCATCATCAGCGCTGGTCGGCATGGAAATCATGCAAGGATCACGGACACCGTCAATCGTGCCTCTTCTCCGAGGCATCAGAGCGCAGATTGAAGAGAGAGAAAGGGCACGGAAGCGAGCGGATACAAATTGGCAAATCGATAAGGATACCCCGATGATGGCGGTGAACGTCAAGATGATTGCTTACATTGACACGCTTTGCTGTGTGCCATGCGCGGCACACCCAGTCTTTGACCAGCAGTCCTGGCAAGATTTCATCCTGCCAAAGTGTCCACAAGACTCTCTGGATAGTGGCCCAGACATCGTTTTCGGATACTCTAGGCGCATCTTGCCCCTCATAGGCGCAGCAGCTTCGCTGGTCGACGACTTCTTTCGCAAAACGATAACGCCAGAGGCCTTTGTCTTCTCCCGCTATCGCCTGCTAGATCAACTTGAATCAGCTTGCCGAGATCTGCCTGCCGCGCAGCATCAGCCGGACGCAGAGACCGACCCGTCGGCCCCGTCGACGAGCATCAAGATTCGAGATTCCAACGCTTGCATCGCGGCTGCTCTCGCCCACAGCCTGGCAACGCAAATCTTCCTGGTCCGCGCGGACGAGGGCGACTCGAGCACCGTCAGGGCGGAACGTCCTACAAAACACCCCCAGGCCCTGGTCGAGCAGCTCTCCGGCGCCGTCGCCGCGGTTCCGCTCGATACCCATGCCGCAACCATGATGGTGTGGCCCGTGTTTGTGCTCGGCTGCGAGAGCATGGCGGTGAGCTCGAGGCGGCACGCAGTAGAAGCCCTATTCGAGAGAATCATTGACAAGCAGAAGCTTCTCAATATCTCGGTTGCTCTCCAGCTTTTGCGGGAAAATATGTGGAAGATTGGTGGTGTGGCGGCACGCGGTTCGAGCCCTGCAAGAAGTTTGTCCCCTGCAAAAGAGCCGTATCGATATACGCAAAGTGAATGGGTCAAGATGTGCTGGAAAGAGCGACTGCAACTTTGTTCGGCTTAGGAAAACGATACCTCGGATTTGCCCAGTGCGAAGATTTAGCGCTTCAAGAACTTCTATATGTACGAGAAATGAGCTGGCACGTCAGACAGCAGGTGATGATTGGCTTTTGGCGAATGATGATAATGATTCTATCTGTACTCTACATTGATCGATCCAAAATCTAAGTACACGATGTTTGATTAAAAAAGGCTATTTGACAAGAATGTGACTGGTTCACAGCACAGTATTGATCATAGGAAAAGGGTGGGGGTATCTTTCCAGTCTCCGTAGTACAGAGGGAAAAAAGTCATGACATCTTCTTCGCTTGCTCCTCCAATGTTTGAATAAGTTTGCTCCTCTGCCGAATCTTTTTACCCCACTTGTAAAAGATAAAGGGGACCGGCATGAGCACAACCTCGGCGACACCGACCGTAATGCCCGCAATGCGCGGTGTCAGAGCGGCATACATGCTCTTGCCGACAAGCACCAACACGGCGCCCAAGATGGACCGGAAGACGAGGTTGCCGGCCGACGCGGAGGTGGCGTACATGCCAAACACCTTTGAAATGTAACTGGTGCCGTAGATGAAGACGAGGCCGAAGCCGTAGCCAAAGGGGACGCCGGACAGGACGCTCCAGTAAAAGGGTATGTCAACTGGCAGGGACGTCAGCGCGAACGCGAGCTGGCCGACGGGCTCCAGGACCGCGCCGATGCAGATGAGGAGGACGACCGCCTCGGGCTCCTGCTGGCCGGTGTCCGGATTCTTTGGTTGGCGGTTGACCAGCTTCCTGAGGAGCGGCTCCGTGGCGAGGACGAGGGCGATGCCGACAAAGACGCCGAGGAAGGCGAGGCCGGAAATGGCCACGCTCCAACCGCGTTCGTTCGTGTAGACGATGGGGAAGGCGACGTAGGCTAGCTGGACGATGGCGTAAATGACGGAAATGTACATGTTCCAGAACATGAGCACGGGCTCGGTGAAGGAGAGGATAAAGGGACGGGACACGGCCGTCCTGATTCTGCGGAAGATGGGGACGGTGTCGTCAAAGTCGGACCAGTATCGGTGGTCTCCCTCTTCTTGTCGCTTGTTGGCTGCTTTCTTCCTGAGGAGCGTTGGCCGGTACGTTTCTGGGACAGTCATGATGAACAGAGCTCCGACGGCGGTGGAGATCAATGACATCCAGTTGAGCGATCTCCAGCCAAATGCTTCGACGAGAAATCCACCCTGTCATGATGGTTAGCATCGAACTTGGAGGATTTCTCAGCAGTGTAGCTTACCATGAGAGGCCCGAGAACGGGACCGTTGAGGGGTCCAAATGAGTACACTGACATTGCCAGCGGTAAGTATTTGGGGTTGGTGATGTCCATTATCGATCCACCCACGTTAGAAAGCATGACACTTCCGGCAACAGCACTAAGTTCTATGTGAGTGACTTATCTTACAAGAGGCAACGTTAAGATGACTTACCCTAAAAAACGTGCCACAATCACCATGGTAAAGTTGGTCGCGAGCGCGGCGAGGGGGATCAGCCCCAAGAATGCGGTCAGGCCGCCAATGTACATTGGCCTCCGGCCAAATGTCTCGCTCAACGGCGCCATGATGAGGGCACCCAGAGCGAGGCCGACTAGGTAGAGAGAGATACCAAGCAGAGGTAGCGAAGGGTTGGTGACGTTGAGCTCTTGGCTCATCTGGGTGATACCACTGGAGTAGGCGGTCGAGTAGATACCCGTCGCCAACGTCGTCAGGGCAAACATGGCGACGACGAGCACCCGGTAAGCCGTCGACCAGTTCTTTGGGTCGTCCGGGTCGCCGTCCCAAAAGTCCACGCGGAAGGCCTTCAATGCAGTTGGTGGGCCCTCCTCGCCGTCCTCATTCTCGGGCTGTTTTTCATACTTTTCAAAGTCTTTGACATCAAAGTCAAAGTCGGGTACGTAAAAGGACCATCGTGGTGGGAGGGCCGTCTTCTCGTTGAAGACGCCTTCAATGTACTCGTTGGCGACGGGGTAGTATGATAACCTGCTGAGCCGCGGGAGGCGAGAGAAGCGGTTCGATGGTGGTGGTTCAAGTCCAAGAGGTTGGAAGCGTTGGCTCCTTCGCATCCACGAGCTCCTGGCATTGATAAAGGAGTGCCGACCAGCTGCTGCTGCTGCTGGTCTCGGTGGGAGAGGAGCGAATCTGGTCTGCTTCTGTCCACCTGGAAGGTGGAACTGTAGCCTGGCGGGGTCAGGCACTTGCAGAGAGTCCGACATGGTGATGGATCATTACTGCTAGCTCTCCCAAGTTGGCTTGGTAGCGGTGAGTGAAGGAGGGGGAATGTAGTATCTCCAGTTAGCGATGGGCCTCATTGAGTGATAACTGCAAGAGGAAGGGAAAGGAGCCCGCCGAGGACGGGGACCGACCCTATCAGGACCACGAAGTCCAAGGGACGAGGACCACATCGTTCTCGCTTGATATGCAACGCATGTCTTGGATAATTGATGGGTAGCGTCTTAGAAGGACGTAAGGCCACGCCCATGCCTCCCACTTCCCCTACCCACATGGCATACGTCGTTAAAGCCGCCAGCGTAGGGTGGCTGATGATGAGCTGTGTTCCTCCTCCTGCTTGGGGACCCCGGGACCAGTGATCGACGAGGGTCCCCGTTGGCCGCGGATCGGCGGCACCGGAGCGATAACCCACGAATTATTAATTTCTCTGAGAACTCCTGAAATACCTGACGGGGCGTGAGCCCACAACGAACGACCGCAGCAAGATGCCAAACGGAAAGCCTTTTCGAGTGGCCCAGGCCCCATCCCAGCACCTACGCGTCGAACCCCACGTGCCGTCACGGGCTGGCGTTATATCAAACTGTTGTAAGGACTTTGCAACCGAGTTGTGCGTGGGGTGAATACGTACCCTCGTCGGATCGAGTCAATGCGACGCTGGTGAGGTTCCTGGGTACGTAGTGGGATGGGACTAGGAAGCCCCCTGTCGGTCGATTGGCCCATCCTCGAGGAATTTTTCTCCTGGCTATGCACGGGCGATCATCCTGCAGGGGGGGGGGGGGGGGGGGGGGGGGGGGGGGGGGGGGGGGGGGGGGTGTGAGACGCCGCTGCGTGGGGGGTCGCTCGCCGGGCGGGGGGGGGGGGGGGGGGGGGGGGGGGGGGGGGGGGGTCAAGTAGAGACGACAGGGTTGACGTCCGTCGTCTGCCAATAGTGGGCTGGACGACAGGATGTGAGGGATGTAAGGTGCGGCGTCGAGAACTTGATGCGTCAAGGAGATTGCAGGTCCAACTCATTCGAGACGCGTTAGCGGGGGTTTTCTCTCACTCACTCACCTTCTCTTTTGGGTTATGGGCAGCAAAAGCCAAAACAAAACTCATTGAGACTTGACTTGTGACACGCTGGGTGGGTTGGGTTGTGTCAGTCCCAGATCTCTGGCAAGAGAAGCAAGCGCGGCAGTTATTCACCCCAGTCCCGCTTATGGGACATTTGGTCCGCAGAAGAAACTCTTGGTTTGGGATTTTCCTGTGCTGAGACTTGAGGGACCCATGAGATATGTACTACCTGGCCTTACGTCGGCATCACAGTACGGCAAAAAATTGCCATGTGATGTAGCACTAGGCTAGTGGATGAAGTATCAGGAGCTGGGCAAGAATGTAGTCGTGCGTTGATATGAAGTGTTTGCAAACAAGGAGGTCTGAAGTTGGAGACTCTCAAACATAATCAATCGATCTTCACCTCTTCCAGGAGGATTGATGATCTTGCCATCACCCTGCATTAGTGTGGCGATAAATGTAACATGCCCTACGTAGCAACATGGATAGGTACATACTGCAAGAAAGTGGATTCGATGTTGATGCCAAGCTTGAATAATCTCTAGAAAACAGACGTACCAAGCATGAAGTCATTTTGAGTACATTCTGTTCTATCAGAGATTTTAGACAAGGAATGCAGTGTACTGCATTTTACTTTTGACCCGGAGAAAAGAGTCTCAATTTTTAAAGAGAGGTCCGTTTGAAGTTGAGAGATAATCCGAGATATGATCATCGAATTGTGGTATCGAACATAAGATATGAAGTCTATGGAGTCCCAGAAAGCCGCTACTTTTGCCAAATAATCCCCAGTCCGAACAAGATATGTACAATGAAGATTGAACGCCCTGTGAGCAATGTGGACTCTGTCCGTTGCATCTGTGAAGCCTTCCCTTATACCCGAAAACGCCCTGCCTCAAAACACTTTAAAGCATTTTCAACACACAAAAAAAGGACAACCAAGTTGGCTCTCTACTTCGTCTTGAATGCCTGGCCAATGGCGCCACCTGGGTGATTCTTTGCAAAGACTGATGATACCGAAGGGTACATCTCCTTGGAAGCAACATATGCCAAGGCATCGCCCATGGCAATAGCCATGGTTGTAGACGTCGTAGGCGCAGAGACGCCAAAGGTATCCTTTTCAGACTCAGGGATAGGAGCAGGGAGAAGGATGAGGTCTGGGCGAGCCTTTGCGATCTCGCACGTCTCCATGCTGGTCGGGGACGTGAGGAGGATGAGGGGGCATTTCTTGTTGAGGTGAGGCAGGAGGAGCATGAGCTCGGGGGTCTTGCCGGAAAAAGTGATCATGATGAGGGTATCGTACTCGCCCACGACACCGAGGTCGCCGTGGAGGGCCTCGGTGGGGTGGAGGAAGACGGCGGGGAGGCCGAGGCTGCTAAAGGTGGCGGTGAGCTTCTTGGCGATCCAGCCGGACTTGCCGACGCCGATGAAGACGACCTTGCCGCGGTGGTCGCGGTGGCGGACGAGGGCGTCGACGGAGCGGTAGAAGCCGTCGCGGCAGACGCGCTCGGAGGCGTAGAGCTGCGTCAGGGCCGTGAGAGCGTTGGCCTCTGTGCGGAGGACGTGGATGGCGCTGTCGAGCCTGTCTTCGTACGAGGAGGAGGAGGTCCTGCGGTCCTCGTGGGTGACGTCGCGCAGAGGAGATCTGGGCATGGGTGACTTGGGGCCGCGGATCTCGTACGATTTGGCGAGGTTGATGTTGAGCTCTACGGGGCCGCGGCTGCGCATGCCCATGGCAGATCCAGAGCGAGGAGCAACCATTTTGAAAATTGTGCTGTGGGGACGGGATGAAGATACAAGAAGCGGAAGAGGCTTGATGTTGGTTGAAGAAGTGAAGCACTTAATTGAGTCCCGCTCTGAATTGTTGAATCAACTCTATTGATGTTTGAAGAGAAGAAGGAAAGTGTTTGGAAAGTGAAGCTAGTGATCTTGCTGATGCTAGACCCGTGGAGCGAGGACGATCCGCTCTTTAATACTGATCAAAGGTAACCTGTCCATCAAATACCTTGGAGCCATCATTATCTCCAGTCTATCAAAATCCTAGAGTAAGCAAATAAAGAGAGGCGTTTGGTCGTTGGGCGTAAAGCGGATCCTCAATTTGAAAACACAGGGAGGTCCCCGGCTCGAGCCTACCATGGGCGATCTGCCGTCCGAGTTCATGACAGTTGGGTGTGCGGACTTCTTACAACAAAGCGGTACCCAAGGTGTACCATGCTTCACCGTATCGGGTCGGGCAAACCAGAGAGGCCCTTTCATTTACTCTGGACATGCACGTTTGGCCTGGTAAGAACATGAATGGCGTGGAAGGGTGACGAAGTCGCAGTCTCAAAATAGCCCACAACAAACAACGGGTCAAGGCTGGCAAACTCCCCCTCCCCTTAATCCAATGGGAAGCCTGACGCGAGGGATCGTGCACCCAGAAGAGCAGGCATAGGCCTGACGTTGCATAACGCAAGCCACCTCATCCCCCAAATGCTGTTATCAGTTCCCACCTCGGTTCGTCGTGTTATGTCTTGAATTGTTCCGGGGTGGGATGGGGGGTGGGCAAGCCACACCGCCGGGACGGCATGGGTATCCGCGTACCGTCGATGTTGTACAGATTACAAAAAGAGGCAGATTCTATCTTCTGGGCCTCGGTGTACCCGCATGCTGGCAAGAGTTAGGCGAGGGTATCTGCAGGTCTTGGCCATCTGTCCCAAACTCACTTTATCTCCGTCTCGCTAGGATAAGAGATCGTCCCCTCTGATGGGCATCCTTGGCATCCTGATTCGGGCGAGAAGCTGGGTCAAACTTTAATGTTTATCAATCCACGCTAGACGCATCTCTTTGTAGATTGCCTTTTTGCCATTCTACGAAAGTACGGCTGTCGTCGCCTACGCCATGATCCCTCCCGCCAAGGAGGAATAGATAGCCACCCGTTGTACTTAGATTTAGACGCAGATGGTTGGGCGGAGACACGTGCTGGACGCCATTGGAAGCTCGACTAGTGTCTGAGTCTAACGTAGTGGTCCCCTTGCCTCGCGTCCAATGTTGTACGGGCCCTCTGACGTGTCGTCCCCCATCTAATGATGGCATTTCAGATGACGCTGTCTTTTCCAAGGTGAATTATTTTTCTTCTTTGCTTATTTGGCCTCTTCTAGAAGAAAACAGCGTGTGAAACCGTCCCTGTCTCAATCCTCAACCTCTCAGCCGCATTAAGAGAACGACGACGCAATATCGATGGGGTCAACGTTATCCACATTTGCAATGGGTCCTTTGTGTGCGCGCTAACGAGTGTCTTGCCGTCCGCCGCGGTGGGCAAATGTGGATAGGAGGAAGGGAACCGCAATATGGGAGCCCTTCGTCGCTTCGGGAAGTGGATGGGCGGAAAGTGTCGTACCCGCGGGGGTGTATTAGAAAGGGGGGCGCATCGGGGTTCAACGTGTCTCTGGGCAGCTTTAACCGATATATGACGCCCAGAAAGCTACAGACGCGAGCTGACATAGCAGAGCCTCCTTTCGAGGTGACATTTTTTTACTTTCTCCAAGTCTCTGAGTCTCTTCACCAGCCACAGAGGAGGGGGTAGGGGGGCCTGGGGGGATGGAACAAGAGTGAGTCAGTTTCATGCCCCTGTCCAGCTACCGTCGATCGACTCCTTTCTGGCCACGTCGGAGCTACGTAGGCTCGAGGGTGACATTTGGTCCTTGGTCGCTGGTCCCTTGGCGGCCTAGATACAGAGTGTACACATGGCACTGCTACCGTTAACTTTCCACTCACACACTTGGCTTGACCCGACCTTCTGGTCGGGAGCTGCCGTCTGTGCTTCTCTCTGCCAGATCTGGCAGCAGGGGAGCCTTGATCGCCTTGCCCCCTCCCTACTCTTTCCACCCGAGAGTCAGACAGATTGCACAAGTTACAGGTAACAAAGTCCAGAAGCTCGGATTCGCGAAAAATGAGG